ATTTGCAACATGTTTATATTTGCGCGGTTTCGTGTCAAACCAAATGTATGTGTTAAACACATTTCATATTGATTTTTTTTCTTCAAATTTTATTTTACTGATCGTTTAGTGTATATGTATGTGTTTATCTACATATTCACTAAATGACCAACAAATTTAAGCTATAAATTAGACACGTCCATATGTATTTTATTTGCATACATATCCATTTTAAAAAACAAAAGGGATTTCATACTTAAAAAGCTTTTAAAATATGTAAGTTTTACAATTTTAATGCCTTTATTACATTCACACTTATGTATGTGTACGTATTCTAACTTTTTATTAATATTTTCCCATATTTTTTAGTGAGGTATAAACGACCACAAAATAAATGCACACAAAGTAATTTATGTTTATGTAGCTGTCAATAAAAAAGCAAAGTATAATAAATTGTAAGAATCATAGAATCCAAGCACAAACATAGTCTGTTAGATTCAAATAAAATACATATGGATTGGTTTTATAATAATTATACTAAAAAAAAACAAGTAAAGTTTTCGAAAAAATTGGCAAAATAATATAAAAAATTAAAATTCCAAAATTAGAACGAAAGCACGAAAAAAATCTTCCTTAAATTACTCACATTTTGAAAGATATAAAAATTGGAAACGTACTAACCCGTTTCATCATTCAAAAAATTTGCATTTTTATTTTTCAAAATGAAAACATTATTATTTGCAAATAAAAATTTTGTTTTTTTAAGCTTTATGTTTAATATTATAAAATATAAATTGTAAAACTAAACGAAATTAATGTAATTTTTTTTATTTTCAAGTGATTATTAAAAAACTTAATTTAAAATGCTACTATTGGTACAAAAATAATTGATTAAAACACGAGTATCTGAGGAATCACCCCACGAATGCTTTAACACCAGTTACGGACCACTTTGTACATTAAATTCATTAATATACATGAATATATCTTAAACTTATATTATTTTGCCTTAATATTCTGAGTTATACATTATATTGATCACTATATTTATTTTTAAAAACAATTTAAAAAACGCCGTCGGGTAACATATACAAATTTTAATGTATGATTTTTACCCAAAAGTTCTTCATTGCATAAAATATCAATCTAAAAAATAAATAATTATTTGAAATTTCACAAATATTTCAAAATATTAGGCAAAACAGAATATGTCAATTCTCAATTATATTAATTTTCAAAGAGCCCTTAAATTTATTTTAACTAAAATAAAACTTGACAATAAATTTAAATGCGTACATATATATATTCGCGATTTTCTGCACAAAGTGCTAATTTTAATTCACATACTTTCACGTTTTCAAGGTCTCAAATCATTGGTCATTGAGATTTGTTATGCCTATTTTGATATTGAAAAAGATTTATACCTCTCTATATTTTTCTATTCCATTTAAAACTTTTTTTTGCTAAAAATTTCTTTAAATGAGTGATAGTTGATTGAGAACTACACCTAGAAAACCTTCATTGCAAATTTTTTAAATTGTTACTACTACACTCTAAACAAACATTAACTAGCTCATCTAAACTATGATAGCCGGATTCAGCATGTGCTTCATTAACCTTGTCATCATCATCTTCATGATTCTGTAGTAAATCTTTTGGACAAGCTATATTACGACTTCTATAAAAATCTCTTTCCCTCTTCATTTCATCTAAAAAGAAATATTTCTTTTCAAAAAGTTCATATTAAAATGCAAAATATATCAACGCACTTTCTTGCAGATTCGGTACTAGTTTATATACTTAATACAAAAACTTATATATTGCAATGGATGTGACTGATGAATAACATTCTCGCATGTCGGACAAGTTTTCTTTTCTTCCAAGTGTTTTACTAAACAACTTTTGCAAACTAAAATTATGTTGTGTGTTTAATTTTTTCAATAAAAACTTTGTTTTGAAAAATATTCAATTCAAATTCCCGATATATAAAATTAAATACTCTCGAGACTTACATGTATGTAAACATTCAGTGACTGTGGTTGCATCAATGAAGTAGCCTCCACATATTTTGCAAGTTATATGAGTGTTTAAAGTACGTAATCTTATTCTTCTTTCCATATTAATATTTCATATATGATTTCCCTCTTCTTCTTGAACAATTTGTTAAGCGCAGTTGCTCAGTTTAATTTTTTCAATCAAAAAGTGTTTTTGCCGCTAAAAAATTTCCTTCCCGCTTAAGTAAATCCATCAAATCTTCATAATATAATCTAATAAGTTTTTTTTCCAATATGACGTGCAGCGCTCAGCGCTATCTATTGTCAAGTATTGATATTCACACCTGGAGAATTTGTATCATAATCAATACCAACTATAAAATATATGTTTTGAGTATAATCAGTTTAATAATTTGGGCCATATTTTTTAACGCTTTCATATATAATACTGCGTTTTTACTTTACAACATGTGTCTAAACTGAACACTAAAATAAAAAAATTTTGACATACTAAATCTTCTGTCAACAAATTATAAACATGTTCTAATAATTTTATTTGCAACATGTTTATATTTGCGCGGTTTCGTGTCAAACCAAATGTATGTGTTAAACACATTTCATATTGATTTTTTTTCTTCAAATTTTATTTTACTGATCGTTTAGTGTATATGTATGTGTTTATCTACATATTCACTAAATGACCAACAAATTTAAGCTATAAATTAGACACGTCCATATGTATTTTATTTGCATACATATCCATTTTAAAAAACAAAAGGGATTTCATACTTAAAAAGCTTTTAAAATATGTAAGTTTTACAATTTTAATGCCTTTATTACATTCACACTTATGTATGTGTACGTATTCTAACTTTTTATTAATATTTTCCCATATTTTTTAGTGAGGTATAAACGACCACAAAATAAATGCACACAAAGTAATTTATGTTTATGTAGCTGTCAATAAAAAAGCAAAGTATAATAAATTGTAAGAATCATAGAATCCAAGCACAAACATAGTCTGTTAGATTCAAATAAAATACATATGGATTGGTTTTATAATAATTATACTAAAAAAAAACAAGTAAAGTTTTCGAAAAAATTGGCAAAATAATATAAAAAATTAAAATTCCAAAATTAGAACGAAAGCACGAAAAAAATCTTCCTTAAATTACTCACATTTTGAAAGATATAAAAATTGGAAGCGTACTAACCCGTTTCATCATTCAAAAAATTTGCATTTTTATTTTTCAAAATGAAAACATTATTATTTGCAAATAAAAATTTTGTTTTTTTAAGCTTTATGTTTAATATTATAAAATATAAATTGTAAAACTAAACGAAATTAATGTAATTTTTTTTATTTTCAAGTGATTATTAAAAAACTTAATTTAAAATGCTACTATTGGTACAAAAATAATTGATTAAAACACGAGTATCTGAGGAATCACCCCACGAATGCTTTAACACCAGTTACGGACCACTTTGTACATTAAATTCATTAATATACATGAATATATCTTAAACTTATATTATTTTGCCTTAATATTCTGAGTTATACATTATATTGATCACTATATTTATTTTTAAAAACAATTTAAAAAACGCCGTCGGGTAACATATACAAATTTTAATGTATGATTTTTACCCAAAAGTTCTTCATTGCATAAAATATCAATCTAAAAAATAAATAATTATTTGAAATTTCACAAATATTTCAAAATATTAGGCAAAACAGAATATGTCAATTCTCAATTATATTAATTTTCAAAGAGCCCTTAAATTTATTTTAACTAAAATAAAACTTGACAATAAATTTAAATGCGTACATATATATATTCGCGATTTTCTGCACAAAGTGCTAATTTTAATTCACATACTTTCACGTTTTCAAGGTCTCAAATCATTGGTCATTGAGATTTGTTATGCCTATTTTGATATTGAAAAAGATTTATACCTCTCTATATTTTTCTATTCCATTTAAAACTTTTTTTTGCTAAAAATTTCTTTAAATGAGTGATAGTTGATTGAGAACTACACCTAGAAAACCTTCATTGCAAATTTTTTAAATTGTTACTACTACACTCTAAACAAACATTAACTAGCTCATCTAAACTATGATAGCCGGATTCAGCATGTGCTTCATTAACCTTGTCATCATCATCTTCATGATTCTGTAGTAAATCTTTTGGACAAGCTATATTACGACTTCTATAAAAATCTCTTTCCCTCTTCATTTCATCTAAAAAGAAATATTTCTTTTCAAAAAGTTCATATTAAAATGCAAAATATATCAACGCACTTTCTTGCAGATTCGGTACTAGTTTATATACTTAATACAAAAACTTATATATTGCAATGGATGTGACTGATGAATAACATTCTCGCATGTCGGACAAGTTTTCTTTTCTTCCAAGTGTTTTACTAAACAACTTTTGCAAACTAAAATTATGTTGTGTGTTTAATTTTTTCAATAAAAACTTTGTTTTGAAAAATATTCAATTCAAATTCCCGATATATAAAATTAAATACTCTCGAGACTTACATGTATGTAAACATTCAGTGACTGTGGTTGCATCAATGAAGTAGCCTCCACATATTTTGCAAGTTATATGAGTGTTTAAAGTACGTAATCTTATTCTTCTTTCCATATTAATATTTCATATATGATTTCCCTCTTCTTCTTGAACAATTTGTTAAGCGCCGTTGCTCAGCTTAAATTTTTCTTTCCGTTTTCTTCTAAATGTTTATAAAGACGAACCAATTTGGCAGGTTTTCCAAATTTTTCTCTCTTAAATTATGTGAAACCACATATATTTGTTTTACGTTTTATTATTTTGGTGAAATTTAAAATCTAAAATATTTACGGACTTAATTTCCCTGTTCACAATCATGATCTCTCTCTTATTATGTAGCTTCTAAAACATGTTTAAAATATAAAAAAGTATGTTGAATTCAAAATATATGAATTTTCAAAAAAAGCAAATTCAATGAAAAAGTGTTTTTGCCGCTAAAAAATTACAAAAATTGGTTAAAAAAATTTTTATTCCATAACAATTTCAGTATTTAGACGATATCTACTACAATTTCATATCGAAACATAAGACTATAAATATTTTTAAATTTTAGATTTTGATTTCCATTTCTTCGGAATTCTCGTCTACGTCTTTATAACTTGTTTTATAAATAGATTTTGGTTTTATGTACTCTTCTTCTATATAAACGAAGGGATTTATTCTCAATTGTTCACTACTTGGAGGACTCTTAAAAATTACTTTAGTTATGAATTTTCCTTCCCGCTTCGGACGATTTGAATTTACATCTTTTAAAAGAGAAACTAAGTTGCCTTCTAATTCTTCACTTTTCATATTTAACTAAAATAAAAATTTAAATATTATATATTGAATTTTCCAATTGGATAATAGAATTTTCTTACAGTCCCAATACATGTTGTAATTGAAGCAAAATCTGGCTGATTTTCATCTTTTTCCGCCTTATATTCAATTCCATTTGAAAATTTGGTGATTATATCTTTCAAATCAGGTCCTAGGGTACCATTTTTTGGATTTGGGAACTTTCTTTTCATTAGTCCTCTCAAGGAAACCAACTCGGGGAGTATGTTCGGATGAGCAATAACGTATTGAAAGTCTGATATTAAGAGTTCACCATTTTGGATGTCTTTGATTAATTCTATTCCTCCCACTAATGTAGCACCCGCTTCCCTCGCCTCCAATAACGATTCCTACAAGGGAAATTTTACATTAATTTAATAATAACCGAAAATCTTACAATCTTGCCTCACCATTGTCTTTGTAAAAACGAGAATTCTTCTTTCTTCTCCGTGATCAAATTTATAAGGAATCATTGCCACTTTTTGAAAATTATCAATAAACCTATTTGCTTTTTCTGCTTTCATATTCAACTCAATGTGTACATTCAAAGGTGCATTTGGAACATTATACATTGATGGATGATGGGTTTCGCGATGACATTGTATAGCGTCGGATACACTGTAAATTTTCCACTTATAATATTTCCCAACATAACAATCATCAGTTGGATTAGCTTTCCAGGAATCATCAACGTGTTTATTTTGTCGATATAAATTTAGTCTATTTGGTTATATAAATTAGATGTACAAAAACTTTTTAATCACTTATATTTACTTCTCTTTATTCCTTTGGTTATGCGGAATGAAACCAACCTTTTGAACTTCTACTTTAACTTTTTTTTTGCGAGCTTTTTCTCGGGTCCCTTTTCGTGCTGCTTCTGTGGTTACAGACAAATGAATTTTTCTGAAAGTCGGATTTAACGGAGCATAGCTAAAGGCATTTTTCATTTCACGAATAATTGCAAGCATGTTTTTTAATTAAATTTCAAATATATTCTATATATTATAGCGCTATTCTCTTTCGTAACCTACAAAATACTTCTAACAGCAACTTTGTTATGTTGTGTTATATTTTTGTTTTTGGCATTAAGACTTTTATTAAACTAAGACGTTTTGGTCAGGGCTGCCACTTGAAATGAAGTAAAGTAGCAAAATTTAAAAAAAAGAAGTAGAAGAGTAGCAAATATTAGATTGATAAAGTAGCAAAGTTCATTTCATCCGAAGTATTGTTTGGAAAGATGAAAAATATTCCTATCACAATAGAAGAAGGTAAAACACAGGTTAATTATAACTGAAAAACGTTATCTTAGGCATTAAATATTTCAATAATCCATTTCATAATTTCAAAATACAAACTTAAGAAACTTTCATTTCCTAAATTTTCTAACTTATTTATATTTGAGTATATCTGTTAGATAAGTTTTTTTCTTAAGGATAACTCATTTTATGTCCTTTATGGCAATTGTTATTGTTTCTGTTTTATATTTAGCTGATAAATAATTTTTGATTAAAAATTTGATTTGATTAAAATTGTAAAAAATATCCGTTCAACCCCAGCAGAGCAATGCGCAAACCTAAAACGTTCATTATAAATTGGAGATATAATACTTTTATTATAAATCATTGAGGTATAGTATTAAAACTAAAATAAATGTCGAAAAACAAACGATTATGCAAATTTGAAAAAAAAAATAAAAAATTTATAAAAAATATAATTAATATATATATTCATTTATAAAAAAATAAAGTAAGGTAAGAAAAAGAAGTTTAAACATGTAAAATAAAAAAGCCAAACAAAAAAGTATCAATTAAAAATAGTAAAAAAGTAGCAAATCCGAAAATTAAGTAGCACTTTTACTTTTAAAGTTTCATTGTGGCAACGCTAGTATTGATTTGAAGTTTGTGCAAGGGGGTTTAAAAATATTTGTAGTGTTGTTAGCCTTGTAAGTGTTGCCGTATACAGAAGAAATTATTTGCTAGATTAGATATGAAAATTTTCAATTGATTTTTTTGGTAAGCCATTGTTTGTGCTTGCCGTAAACAAAATACATATATGCATAAAATTCATATTCACATTCCGAATGAAAAAAAGTTTAGTTACATAATAACAAAAAAACAAACTTGATTTCAATAATTTTAATATGTAGTATTTATTACATAAAAATTAAATTCTTTATAAAAATGACAACTCAGTTGTCAATTAATATTCTACCGGTCACTTCACGAAAAGAAAATAAAAAAAATAAAATTTTTATTTTACTTACCTTTAATGATTCCTCAAATTTGGTATGTTTATATTTATGTTGTATAATACGTTCTTATTTGAAAAGCCAATAAATTAGAAATGTTAAAAGAAAAAGTTTCTTGAAAAAAAATTGAAACCAAATTTTTTTAGTTGTCTCTTTCTTGGTTTTGAGCATTGTCAAACTCGTAACCAGAGCGCATTTATTTTTTTATCTGATCCCCACTATGTGTAATATGATAAATTAAATTTTTGATTTAAATATAAATTAAATTTTTTTTTGAAATAAAAATTATAAATCATTTCAAAATATTTGTAAAAATACAAATTTAAATAAAACTTATGAGATTAAATGTATATATGTGTACCTATATATATTTTAATATCGCAATATTTTACTGCTTTTGAAAATGAAAATTTTTTTGATATTTTTTACTATGTTGGGTCATACTTGCAAAGTATTTGTTGTTCTTGACATTTTTCAATGTGAGACGGTGTTGCCGCAATGTTTCTTTGATTTTTTGAATTGCGGATACAAACAACTCTAAAACAAAATAATTTTTAATAAATTTCAAATAATATTTTGGCTATTGCACACTGAAGTGGATGTTATGTTGCTGTATTCTACCTCATTAATTGACAATGTTTCACTCTATTTTACTAATATTTTTAATTCGTTTATATTTTTCACCGTGTTAAGCCCTTTCTACCATCAATTTCGTCAAGAACGGTGAAAATGAATGTAGTTTTTTTCAAGTTTAAAACTTCAAATTTATGTAGTTCAAAATTAAAAAAAAAACAAGGCAACTCTCGGTTTGCGAAATAAAAAAAAATAAAACAAGAATAAGTGGGAGCAAAAAATTAGAAATAATAATTAGTATATAAATATTTAGAGTGGGTGCAAGAGGGAGTAGTACCAAATTAATCGCAGTGGCCTAAAGTTTAATGCAAAAATGTTAAGGTGTTTTCAAAAGTTTGTTTCGCCAATTTTAGAAAAAGAGGCCACTTTGAAACTTAAATTTTCATCACTCGCATCAATCCCGTCAACATCTTCCAAATATGACACACTGCAAGAGCAGGCATTAAAGGAAAATTGTATTTTAGTAAACGAAAATGATGAACCTGTAGGTAAAACTTCAAAGAAAGGTAAAGGAAATTCAATTAACAGTAATTATTAAAACGTATACATTTTTTCATTATAATTTAAATCCAAAAAATAAAAGATTATTCGCCTGAATGACAAAATCTAAGTTATTTACGAAACGCTCAATTTAAATTTGGCGAATGTCATTGAAATTACTAATTCTTGATTTTTAATTTTTTTAAATACATATATATGTACTACATACTTATATACAATTATATGTGAGGTCAAAAATCAAAGAATCATAATTATAATAAACATGAACTTAGTTCATTAAATATTTGGTTTTTAACTGAAGATTTACATAATATGTAAATTCCATTTGAATTAGATTGCCATAGGGTAAACGCTAATGGAGAGATTAAATTGCACAGGGCTTTCAGTGTTTTCTTATTTAATACAGATGGTGAAATGTTAATGCAGCGAAGATCGACACATAAAGTAAATGATATGATTAAGAATACTTGTATTATAAATAATATTTTATTAATTTAAGATTACTTTTCCTGATGCTTATACTAATGCGTGTTGTAGTCACCCATTATTCGATATAAAAAACGAACGTGATGAATTAAATGCTATAGGAATACGAAGGGCAGCCCAAAGGAGACTTAATTACGAATTAGGTATTCCACTAGCACAGGTAAATAATCAGTTGATAGTTTTAGTTGATATTTGTTTTTGTTTGATATTTGATTGTGATGATAAATAATCAGTTGATAATTAGTTGATAGTTTGTAATTAGTGTCGAAGTATTTACTTGGCTATATTGTAACAATATAGCCAAATAACATTAATTGGACTATTATAACTGATTTTTTCGGGTTGTTATATTAATATAGCGAAAATCAGAGCTTGAAATTTTATTTTTGAATATAACAAAAATTTGAAAACCGGAATATGTATATAAATATATTTAACGGTATATTTAGAATATTATTTATATACATACTCAATATACACATGACACAATAAATATCGTACAAATATGATTCCAAATGTATTCATATTCAACTTCATATGAAAGTGTGCATGCTGATTAAAGAAATTATAAGTTACAACTTATTTTACAGGTTCGACCGGAAAATTTCCATTACCTGACTAGAATACATTACCATAACACAGGAGATGGTATTTGGGGAGAACATGAAATAGATTACATATTGTTTTTGCAAAAGAATGTGGACATAAACCCTAACTCGAATGAAGTTAGTGAAGTGTTTTTTATGAAACGTTTAGATTTAGATGCACAAATTTTGAAATTAAAAGCGCCTTTGACACCATGGTTCAAACTGGTTTTAAAATATCGTTTAAAAACATGGTGGGATAATTTACATCAACTAAAAAAATTTGAAGACATTGAAAATATTCACAGGTTTAATTAAAATTAAAAATAAAATGGTATAATATTTATTTGTATTGAATTGTACTTTTTAATTTTTTTTTATATTGTGTCATCTTCATACTATTCAGATAAAGTTAGCTTTTATTTGTCGTTCTTACATAATTGTGACCCAATGTCATTTATACCCTAACAACATTTTTTGGAAATATTTTGTAGGCATCTGCAATTAAAGTATTAAAAAATAGTTTGTTTAAAGTAACTTTACAATGTAAATGCCTAAAAATTTTAACACAAAAGTTTACGAAAACTTTCTGAACAAAATTTTCCTGATCTAAAACCAATGTTTATCTATCAACTTCGAATTCATATTAATTTTTTTGCAATTTTATTTTTTGCATATGTAGCTGCTTAATACATATCTATATACATTAAGTTTATTCGCTGTTTAAAGAAATCAACTATCATTTAAAAAAAAATTCCTCATTAAAAACGAAATTAGGAAACATGTACATATGTACATTTGTATGTATTTAAGTTACATTTTATTTCTTATCCGATGAGTTTAAACGTGAGGTACCAAATGATGCCTGCCTGAAGGAATTTTATTACAGTTACCATGGTTGCTGTAATAAACTAAATAACATTCAAAGACCTTTTGTTTAAAATGCGTTAAATTTTTTTCGTTTTAACGTAAAAATAATAAAATTGTATGTGGAAAAGTTTATCTGAATATTAACATATCTCCCACTTCAAATACCGTTCAGAATATTACGAATTCCATAATATTCTTAAAAATTTGAAAAAAAAAAAAAAACTAGTATTTTGCTAATATTAGAAAACATTTTTCAGTAACAGGAGGACACAATTAAAACAAATTATATTCAATTGTGTTTATTGTAACTTATTGTGTACATAAATGATTCAGCCCCCTATTAGAAAGTACAAATTTAGTTTTATGCAAAATGTACATAAAAATTCTGTACCGATCAAAAATCAAAATTGATAGAATTTACATTTTTAAATGAAAAACATTTTTTGACACAAATTTTGGATTGATTATTTCAATTTGACAAATACTGGTGAATATTGGACCAAGATTGATAAAATTAACATTAAAATATTTTCATAACTTTAATTAGCATTACAATAGGTACAACTTATTTTTACCGGATTGATGCGTGAATCTATACGATATACGAATTCTTGAAAAAAAAAATATATGTATGTATACATTCTTGAAAATCTGAAAGGATATGAATTCTTACATTTGCTGATGTTAGTTTACTATTACTTTTACACAAAGTTTTTTTTCAAGAAAGGCAAATTCAATCATCATTCTCATCGTCAGAATACCACGTAAGCCTTTCCTCGTAGAATTTAATAACAAGCTGCGGGCATTTCAAATTTGCTACTTTTGCTGGTATTAGTTCACCTTGATCCATACCTTTGAACTGTATAAGAAATGTTAATTCACCAGTTGTATCAGATGCACCTAAAATTTTTATAGGCTCTAAACCCCGTGCAAACGCATTATCCTTGTCAGGTTTCACAATATATTCTGAATCTTCTTCAGCATCACTATCATCTGATTTATTACCTCCCTTTTTATCATCTTCATCATTTCGTTTCCTCTTTGATGAAGCTGTCGTGGTATCATTATTCTTTCTTTTTTCTGCAGCTTTACTGCCTCCCGATTTTGGTTTTTCCTGAACTTTATCTTGCTTTGCTCTTTCAACTTCAAAAGCTTCAATTAAATCGTTACAATCCAAATTATCAACTGGCTCCCAAGTATTATCATCTTCCGAATAACCTTTCCATTTTAAATAATATTCAGTCTTCCCTTTACGAATTCGCTTATCCAATATTTTTTCAACAACATATTCTTCGTCAGATGATTCGGCATCACCAACATTTTCATTTTCTTTAGACGATTTGGTTTTCATTTTTTACCAAAACTGATAATTAGAAAGAAAAAGTAGATTAACTTAAATGAAACCATTTTTATTGTATTCATACATACTTGACTATCTCAACAAATTTAAAGATGTTTAAACTTTAATTCCCGCCCAAACAAATTTGAGATTCTTGGTACTCACTCCCGGTTGAACTTACCTTTCGAATTTTTTATTCAACAAAAATTACAACGGCTTTCAACGAAGTCCTTGTAGTCTCCAATTTCTTTTATTAAATTAATATTAATTTTTGTAAATTTTTTTATACAATTTGCAAAATTTTTAATAAATTTCTGCCTTTGATTTTTACTTTTACAAAATTATAACACAGAAAGCCAACTGCAAACACACACATAAGCACGCCAGCGCACGCCAAACAATTTCTCCGTTAGCAATATTGCCAACTATTAACGTTAAATATGTTTAATTGTTGAAATAAGTTGGCTGAAAGATAAGGAGTTAGTGTGTCATTAATCAGAATTTTGCTAGTTTCACATCATGATTTTTTATTGATTTCTCACTTATTCTCATACATAAATCAGTTAACTTAATAAAAAATAAATAAGCCTTATCTCATGAGCGAATTTTTGTACCAACATTTGCATGTTATTTAATTTTTCGACAAATCTTATTAATTTTAATATATTATCCATAAACGTAAATAAATATATTATCCATTTAATATATCTCTAAAAAAAACTTAGTTATTGTTTAATCGATTTATTTTAAATTTAATAAAATGAAAAAATTTTTTTTTGCTTATTTTGCAATATAAAATTAAAACTTTTTTATTTTTTTGGAAAATTTTTAAAAAACCTAAATATAAATTACTTTTTTTTTATAAAATTCAAAGCTGAAAATTGAATATAAAAAATAAATTTGTGGTTCTCATTTTTAAAAGAATGTTTCAAAAAACAGTGCAGTGTTAGTCATTGAATTTTAAGACAGAGGTTTTCATAGTTCCGAAGTTAAAAACTTGTCTGATTTTTTTTCAGTGGTGTGTCATTTTTTGATATTTGAAAATAATAAACGAAGTCTAAAGTGCTTTTTAAAATTTGACGATTAAATTTGACAATCATGAAATTGGATGAGAAATTCTGTTACACAAACTTTATTTGATCAAATATGCTGTTTTGATTATTTTAGTTATTTAGTTTAAAACAAAGACAGCCCTGGCAGTGCCATAACTATGTGTCATAACTTGATATAACAAAAATATGCCAGCCGTGGTATATAATTATGTGGGAATTATTCACGGCTGACAAAAATATCGAAGCCTGGAGCTTGTAATATCAACGAAGTAGCATTTTTGTCAGCCGTTGTATTAATAAAATAAAAATGCTAGTAATTAGCACGGCTGACAGCAAAGATATTTTTATTATGTTACATATTAATTAACCATACATATTTTATAATAAATTTAGAAAATTGAAAAATATGTCAACACAACCTGGTCCTCCAATTGACAATGACGAAAGAAAGGTAAGCAGATATATGTATGATGAAAACAGAACATTATAATCATCATTATGTATATCCTAACTTTTATTTTTTAAAAACTCTTATTTTAGTTTTTAAATTTAAATTCAAACATACGTAAAATACACATATATTCTTTTTTAAAAGGGCCTGATTATTTTTGGAAGAGATGTTCAACAAATCCCATGTTTTAGAAATAGTTTTCTGTATGGCATTAGCGGTGGGATTGGCGTTGGAATTTTAACTTTTTTGGGAACTTCGCGAGCTAAACTAGCAACACACGTAGGATTTTCAACGTTTTTTTGCTCAACTTTAATATACTGGTTCACTTGCAGGTATTGAATTTTAATAAGACTAACATTATACTATTATACATAAATCACTTCAGATATAATTGGTCCAAACAGAGATTCCATTATAACAAATTACAAGCGGCAATGAAACAACACGCTCTATATGAAGGAACTGAAAAGGAAAAGGAAATGCAAAATCTTGAGGAGGCTTAATGTGTTTTTTGTCACTATTTAGAGAACATTTTCAAATAAACTTAATTTTTTCACCTTAGAAATTGTTATGTAGATATCTTAAAAACAAAAATGGACATTGTATGTAGATGCGTAATAAATTAAATGGAAAGCATGGTTAATTTTGATTTAAATTATTTATATGGTTTTTGTGATTAATATAAAATAAACAAAACTTAAAATTAAATGTTAATTTTGGATTTTTTTGGTATATTATCGAATATATTTCTCTAAAATAATAATAGCACGTACACCAAGGAAATTTTTAAGATAGGATAAGTTTTTTCCTTAATGTATATTCGGTAAGTTATGCATGTACATATATATGCATTTACATTGTAAATTTATATTTTAACGATTCTTTATTTGTTTTTAAAGTTAGCTAAAATCCTTTGACCATTATTCTGAAAATGGGAAATGACTGCAAACAATAGAACCCTTTAATGATCAGAAAAGTTTCTCATAACAAAATGAAACAAGTATAATAGTCAAGTTTTAGATCTGTTGAATTTTTACGTCGTTAAATAATTTTTTTTCTCTATTTTAGTATTATTTTATATAAAATATTGTTAAAACACTATGGTTGAGATTTCTGAAAACATATGTATCAAACCACAATTTGAATCAAATTTAACTATGCATAAATTTTGCTTGAATATTATATGGGCATGTACATACATCCATGTTTGTGTGAATGTAAGAAAACACACATCCAAGTATGTGTGTATGTATGTATGTTTGGGTTTTTTTACACATTAGATGTATTTGATATTGTGAAACAAAAAAAAATATGAGTATGAATATGTATATTTTACAAAAAGAACACAAAACGTGGAAGGTTTTTCTATTAATATTGCATTTTGTGAGGTGTGACATTATTCCATAATAATTTTTATACTTATAAAAATATGAAATATATTGATATAGGTACGTACTTTTCATAAAAATTAAAAGTCAAGAAAAAGATTAATTTCTTGAAATTTTGTGTTAAGAAGAGCCATTTTTAAGTTTAGATATAAAAATATCGCACGTTTTTTTGTGGATTGCCACCCAATTTTTATATGCAAATCTGCATTTTTCAACGTCATAATATAAATTTTTTTAACAAGCTAAAAGCTTTTTTCCAGAAATTATAACTCGTCGTGCTCCATGTTTTCTAATTGTTCTCCAAAATCTGTTGCTTCGCTGCCAACAAATGTTTCATGATTATTTATGATTTCTAAATAACTCAAACGAAGGTCGTGATCTTCGTCACTTATTGCAAATAAGTGATCAACCTCTTCCAGAGCAATTTGTTCTTGATTTGGTACAGCCCAAGATATAATTTCGTCGCCAGTTAAAAAACCATCTTTATCTTTATCAGCTGCTTCGTATCTAGTTCTCTCCTCTAATAACCATTCTTTATCTTGATCAACAGCTTCACCACCTACAAATTCTTTGAAATCGATTTTCCCATCTTTGTTCGTGTCTCTATCATTCAAGGTTTGTTTTAAAACTAACGGTGCCATTTCGGGACTTTCCTCTGGATTTTGAAACAAAGTATATTCTTCACGTGTAAGTTTTCCATCTTTATTAAAATCAGCTCCGAAAAAAAACATTTTGTCGTTTTCAAGGGAGTAAATTTCTTCAGATGACACGGAAGTTTCATTATCGGTATCGTATGTATTTAGTAAATATTCCTCCCATGTAAGAACTTCGTTACTATCGGTATCAGCAAGATCAAAGTTATCGTTTGCTTCTTCCTCTGACAATTTCCTAAAATACACATTTTGAAAAAAGAAATACACACATATAATATTTGTAGATTTTAGTCAATGCGGAAATAATGTCAAAGATTTTTTGTGTTTGTAAGTGCTGTTCAAATTCTTCAGCAAGAAACTGAAAGTAAGTACCTACATATGCGTCAATTTCAAAATGTAGAAACAATTACTTACTTAAATGATCTAATTATCCATGCTTTAAGTTCTGGTCGATCCACAAAACCATCGTTATTTAAATCCATTTTAATAACCAATAACCCTAATCGCCTTTTAGCTTCTTCTTCATTTAGTGTATCAAATTCCTCTGCCTCTCTGACGCTTCCTGTATTTTTTAAGTAATTGTATTTATTTTGCATTTTTCGCTAAATTATTTGTAGACGCTATACATACATACCTAAAATAGCTTCGTGATCAAATTCAACATGGTGCCCACCTTCGTTATGATTGGCATTTCTTGCATAAATCCCGTCTTTAAGCCTTTCTTTACTATTTAGTTTTTCATGTTTATGAGTGGATGCTGCTTGAACTACTAGTATACTTAATGTAAACACAATAATATTTATATTCAACTGTATTTTAGGAACCATGTTCTTAGATATTCTTTTTTAAGTTCGAAAGGTGAATATCCTTTTAAGTTTTAGATATAAGCGCAAACGTAAGTATGTACCTATCAAAAGTTCACTAAGGTTTGACTGTCATAAAAAGATTACTTCTAAGATTAATAATTTGCTAAAAGCTTGCTTAAAAAAATCCCAATACTAAGCATATTTTTGCTCTTGTGTAACAAAAAAAAAGTAAATTTTCGTACGTATAGAAGATGAGCTAAATCAATATAGATATGTATGTAGCCACAAACGCAAAAAATCCATACATAAAAATTACCGGAAAACCTCTACGTGGTGTAAACAAAAGAATTCATCGTTAGAAAAATAAATAAACACAAATTTTGTGTACATATTTCGCTTTTATATACATATAAATTTTTATATGTGTATATATATACAAATATGCCAAGTTGTGAACAAAACAAGTATTACCCTATTAATTTCGAATTTTTTTTCGACTGTGTTAAAATCAGTGTTGGGGTGTTTGTTAAAGTAAAATTTGCTAGATTCAAAAAATTCAGTACTATTTTATACCAAATATTAAAATATGTATTCGTATTCAAAAGATTGCAAAAAAAAATTGATAGACAAACCTCGTTTTATATGACAACTTAAATACTTGACTTGAAATCATCTCACAACTCAAGCTGAGTTTTTATTATCTCGAATTTACGCGTGTTAATATTACAATTTCTGTGTAACTCTAATACTGACCTTCTACTATTCAACTTGGCCTTTCAGAACGAGTTTTTAACATATCGTCTATCTCGCTTTTTTACTCGGAAAGTGAGAAGAAAATGAGTAACTATTATATACTTGTATAATGTCGTTTGGGAGTGAGAAAAATTATTTGGTATTGCGTATCGTAATTATATTGTAAAATTTATTCACTTTGTTTTTGAAAGTGAGATATTCAATCGACAATTTGAGAAAAAACGCAAAAATCGAATTGAAAAAATCAGCAATCTTATTGGAAAAGTAAAATATCTATTAGAGAAAACTGAGAATTCTGATTTGAAAGTGAATAAAAGGTGAGTAAAAAAGCGATGTACACGATCAGGCTGTAAATCTTTTAGAGACACAATGAATCTTAAGGTTAGAATCAATTTTAAGTGTGAGTAGCTTCAAGAATGTTAGTCAACATGTTTTCAATATGTTGAAGGAATCTAGTATAGATATTTATCTTCTATTTGAGAAAAAGGACGACTCTTTCTTTTTATTATAATGTCAGGTTTTTTCGTTTAGCTTAAGCTACGATATTCTTTTTTGGAAATATTGCCAGGTTACTCCGGTAAAAAATTTTCATTAAATTGTCTCTGTGATTTTTAGATTTTGTCAGCTTAGTTTGAAAATAATATAAGGGCGAAATTTAAAAAAAAAATCTAGTTAGATTATAAAAAAAGATTTATTAATTAACGATTTAAAAATAACAGAATTATTTTTTGACAACGTCAAAGCGTATGTTAAAATTAATACGACTTTCCAAAAAATTGAATAATGCTTGGTGAAAAAAAGGACTTATAGAACAAATCTTATTATTTTTTATTAAGTTAACAGAGTTAAAATTGAATACCTTCTTTTGAAGGGATATGCTATTAAAAAGGCATGAGTTATTTTTTGACAATGAAAGTTTTTACTAAAATAGTATTCGTTAAAGAAATAGTATTAATTTAAAATTAATACAACTTATCCAAAAATTAAATAATTTTTGGTGAAAAAAGTAAAGTTCATGCAATAAAACTTATCTTTTAATATTTTATATAGTTTTAATTTTAATTCCTCTCGTTAGGGGAGAATTACAACACTGGTGTATTAATAGTATTAATTTAAAATTAATACAACTTATCCAAAAATTAAATTATTTTTGGTGAAAAAAGTAAAGTTCATGCAATAAAACTTATCTTTTAATATTTTATATAGTTTAAATTTTAATTCCTCTCGTTAGGGGAGAATTACAACACTGGTGTAAGTTGTGTTTATTAGGTCGGTTTTGCATCAGTGGATGATATACGATGCATTACCGCTTTGCACGAGTATCAATACGTAAGTAATTCCACATAAGTCGTTTCTCGTATATGAGTAGGCACCAATGCCGTTGAATGTAATAAGTAAAACGTTTAAAATTAAATATTTTCCTTTTTGTTAATATTTTTCTTTATAGAGTGAAGATTTGGTCAGCAAATAAAAATGAAGACGGATGCCGTTGAAAGTAGTAAAATAAAATATTAGTGCGAATCATTTATAAAATATGAGTGAAGCTCATATAAGTAATGAGCGAGTGAACGACAATATACCAATCACTTTAGTGAGTAATAACGTATAAATTAATTATTAATATAATAATATATTACGTAATAATATATAAATTAAATTATGAATTTTACTAATACAACATCATAGTTGAGAAATTATCATAGTTGTGCCTCTGTAGCTTAGTTGGTAGAGCGTCAGCCTAGAAAGCGGTAGGTCACTGGTTCGAGTCCAGTTCGAGGAGAAAATTTTTTTAATTAATTTTTCTGCCTTTAACTCGTTCCTTTGATTACGTCATCCATCTGTTCTGCAGCTGCATGAAGAAATTTTCATTAAGTTAAAATATAAATTAAAATTTGTTAAAAAGTATATAGTTTTAGAGAAATTTTTTATCGAAATTGAACAACGCAACATTGTATCCGAATTGCAATTAAGATTGAAAAATCTTTTGCTAACATTGTAAGTAACATAATAAGTAAGCTAATACATTGTAAGTAACATTCAAGGCAATATAAAATATAAAAATGTGTGACGTTATTCTTCAATTGATTATGTTCAATTCAAGGGCAGTGAGATACTCGTATTGTAATATTAAAATACGTATACATATTTAATTTCAATTTATAAAACAAATTTATTCAAAAAAAAAAATATGGGTTTTGTTTAAAATTGATTTCTTTTTTGCAGATATTTTAAAATATATTTTAGTTTAAAAAAAATTTGTAATTTATATTTCTTACATTAGAAAATAAAATATATACGATATTGTTATAACTTTGACAATGCTCGGAGCAAAAAAAGAGCCTTTCTTGTCCTTAGTTTTCTTTTCCCTACTAACAGTTTAAATAGTTTTGTAATGTTATCGCAAATTGTATTCCTCATTGAAATTTAGAATTAATATTGTGAATATTAGCGTTTTTCTCTAGATGTTCAAATAGGTTGGCAACGTTATTATTTTGACAATTGGAATAAAAAGTCATCAAAAAACTTCAATTTCAAGCAAAACGAGACAAATTAGATTCTATATTATATTGTTTTAAAATTCAACTTAATTTTTAGTACATACGTTTTAATTGAATAGCAGTAAAATTATTTGCTTTATTAAAGAGTTTTTAAGGTAATTATTTGAAATATGCTTACAATAATAAAAACAGAATAAAACAAAATATTTGTTGCTAAAAAAGTTTGGTACAAATTTTAAATTCATTTTTAAACAATATCATGAAATATTTTAATTCAATTTATAAATTATGTAAATATAAGAAAAACACTATTTTCAAAACAATAATTATTGTATTGAAAATATTAGTTCAAAAATGTCCCTGCAACGAATGTGCAATACTAGCTTTTAAGTGTTATTGGTGTAGATAAGATTAAATATTACGTCGCGTATATGTAAGCAATTCATTCTTTTAAATATATTGAGAAAATTGACAAAAAAGTATATTTCAACTTAAAACTAATTCAGTAAAAGCAAAAAGAGTCAGATAAACAAAACCAAGCTTGGAAGCAATAAAACGAGTGAAAAAAACGTGTCTGCACATATGTACGTACTTGCATAATGTATATTATTTCGGAATTTCTATTATATTATACATACTTTTATATTGAAATTAAATTACTATGAAATAGTTATGTCGGTTTTATTAAGTATCTTAAAGATAGATTGTCAATGCTTTATAGTTGGTCCAGGTTTTTCAGATAACGAAAATAACAAAAATTATGTTTTTTTATGTATTCGAGGTGAGTACATATTTCACTGATGCGGTAAAGATCCCAAAAGCTTATAGCAAGCACTCATAATTTTCTCTTCTTAATACTCACTTCTTTATAGATATTTTTATGATATCCAAAACACATTTTTATTTTTCGTCAATTAGATTTAGTGATATACTTTACGTAAATCTAAGAGAGTGTTAACAGAAATTACATAATTAATATTTTGCTAATACGAAAATTACCGGCAAGAAAATGCAAGTAATCTTCGATTCCAATAGACAGGACTTGAAAAATAACTTAATATGTATAAAAGACAATAATTTAATCTTAAACTTAATTTCTGAATTAAACTTCAAAGATTTAATTCTTTTCCTTTTGCGACCATAGGTTCTACTTTGCTCTAACTGAAACCTCTAAACAAAAGAGGATTGGATTTCATTCCATTTCAATTATATGTTTATATGCTATATGTAATATTATATATGTACTATGAATAAACAAACCGAAATACTTTACAGTATTTTTTTATTTAAAAAGATAGCAAAAAATAGTAGTAAAATTTTTTGAAAAACAAAAATTTGGGAATAGGTAGGTACATACCTACCTATTAAATGTTATTCAGAACTTTAAGACAGTGTTAGAACCGGTCGTAGATAACTTTAGAGTCCTTTGTTTTGTTGCATGAATATATTCTAAATTTTCTCAAACTGAATAAATTTTTTATTACATAATTAAAATTCCTTTCTTTTATTTTTACGTCAAATATCAAACATGCTTCATATTTTACTTAAAAGAACTAAATTGACATAAAAACAAGAGAACGGAATTTTGCTTTTTTATTATATACTAATGTACATAAATTTTTCAAATTGCATATATATACTCCCAAGTCAGTGCTTACTTTAAAGTTAATAACTTATTACTATTTTCCTCATTTCCAAACGAACACATAGATTAGCATTTTATTTCCCTACCTACATATGTAAATCATATGATCGAAAGACGCAGTAGTTTTCAATTTTAAAAAAAATAATATATTTTAGTTAGGTATTAAATTGGAATATTGAAAAATTGATTTTTTATTTAGTCTTAATACCTATGTACGTAGAAAAAAATAAGAATTTTGGCTACCTGAGTAGATATTTTCATTTTGGGGCCCCACAACATTTGAGTTAATGTTTCTCAAAATATTTTCTTATATGGCTATGTAGATGTTATGTTATAATTTTTGTTTGAAATTTCAATATATACATATATATATACATATATAAAGCTTCATTAATGCCACGAGTTTAGTAAGTCGTTTAAAATACAATAGGACATTAGAAAAAAATAGGACTTAACGAGTCGGACCATTCTAAAATTAAGAAACAAAAGAATACAACATAAATTTTATTTTGTTCCAGAAAATCATAAAATATTTTGTACTTACTAAAAAAGCAATATATTAAAAAATACTTTAGCAAAAGAATTTAAGATTATACAAAGAATGTTTTACGTTCTCAATGATAAATATTTAAGGTTTCAATTAAATTGAGCGCACTGTAGTAAATAAATACTTTCTTGTAGTTTAGAAAAAAAATTTGAACAATTTTAATTTAGTCTGTGAAAGTTATTCGAGCATCTGACTACTATTAAAAAGTTTTATTTTGTATATTTAATGGCATTACTTGAATTTGCATATTTTATGTATATACATATATAAAAAAAATAATATAATTAACTTTTAAAAATGCTCCTTTATTTCGTATTAAAGATATAACAGAAAAATTTCGTGTTTTGTGAGTTTATAATCAAATCCGAGATAACAGTATTAGACAAAAAGTTATTTAAACGCAAAAAAATAAACTATTTATTTGTCCATACGTACATATTTTATACATATTTTAAAATTTGCTTTTATATACATATACGTTCTATATAGGATTAATTTTAATTTAATATTGTAAGTGGATACTTTTAATATTTTGCCACCAACTAATAGAAGTGTACTTAATTCAAATGAGAAGAAATTATTGAAAGTGTTTATCATTAATATAGATTTTTTATCGATTGTTCGCAGGCAAATTTTAAGTTAATGTATTTATGGTTATTGAAATGGTGTCGTATGAAAATTAATGATCAAACATATAAGTAAAAGTATAAATTTTGTATTTGCCACTTTAAAAAATAATTTTTTATCATATATAGCCAAAGACTTTAATATCAAACATATAATATGTATTGGTATACATATATTCATAAATTTTTGTAACTTAATAAAACTTTCATTGATTCACAAGTAAAAAGCAAAGAAAAAATTTTCAATGCCATATATAATAATACGCGGTAATTTAGCTTCATATTCACATAAATATCCATGGCGTGTATTAGTTTCTGGATTGAAAGGTAATGTTAACAATAATATAAAATATAATTAAAATGTATATTATAAATGTGTGTATATTATAATGTATATTAACGATGTAATACTTACATTTATATCTTTAGAAACAAAATCGGTAGCAATTACCTGTTTTTAAAATTTTACGTTACGCCAAATTTTGATTTGTTTTCTAAAAGATTTTATGCCTAAAATTTTATACTAAAAATAAAGTCTAAAATTCCGAGTAAAATAATTTTTCAAAATATAATAACATATCGGAGGTTAAAATTTTTGGAATGATACCCAATCTATTCGAGTTATGCATGAAGCAATAAAATCGTTTTTTGTTCCCAGTTCAGGATTTAAAATTTGTAGACCCTTGATTTTGTCAGAAAAAACTAAAATGTGCATTAAAAATTAAAATAAATACAGATTTGCATATATAAATACATTACAAGAATGTGCATAAGAATGCGATATGGATTTTTGTCTGGATCTGGAGCACAAAACGTATATAAAAATATAAAAACGTAGATCAGAAGTTCTTTTTATTTTTGTTCCAGAATAGAAAATTTTTCGGAATTTCAACTTGCAATAAAGGGAATTATAAATTTTTAAATTTTGTGAAAACTAAACAATTAATTTAATTTTTATATTGTTTTTTTCTGCTTCGCCTCTGTTTTAAAAGGGCACTTGAATAAAATTTAGATTGATTTAAATATGATTTTCAGATTATATCAACATAACATCTTCAGTATAACACCTTTTCAGCGAGTTGTTTAAATTATAATTACATAAGTAAGTAGGTAATGAAAACGTCATTTCAAAAGTTTTTTTTGTCACATATAACAAATGAAAAATTAATTTTTAAGAAAATCTTATTTATTTAAGTAAATAATAACCAACAGAACAAATGTTGAAAGTATTTGTTCTGTGTATTACTAAAAGATTTATTCATTTTTTCAAGAAAAATGTGACATCTGAGTTCTCCTTATCTAAGGTTTTATTACTGAATGAGTTACATATATACATATTATATATACAAAAAATAAATACAAATTATATATATGCACATACATATGTATGTATGCACATTATGAGTGCATTAATATCATAGTTTTTATTACATTTTACTTTTCATTTTAGGAGATGATATTGAACAGTTGAAGAAAATTCCATTTGGAGGATATAGTGACGAATCAACTATAGTTTATTTGGTTCATCCTTGTGTTATATTATCAGCTTGTGAAGTGAGTGATATTTAAATTATAATTACCTTTTTTTATATAAGTACATATGTAATTAAATTTCCTAATTTTTTACACCCACGCGGTAATAAGGATGTCATTTATCAAAAATTTGGGAAAATAATTTATATAAAAACAAATCATAAATTTATGTATATAAAACTATGATCGCCAGTGCTAAGTTATAAAACTTGCTTTTCACTCGAATAAAACACAAGAATAGAAAATATGAACAAATGTGCATACATATGTACATACATACATCGCACATAGTATTTTGCTTTAAAAAATATACATACACTCATCCCTCGCTTTACGAAACTAATATGTCTCGGAAATGTTGTCCGTAAATCGAAATTCCCTAAATTGAGTCTTTTTACTTACATTACAACCACATAATTTTTTACTTAAACTTATATAGTAACATACATATATTTGTTGTTAATTTGCAAAAATTTTAGTAGAATTTTATTATTATAACAACATTAGACGGCAAGAATCAACAAGAAATTTTGATTTTTGGAAAAATAGCAATTACATACATAAATTCTTTGCATTATTTTGCTCTGATCTCTGTTTCATATAAAACATTAGAGTGCGTATTTGCAGTGGTGTTATCTAGGGGGTCCGCGCAGACCCCTTGTTAAAAGTTTCAGAGTCCTCCGTACCCTTTTTTTTGTTTATTTTCTGTTATGTTTTTCGCCCTTTCGTAGCTCATTTTAGCTTAAAATAATTTTTTTCTAGTTTTTTATTTTTATTTCTTGTTGGCGTTTCTTTTTTTTATTGTGGAGAAAAATAAACGTAATAGCAAGTTATAATATTCCCGTAACAGATTTTAGAGATTTGTTTGATTAAAGAGATAAGGATATAAAAATTAGCTCCATTTTGAGAGCTAAAAGAATTTTAAATGTAATTGCTGTTAACTCAGCTGAAACTGAAAGGGGATTCAGCGCAATGAATAATATCTCTTACTATAAGAGGAATTCCTTAGTAATTGAATCAACTAATGACATTAAGTTTAAAGGGTAAATCAATGAAAGATTTTGATGTTACACCATGCGTAAAATTATGGTTGCGACAATGCCGAACCTGAATCAAAAAGTAATTTTGACATTATTTGAATATTTTTCTAATTTGGTATTTCAATAAAATATAATATGCAGTAATTATTTCATAAGAAAATATAATATCTACAATAGTTTTGTTTTAAGTTTTATGTTACTTACTTTAGTAGTTAATTGTGGGGTGGGCTTTTAGAGGTCAGGACTTAAGTCGATAAGCGGAGCTCTTGTTAAATATTTTGAATGACACCACTTCATATTTGTATATACATAATCACAATGATTTTTATGTATTTACATAATATTTAACATATATGTATATTTAAACAAAAAAATTCGTAGAAATTAGTTTTTTTTTTTATAAAAATTGTTATTTTTTAGATTTTTAGACTTTTTTTGCATTTTAAAAATTTTCCGTAAATCGAATTTTTTTCCGTAAAAAGACACTTTGATTTAATTTTTGAATTCCGTGAAACCGAATTTCCGTATAAAGAGCTTCTGTTAAGCAAGGGTGAGTGTATTTACAAAAAAAAAAAAATTAAAATTATAATGATGTCCCTAACATGAAGTATAAATGTGTGTTGCTAAATGTGGACATGTATATTAGAAATGTATCCACTATATTTATAATTTTAATTGAATTCATCTAGTTTTCGGTGCTAAGTTTTGACTAATTTATGCATAAACTAACTTGTAAAGTAGATAATTTGTACAGTACGCACATGCAAACATAAAAATGATATAGGGCAAGATCGGGAAAGAAGAATAGTGATTTACTGTTACTTTGAAAGTATATATGTACATATGTATGTATTTAAAAATAAATACAGACATTGTTTCTGCTGTTCATTTTTTCTTTTTGTTAAATAAATTGAATATTTATTTTTCCATGTAAAAGAAGAATCTAATTTTCAGAGGGGTGCGAGAGTACATTTTCGCATTGAAAAGGGTGCGATACATTAAGAAGTTAAGAAACACCGCTTTAGAGTTACATAAATTGTTAAAAGGAAATACTTTATTTTACATACCAAGTTACTGATTGACTACATTTTTAAAAGCGCATGTCCCTAAAATAGAGAACTTTAAAAATTTTATATTTGTCGTATATAAGAATATTAAGAACTCTAATTACAAAGCCTGAAATCATGGAAATTTATAGACTATTTCGTTGCTACTATACATACATATGTACTTGATAATTAAACAATTAGATGACAAGAAAAATTTAAATTTTCAATTATTATTGAACAAATATCTTATAATAAATTTCTATATGACCTTTGATAAACGATATTAAACATCCCCAATCATGTAAAGTTTACTTAATTTAATCACTTTAAATTAATATTGATTACATTTCACAATAAGATAAATATAAATATTGCAATTATGTAGTGTAAGTTTGTATTTAAAAAATTTGTATATAAATGTGTTGCCTGTTGTTAAATTTGCAAAAGCACATGTGCAAATAAATTCTGAAAGATAGTCAAAAATTAATGATGAAAAATTAATATTGTAAATTCAAAACAAAAACTGAAATCTTTTAAAAAATTTTTAATTAATACCAAAAATCAATTGTTCTTAATAGAGCAAATTACACTGAATAAAATAATTTCAATCTTTAGGTTTAGTGACTATTAAAGATATTATATAAATAAGAAAAATATTATACGGGAAGTTTCGTATAAGGTGGGAAATAATTTGTGGGATGATTATTTTATCAATTCCAGCAAAAAATTGAAATGGGGGGGGGGGGGGGGGGGGGGGGGAAATCCATTGAAATTGCTGGAAATTGATTAAAGAATCATCCCTGAAATTATTTGCCATCTTATGCAAAACACCCTGTATAAAAGCAGATTTAATTTTTCCAATATATTTCTATAGTTGCATAATATTATATGTATATATACATATATATTTTATAATATTATGATGCATATCTGTTGCCATCAACTTGATATGAAATGAATTGACTATGCAAATTGAAATGCATAGATGAGATTTAATTTTATACCTAATAAAGATTTCATTTTATATCTAATCACATCTTGCAGTAGTTGACCTCCGTGTAGAGAGAGTTTGCCCTAATTTTTTTTGTCTTCTATTTCCGATTTTTATGCAGCAAAACAGTATTTTTCCTTCCGGTTTAGGCAAGAAGCTATCCTCTAAATAAAAAAACCATTTTTATTTTTCTTCCGGTTTTTAGGCTAGCTATCCTGAATGAAATATAAATGTAACAATATACATATATTATCTTCTTAAAAAAAGATATAACGTATGTTTATGCCTCAAATAACTATAACAATTTAATTCAATTTTTATGTCATAACTTAATTTGAAAATTATTACTATAAAAAATGTATGTTTATGGAAAAATAATCCATACATTTGAGATGAATTTTTATGTATGGAAAAAGAACAATAAAAATTTTTGATGTACAAATATATTATGATCATAAAAAATTTAAAAAAATATATACAGGTCTATGTGTAACATCTGAAGCATTTTCTTAAATATCGTAAAATATTTTGTTTACAAAATTTGATTCTAATTTAAATAAAGGTCAAGTGCGAAGTGCAGTGAAGTTCGAGAATTTTTATACCCGTACGAACGTATGTTCGTATCGTTACCGTTTGTAACGCTAAGAAATAACAGTCTTAGATATAGACTCAACTGTATGTTTTTGATCAGCGTTGAATTCTGAGTTGATTTAGCTTTGTCTGTCCATCCGTCCATCTGTCCGTCCGTCCGTCCCAACGATAACTCAAAAACTGATTGAGCTAAGTTCACCAAATTTTCACAAATGATTTATTGTAGTAAGTGCTAGAACCCTATTTAAATTGGACATGATCGGGGTACCGGTTCGCGTAGCTGCCATACAACTTCAAAATTTATTTGGCTATATCTCAGAAACTATAAAAGCTGTGGTATTGAAATTTCACACAAACGAATATATTAGTAGGGCCAATATGTCACACAAAAGTCGTTGATATTACTTGGCTCCTTCTGGTACCTGCCATACAATTTCAAAATTTATTTGGCTATATCTCAGAAACTATAAAAGTTGTGGTATTGAAATTTCACATAAACAAATATATTGGTAGGGCAAATGTGTTTGATAAAAGCCGTTGAAATTGCTCGGCTCCTTCTGGTAGCTCTCATACAACTTCAAAAGTTATTTGTCTATATCTCAGAAACTATAAAAGCTATGGAATTGAAATTTCACAAGAACGAGTATATTAGTACGGCTGATGTGTCTGATAAAAATCGTTCACATTACTTGGTTCCTTCTGGTACCTGCCATACAACTTCAAAAGTTATTTGCCTATATTTCAGAAACTATAAAAGCTATGGCATTGAAATTTCACACAAGTAAATATGTTAGTAGGGCCGATGTGCTTGATAAAATTGTTTTCAAGAAGCAAGAGCAAATTATTTTTTCAACTTACACAAATGTAATCAAACTGAAATGAAATAGTAAAGCTATTACCAAAGCCTTTTATGGAAAACTTATGCTTTAGGCTTTACAGTTTAGTACCATAAATGCCTATAAAAGTATACAAACTAATTTAATTCTTGTAAATCAAATCTACACGCATGTGTTATTAAATTAAATAAGTCGAAGAAAATTTATTTCAAGTCCGGGTTAAAAAAAAATTGTGAGTAACGAAATATGAAAATTGTTACGAGTATCTAATACAACTGACATGGTTATGTTTCTATTCAGGTAAAACACTAAATAACACAATAGCGGTGGGGGCCTCCGCTGCCTGTCTCTGCCTTTTTTTTTTGTAAAGGAAGCCTCCCTAAATAAGGTCGTTTTCATTTTCATAAAATCACAAAATAATTTTAAAATTGTAAGATTTTTTGCATACTAATGTGAATTACCATGTACATACATGTGATATATTTCAAAGTAGGTATACCTCACTGTATACTTTTTTTTGAGTAACCAATTTATTTTGATACAAGCTTAATTCAAAAAAATATAAAACAAAAGTTTTAGTTATGAGAAGTAAGAAGTTTTCATCATAGTTTATTTTCAGATTAACAAACGAAATGAACTCAGGATTAATTTAGCAATAAAATCAAGAAAATATATTCAAAGACTGTTTATTTTAGTTCCTTCTGGTACCTGCCATACAACTTCAAAAGTTATTTGCCTATATTTCAGAAACTATAAAAGCTATGGCATTGAAATTTCACACAAGTAAATATGTTAGTAGGGCCGATGTGCTTGATAAAATTCGTTAAAATTTCTTGGCTCTTTCTGGTAGCTGCCATACAACTTCAATAGTAGTTTGGCACATACAGTATTTTGAAAAACACATGGTACTGAAATTTTGTATAAATTAATATGGTAATACGGCAACTTAAAGTCATAGTCTGTCCCATAGTCAGTTATGGCATCTTTATTCGCACATAGAATAACAAATTCGTACGGGTATCACAGAGTTGACAAGGTCAACTCTATTTTTTTCTCGTTTTAATTTATAGTTAATAGTACGAGTATTATATACTATTGAAATTTCGTATTCAAAAAAATTGTTTAAGAAATATTTCGATTTACATATACAAAGCTAATAAAGTTGGGTCAAACCAATGGTTTATAATGTGGCACTTTTCCCTTCAACAAGTGAACATACAGTTTTCAAAAACAATGTAGCTACTTACTACATTATTTAAAACTACTTTCATTCATACACGAATATATATCAAAAATTGTATTTTTTTAGGAAAGAGGCGTTAACATAATAATTGAACTTAAGGAATAATTACGTGAGTTAAGAAAAAAATTATTCTTTTCTATGTAAAAGCTTTCTGCATCTATAGAAATTTGGAAAAGCTTGATAACTTAAGAAGGGTTGGGGGTGGGAAAAAGATTTCTTCTAATGAAATAAATTACTTATCAATATTTAAAAGCTTGCTTTAAAATTTCAGACTACTAGAACGTACGGTTTGGAAAACAAAACAATATCAAAAATCGAAAAAAAAGGGCTTAAGATAACGGTTAATTTTAGCAGCTCTTTTTTGCTTTTTAATATTCAATTATACTATACAAAATTTGAAAAATGTTTATGGTTTCCTTAAAATAAGTAGTCAAAAATGGCATTTTTAGGCTTTGAGGGGCTACATCTTTTAGAGGGGGGAGATAGGTCTGATCTGGGATTGAAAAAGTGCTAAAAATAAAATATAGTTATAAAAAGGAAAAATAATTATTAATTATTACTTAAAAGCTCAAAACAATAATTGGGTTAAAAATATGTATGTAAAAAATAGATAACAATATTGGTATGAATAAAAAGCCGGAACTCAGCTTATACAGTGCTGGTTTTCTTGCAATCTACAATAAGTTTAAGTTATATTGCTGTTTAACAGACATTCACTTTAACTAGCTAAGTAAGAGTTTAACATTTTTTCTTCTAGCACTTTTTCTTCTTAAAATAATTAGCATTTCTTCTTCTTATTTTGTCAAAGTGCAATCTTTATTACTTAATTTCATTGCTTAAGAATAAAAAAGATGTACAATAATTCACTTATGGCAAAATCTTACTTATACTTAAGGAATTGATCTCGCGTAAAACTTGATTTTTAATCAGGTGTGTAAAATTTGATCGACCAATGGTCAAAGATTTCACATAAACAAAAGTCGAGCGTCCAAAATGCATTTTATCAGCTTCAGCTTTATATGTAAAGTTTAAAAGTTATTAGATAAGTACATAAGTGGAAGATTGTTGTAACATTTCAAATTTGAACTTTAAACATCCTAAGTTAATACTTAGTGTTGCGAGAAATTGTGTGCAAATCGCTTTAGATGCCCCACAGGACCATTTTTAATGAGATTATAATTTTTATTAATATTTAAACCGTTTTCACTTGAGTTTTTAAAAATATACATATATAAGGCATATTTTATTACATATGTATGTATAACCATCTATGCAACATAACTATCCAAGACAATGAAAACGTTTATAATATGTTAACGTTTATACATATAGCTATATTAACTATGTTTGTGTATTTGTACCATATTGGTTTATTCTTTAAGTAAATATTTTATTTGAAAGCAGATAAAAGGATTATGTAGTCTCTACTAATATGCTTTTACAAAATAGTTAGCCTATTATGAAACATTTACGCGCGTCGTAACTGGTTTTGTCTCATCGAATTGAATATTGCTGATTTTATAGGTTTTACTGATGTATTGTCAAAGTATTTTTGGAGTCATGTAGCACTTATTGCAAGAACTTTTGAAAGTACAGCTAAGTTGTGTTCAAATAGTGCTGCTTCCACCAAATCCTATATTGAACATAGGGGTTTTAATTGTTTTCAAGAAGCAAGAGCAAATTATTTTTTCAACTTACACAAATGTAATCAAACTGAAATGAAATAGTAAAGCTATTACCAAAGCCTTTTATGGAAAACTTATGCTTTAGGCTTTACAGTTTAGTACCATAAATGCCTATAAAAGTATACAAACTAATTTAATTCTTGTAAATCAAATCTACACGCATGTGTTATTAAATTAAATAAGTCGAAGAAAATTTATTTCAAGTCCGGGTTAAAAAAAAATTGTGAGTAACGAAATATGAAAATTGTTACGAGAATCTAATACAACTGACATGGTTATGTTTCTATTCAGGTAAAACACTAAATAACACAATAGCGGTGGGGGCCTCCGCTGCCTGTCTCTGCCTTTTTTTTTTGTAAAGGAAGCCTCCCTAAATAAGGTCGTTTTCATTTTCATAAAATCACAAAATAATTTTAAAATTGTAAGATTTTTTGCATACTAATGTGAATTACCATGTACATACATGTGATATATTTCAAAGTAGGTATACCTCACTGTATACTTTTTTTTGAGTAACCAATTTATTTTGATACAAGCTTAATTCAAAAAAATATAAAACAAAAGTTTTAGTTATGAGAAGTAAGAAGTTTTCATCATAGTTTATTTTCAGATTAACAAACGAAATGAACTCAGGATTAATTTAGCAATAAAATCAAGAAAATATATTCAAAGACTGTTTATTTTAATGGATTTATTATGAAATTATTTTGAAAAGTCAATAAACGGCGAAATAATTGTTATTAACGGACAAAAAATAGTTAATTTCAAATATTTTGAACCATCAATATTTCAATTTGAATCTCCTTTCGTTTAAACTGCAACAATATAACAGAAACGCAACTACAAAAGTCAATTGAAAAATTTGTACACTTTTGATATTTTTATAGAACTTAAACAACAAAAATAATAAACATAAAAATATATTTAACATAAGAAACATTAAAAAAGAAAATATTTGACATTTTCTCATTTTAATTTTGTACAAAGTCAAAACAACAAAAACATCATATAATTTCAAATTAATACATAATACAAAACAATATTAACTGAAGGTTTTTTTCAAAAATTTTGAGATTTTTAAAATCTCCTGAAACGAAAAATTTCGCAATATTTTATACAATAATAGATGAAGAAAAAGAAGCTAAGAGCTTTACCACCCGTTCCAAAGAAAAACGATGAGGTTATTAAAATACGTGAACGTACCGGCCCAACGACGCATGAATCAATTCAATCAGCTTTACATTTTGCATCCAGTATAGAAAAAGTGAAAAGCTATGGATGGTATTGGGGTCCATTATCATGTACAGCTGCCGAAAAGTTATTATCTAATGAACATGATGGAAGTTTTATTGTACGTGATAGCTCAGATGATCGCTATATATTTTCCTTGTCATTTAAGCTAAATAATAGCGTCAGGCACGTAAGAATTGATCAAGATCAAGGTACATTCTCTTTTGGACCAAACGCTAAATTTAAGTCAGAAACAATAACAGAATTTATTGAAAAGGCGGTTGAACATTCTCGTAGTGGTCGTTATTTATTTTTTTTGCAACGTCGCCCAGAGCGTGGTCCAATGAGGGTTCAACTAACAAATCCAGTATCACGCTTTAAGCATGTCCAAAGCTTGCAACATATTTGTCGTTTTGTCATATTAAAAACAGTTATTAGAAAAGATTTAATTCAGTCATTACCACTACCAAGACGTTTATTGGATTATCTTAGTTATAAGCACTGTTACTCTGAACAAATTGAAAGTGATGACAGTAATTCACAGATATCCGAGGACGACGGATCTTGAATAACAATAAATAATTTAATGTATTATTAAATGTAATTAATTAAGGATATTCATATAAATACACTTTTATATTCATATACATATAAAAAAAATAAAATATATATATATAAATATATACATAAATATATATACATAGTATATGTACCTATATAATACATTACATTAAGTATATAAAATATCAATATACATATATGTATATATACACTATGTATATATATATATATATACATAATATATAATATATTATATTAAGTATATAATATATAAATATACATATATGTATATGATATATATATATATAGAAACGAATATATATATCTGTACGTGCATTTTTTATTTTGTATACAAAATAACAGCTAAATAGTATACCATTAATGTTTTTTACGCGAATTTTTAGTGTATAAGTAATATATAAATATATTATATATAAAGAAATTAAAATAAAACATCCAGGTGATAAACTAAGAGAAGCATAATATGCATATGCATATAAATATATATATATATATATATATATATATATATATATATATATATATATATGTGTATATATATATATATATGTATATATATTATATGTTTATACACATATGTATATATATGTATATATATGTATAGAAAACTAAGAAAGAATATTAAAAATTTAATTAAGTTTTCCAAATAAGATATTAAAGGAGAAAAAGTATTGAAAAAAAAGATATTACTAGACTCAAAAATAATTTGTATAATTAAAAAAGATAAAGGTAAAAAAAATTTACCTATTAGTTGTAAAAATAAAAAAAAAATGTATTAGGCGTGAATTCGGCACTGAAATGCTTCAACTTGTTATTATTTTTCTTTTGTTTTTCTTTTTAATTTTAAGAAAGATTACTTCCCAACTTTTGAAAGAAAATTTAACATCTTTATTATATCCCAAATCCTCACATAATTTGTATTTACATTTTGTTTATACATATACTGCAGGTTAGTGTAATAAGTAATATTACTTTGACAAAGTCTTAAAGTAAAATATTTCAAATGATTTTGTTTTTGTTATATTCGATATTTATGCTCTCAGGAAATGAAAGATAGTATTATGTGCTGAATTTTTATCCTAAGCCTGTTTTATATAATTTTATGTTAGATTCCATTGAAACGTGATTGGGAAACGTGCTAATTTTTATTTTAAAATATACAAATGTGTATGCATTATCTTTTTTAATTTTAATATGTTCGGAAATATAAAATAATAACAAATATCAAATGTTCGAAAATTGTTTGGTTAAATCTTTATTACTAAATGTTAAAGGCAAGTTTAGTAGTAGTACATATATACATATGTATGTATTATATAAAAACGAAAAAATGTTGCAAATGCATAATTTTTATGTTAACAAATTAAAGTTTTTGTGGTTTTAAAGTGTTTTTATTTAATACTTTAATTTTATAAATTATATATCGTTACTTTTATAATTTTATATAAATATAATATGGTATTGTTTTTATATGATTTAAATTTAAAATTTATATTCATATAAAAATGATATAAGATCACAAAAAATTTGTTTTTTCTTTCTTATGTTTATATTAAGAATAAAATTTGATTAAATTTTATTGATTTTTTGATAAGATTTGGTTGATATAAATAAGATATAAATAACCCCATTAAATAGCAAATTAAATTGTATTAAGAAATTTAAACATACAACGAGTTGAAATTACAAAAACTCAATTAAAATAAAATTTTTTGGAGCTCTTAAGGTTTACATATGTCGCATTATACCTTACATATATTGAATTTGATAGACAAATGTTAACTTCACGACCAAAGTCGAAAAAAAAAGAAAGAAAGGCAGATTCGGCTAAATCTCTTTATATGTATTTATATGATTCGAATGATTTCTCCTTGATTTAATTTATGTTTATAAGCTCAAATCATGATTTAAAACGTAACAGTATATATATGTATTTATTTCAAATTCGTTTATTACAATAGTCGTAGAAAATTTTATAAAAACAAGTAAAAGATTTCGACAATCGGTGACATGCACTTTGTTTTGACTGTAAATATGTATTTGTTTAATTTATTATAATTTTTTTACTCGTACATGTTATAAATGCAAGTTACAATTTTTTTTTCATATAAAAAAAATTAAATAAATAAACAGTTTTCAATAATTTTCAATAAGCTTCGTTCATTCTTTGCTCTGTAAATCGAGATATTACGAAAAATACATGTGAAGGTGTTTGAGGTGAAAACATAATATGTATATAATATCTATTTTTCTTTTTTTAACTCTTTAGGTATGCATAAATATATATAAACATATGTATATATAGATATATATATATATATATATATATATATATATATATATATATATATATATATATGAGTATATATATATTTATATATATACATAAAAGAAAGGATCATCCATCATTTCATCATTTTGTCGCTTTGTTGTTGATTCATTACGTGTTTTTAATTTGGCTATAAAATATAATTCGTAATAAAATGAATTTTTTATCTAAGTTTCTTTTCTTTGAATTATTTCAGGTTTTAGGGTACCGTGTTGTTGCTTCATCATCCACGTCAGTTAAGCAAGATTATAATGAATATATGTGGACTATGAGAAAGGAATTCAGTACACCAGAACCTGTAAAATCGAATTGCGTATTAGCAACAGATTCTCGAGCGGTTAGCGAGAATTTATCAAATTTATCAAGGGAAAAAAACGCAAAAGTATATAATAAAGTTAATTCACCGGAATAAACTTTATATATTCAATTTGTGTTAGCACACTAGAAATGTAAAAAACTTTTTTCAAGTTTCATTTAACTTTTCTTTTGAAACATACATATATTTATAATTTAATTTTATAAGGATGTTTCTTTTTTGAAATTAATTAACAATCCGGATCCAAATATTCGTGTTTCTTTGCATAATTTTTTTTGTTCTTTATATTGCAAAAGATGAAAGTTTAGTAAAAAAAATTCATTTGTTAATCACCGTCTTGAATCAGCATTTATCAAGTTTTATAGTAAATGATAGTATAATGGACAGTCAAACATCATCCCAACCAACCTCTCCAGTTCCCCAAGCTACAACACAACAGCCGTTATTGCAACAACCATTATCAGTAACATCTAATGCACTCACACCCGCTACAACTGCAGTTGTTACATCAACATCACCAAATGTTGTAGCTATACCTGTCCCAGTTGTTCCACCACCGGATGATATTTACACTTATATATGCGTAAAAGGTTCTTTACATGATGTTAATTCATCAATTTTTGGTTTGAATGGCGAAGAAATGTCTGCAATGTCCAAACGATTTTCAAAGGGAACAACTGAAATTGTTAATGGCATTATGGTTAGGGGGCCTCCAATTGAGGTTATTAATACATTAAGTAAATTAGGTTATAAAGTTGTTTGCAGCACTGGTGAAGTAGAAATTGTATGGACAATGCAAAGAGAAGCATAAAACATTGTACGCCTGCACTTATTTTTGAAATTAATTAAATATTATAAATATTTTAATCTTGCATAAAATTAAAATAATAAAAAACTAAACATATGTTACATAAGTGAATAAGAAATCTAAAGTTAAAAATATAGGTTTTGTCTAATAAAACTTAAATAATTTTTTTGTATGTATTTAGTAAACTTTTGATATAATGAAATATTGGTATTAAGCGAAAACTCTAAAAGATACTGTATTAAACGAAAACTATAAAAAATACTGTATTAAATAAATACTATTAATTTTTGTTTCTTTAATAATTTTAAAGTTTAATCTAAAATTAAACTTACAATATCAGTAGAAAATATTCAAAGTTTCATCATGGAAAACCAATTTAATTGCCATTGCAATCAACATTTTAGTGAAACGCAACAATCCTTATCTGAAATTGAATTTGAAAGAGGAATTTGGAATGCTGGTAGGATAAAACATATTTCCAATATATGTAAAAACATACTTTTCCGAACAGATGAAGACAAATGATCATTAGATAAGACATAAATTTGAAAATAATAATTTAAATTATTTTTTTAATTTAAGCTATTTGCAATGAAGTGAGTCGCATACAGTCATTTGTTTTAAATGGCAAAACAAACGATAAAGACAATTATGGGTACACAGCTCTACATTATGCAGCGCGGAATAATAACGAGGAAATTTGTAAAATGCTCATAGTAGAAGGTCAAGCAAATGTTAATGCGGTTACAAAAGGTGGAGTTACACCGTTACACCGAGCTTCAATGATGGGTGCTATATAGAGACTTGTCAAAACAAGATATACTACAATTTTTGTATTTTCAGGTCACTTAAATATCGTTAAACTACTAATACAAAATAAAGCAGATTTGTTAATACAAGACGAGGATGGGCAAACCGCTTTACATCGGGCATCCCAAAATAATCACTTAGAAATTTGTGAATATTTGCAAAAGAATTGTGCTGATTTAATAAAAATAAAAGATAAGAAAGGAAATGTCCCATATGATTTATTAACAGCAAAAAATAAAGAATTAAAGCTGTTGCTTAAACCTTAAAGATGTGAATTATATAATAATTTTGTTTATTTCACTGTGAATTGTATAATAATTTTGTTTATTTCACTGATATAATGTATACATTTTTGTTCAATTGAAAACAAACGAATAAATGGAATTTTTAGCGAGCTGGTTGTAATCAATATAAATGAATTAAAACCAAGTTATATTATGTATGTTAATAAAGGTAATTAAATGACACTTATATTATATATATTGTTTTTTTATAGCCGCACATTTTCTAAGTTTGAATTTAAAAAAAATTTTAGAGTTTCTAAAGTAATGTAAATTATTAATCTATTATAATCATAGAAAATTCATATACACAAATAAAAAAGATTTAAGGAAACAAGATTGATATATGCACTAAAATAATAGACCCCTCATTCTTCTTCCCATGCTTTGGCGATCATATAAAACGTTAAATTTATTGACAAAGTGATTTACATCGTTGCAACCCTTGGTAAGAGCTCCTAAGTAAGTAATCAAACCAACATCGTTTGATTGCGTATAAAATTCTTCGTTAAAAGATGAGCCTTGTACAACTGGAAGTCTTCTACTAAGGGCATATATATCTCTTAAGATATTGTGATTAACTGGCAATTCGCCATCTTCTATGGCCCTAACATATTTTAAAACCATTTTAATTCGTGAGTGCAACATTTTTATAGCACTATGTTGTGCAATCAAATGCTCTGCCACGACAGACTTTTCACCAGATTCACTATTAGACATTCTTGCGACATGATCAACACCTATCCTTTCAGCTTCTTCTGTAGCTAGTGTGTATACTAATGGTACAAAGAGCATTGTTGCCTCACCTTGAACGATATCAATAACTGACTCATATAATTTAATTTGTAATTGGTCAACACCATGACACATCGGATCCAGTTGCAACATAATTGGACATTCATTAATTTCACATATTTGTTTGTGAACATTAATATCCTTTATTGTGACTTCATCACCAGTTGTGTACCAACCCAAAAAATCCAGCTCACTAAAGACTTGTTTATATTGACTTTCTCTAGTTTTGTAATAATCCCGGTTTATTATAATTTCTTCACCATAAAGGTCAACTTTTAGCTCAAATGAATTCATAACTTCTATAGCTCTTCCTTTTTGTTTTCCAATTAACGCTCCAAAAACTTGTTGTTGAACTAAATGTGGCTGTTGAACGCCAGCCTGAGCTCTAATCCTTGTCCAATGCTCTGATATATTCATTACAACGAGAGGGTGGAGCGATACCGTAACTGATGCTATTGTTCCAGCTGCAGCCATTACATTTGAAGAGTTTGATGCATTCAAGCTTCCTAAATTAATTTGAATTTCAGGATCGGTTTCCATTTTCTCAATATTACAACTTGAGCTCATTTTCGTCTACAATTTGAGTAGTAATTTGACGGAAAATCTAGTAAGGTCAGACAAAGATTTGTGAAACGAAAAAACCAAAGTTGTCAAAACTGATGATAGCTTAGTTCCTTTTTGAATTTATCCAAAGGGGACGATTACACGCTCAGTGTTCATTTCTTCAGTTTTCACTGAAGTCACATATATTTTGTTGTTGTAAAAAAGAATGAAGAAATTGAAAATCCCTTTTAAATTTTTTTTAGTTATTTCGATTTCATTGTTCCAAATTTTATAACCAACGTTCCAAAGTAAAATGTCAAAATCATTTAGCAACTTACTGTTTTCCCATTCGATGTAAAAAACATTTAAATTTTATATTAGAGATACATATTTAAAATTATTTTCCGAGGTAACTATAGCAATAAATTAAAAAAAAATTTAGAAATAATTAAAATACACATAATTTTGTACATAGGAATAGACACACATAATGGATTGGAATAAAATTCAAACTGGTGCATTAATAAATTTTTTAAAGATGGACAAATATTTAAGTATCGTAAATATTAATCATCCGAGTCACTTAAATAGAATAGTTAGGGAAAATTGCTATTTTGAACTATGCAACGAAATGCAAGATATAAAGAGTGACGTTACCACGTCTGATTTAAAAAAAAAATTAATACTCTAAAGACGCAATACAATAAAGATATAAAATTATAAAAAATTAATGAGTTATTGTACAGCGTTTCACTTCCAATTTGTTCTTATTTCACAACTTTTTTACTTTCCGCCATCTGTAAAAGTCTTCAGTTAAAACTTATAGTGTAATCACCTGTCACTTTTTCAGAACTGAAGCACTGACGTGAACACTGAGCGTGTAATCGCAGCCAAAGGGATGTGCCTTGTGTGGTTTAGTGTTGGTATAGTTGAGCGAAAATGAATCACTTACTTTGTGGTTTGCACAAAAATATAATGTTGCACAATATGTTTTAACGAAAAATATGTTAAAGAGTTGTGTTTGGTTTTAATGTGGCATATATTATGTATGTATATAATTTGTACGAAAATTTGGAATTTTAGAAAACCACTTAAAGCTTTGATAAAAAAATACCTTTGAAACACCTTTATTTTGAAGGTAAATTTTCACCACATGTGGAGCGCGGTTGTCTATAATAATTTGTTTTACGTATTTTTCCTTACATTTCAAACTCTACACTAACTCATTAACATACATCCAGGAGGAGGAGTTTTTTTAATGAAAAAGTAGTCTTTTCGAGGAAAAGGGGATGTAGTTTCCAAATTATCAACTTACGGATTATAAATAGCAAAAGTTATTTTATTGATATGCAAGTTCTCAAATATGCAAGTACACAAATATGCAAGTTCTTAACACCCTCTTAGTTAACAGAGATATAAATTTAAAATGATTTTTCACTTAATTTAGATTACAAAAAATTATATTTACAGTTTGTAAGAAGTTTTTTTATTTAAAATTTAGTACTATTTAAAATAATTTTTAAATTTAATTTTTAAGCTCTTTAGTGGTATACTTAGAATTGCACTTACATTTTCTACCCTTACGCATTTTTTTAATTTCGCTTTTATTATATTTATGTGTTTCATTCATCTAACGTTATATTTTTGCCAGTTTGAACAACAGGGTTCTATAACATTGTCAATAAAGTCAAATATTTCCAAAGTTCAAGAAATTTACAAAAGTAATTTGACAGGTAACTTCTGTGAGAAACTAATAATTTACTGTGACAAAACTACAATCTATTCATGAATAGAATTAAGCATTCGTTAAGAAATATTTGATATTTTTTTACATATTCGAATACAAAAGAAATTATTTTTACTTCTTGAGTACTTTAAAAAAAATTTTTAAATTTTTTCTTTCACGGAGCACCAAATAGGACTACAAATTCTGCGACCAGTGTATAACGGCAGCCGTGATCAACACTACCTAAATATTCCCGAAAAGAAGTAATAATAATTGTCAAATGCGGTAATTTTGTAAATAATATATACCAATAAAAATAATTTTCCTTCTTCAATACAATCATGTGAACAACAACAACTTTGATTCAAAAAGTATAAAATCACCTAAATTCTTTGCCAGATCTTTTTTAATTTCGATTATTCGTTTTGAAGGCTCTTTTGAAGTAAAGAAAAGCGACAGCTTTGACAAGACTCTTTTAATTTTAGTGTATTCTCATTAAGTAAACCGTGACTATAACGAAGGCTATGTTGTAGTAGGGAGAAACGAAACTCAGATTTTTAAAAGTAAAAAGGCTAAAATAGTATATAAAGATTCTGTTTGGTATAAGAAAAACTTTATAAAGTTTTAGTATGCAAAGCGTTTTCGTATAATACTTTTTGAGAAACAATGAGATAAAATGATAACATCATCGTTTTCTCAATGTTTATAACTTTTTCAAGTAAAATTTAGTATTTTAAAAACTTATAAAATCATAAAGCTCTCTCTCTTTTCTTTTCTTAAAGTGTTTTAAAGTATTTTATGAGACGAAGTTAATGTTACGCAAAAGTTTTTTAGAAGACCAGCTGGTTTTTATTTTGGTTATAATTCTGTATTTATTCTTGAAAAAATTTTGGTCTTTTATAAGATGTATTCTGGTGCCAGTCTATTAATCTGTTTGTCTATGGTAAAGAATTAAAAATAATTCGATTTAATTTTTTGGTCCATTTGTCATTATTTTGGTTTTCTAGTGGTTTGTTTGAAGACGATTTTAAACTAAAAAATAATGCAAATAGATCAAAGAAAAAGTATTATAAAACGGCCTGCTAACGATTTTCAAGGCTAATTTTCTTTTATAATAACCTTTAATGAATCCGGTTAAACAAACGTGGTAAAATCAATTATTTTTTTTTATTGATTTTTAAGAATTATCTTTTTAAGTGTTATAAATAAACTGTTATTCTATGCTTCGCTTTTTATTTTTATGCATGAGCATTGCAAATCTTGGCTTTTGCATTCAGTTTACATTTGAAGAAAAGTTGGAATTTTCTATAATTTTAAATTTGTGATTTTTTCCTTAATTGAATTGGTAATGATATGGAATCATTAAGAAGTGGTCGAGATTTCCATACAGAAATAGATCTGGAAAAAGAAAGTGAAGACGGCGATACTTTATGTTGCTGCGAATATTTAGATAGGTAGGAAAGGGAAATTAAAGAATAATGTAGTATTACTAAAATTTTATTTTCCTTATATTTTAAGAAATCACGAGAAGAATCATATATTATTGTGCTGCTGCAATTGTAGAGATTTTGATGAAACCATTGAAAGGTGGTATTTTTTCCGTAATATACATATATATACATACTAATTTAGCTAAGGTATTTCGATCAGTCTTAGGCCCTTTGGTCGATAGTATATAAGTAGTTAATATCGATTTCTTAAAGGTTTGAATTAATTTTTGTTAAATTTTGGGTAGGTACGATTGAAAATAATATAGCAAAAAAAATATTTGTACTATATATAACACTATCTGGATATAAACAATTTCGTTATAATAATATAAGAGTTTGACAGAGTTAAATAACATTGTTATTATTTGGTTAATATTTTAATATTTTAGGCTAATTTGTTGCCGTCCAATTGAAAGACGTCACAGTATTGGTATGCTACTTACATTTCAAGACCGATTAAGAATACCATGGTGTGGAGGAGCAAAGCAAATATCTTTAGATTGTGTTGCACCGATGATATTAATTCCAATTTTGCTTTGTATTGCTAGTATTCATTATGTAGCAGCAGTTGTAATAGGTATCATAACGTTGGGATTCTTAAGTAACTTTTATTACCAGTTTCGATCGAGTGCCTATCGAACGAAATTTTTTTTTATGTGGATAATATGGTCAGGAATATATATGAAATTTATATTCCAAATTAAAGTTCCATTATTGGAAATATTACCAGCAGAAAATTATGTATTTATAATTTTAATTGGAATAACAATATTTTGTTTTTATAAAACAAGAAAAAATGCTAATAAAAATATGATAACGCAAGGGCTATCTTCGGAAGATGATTTAGAAGATATAGCGGAAGAGCAGACATCAGTTCTTATTGATAATGAGGATGAAGATGACAGTGGACATACACCAGAAATATGTCGTAATTGTCGAAAATATGTACCACCACGTGCATATCATTGCATTTTATGTAAAGCCTGTATTTTAAGAGGAGATCATCACAGTTTATGGTTAGATTGCTGTATTGGGGTAGCAAATCACAGAACTTATGTAGTTGGTCTCATTTTTTCCATAATGTCACTTATATTTGGTGCTTATCTCACATTGACTTCAATATGCTATGGATACTTGATAAAAACAATATACGGTGTTCACATTTTATTTCCGGATGACTGCACATATGTTTTTGATCGTTTTGAGTAAGTAGAAAATCTTAAAATATTTAAAAATTTTTGTTACATTGATTTTTGTTTTAGAACAAGTCTTCCTTTTGTTGTTGCCATATATGCATTGATAATCGCTTTCTTCATTATACTCGCAATTGGAATCCAAATATACTTGATTTCTAATGGTATAACCATGTCCGAATGGCGAAAAGGGCAAAAAAGTAATCAGAAAACCTTGTTAAAGAATGTCAAATCTTTTATTTATTGGTTACATTGAACGAATAACAAGGTGATGAATGAATGGAAAACAACAAACAAATTGAAATTTCAAGTGATTTTGAATAATATATATCAATAAAATTTTAGTGAACCACATATTAGATAGAAATTTGAAAGTACTCTTTACTTAACTATTCAAATTTGTGCTGAACTTAAACTTAAATGTAATTTTCACTCAAAATTTGCTGCAAAAATATGAATAACTGTACCAATGTGATACAAGATTGAATTTAAATTCACATGATTTATTGCTTAATATACATACACACATATATAGGTATACTAAGTTTCAAAACATTGACAATAATTATTTTGTAAATTATCAAAATTCTCATTGTAATTCTAAATATTTTAAATTAACGAATCGAGTTGGCTTTTTCTCGTTATGTGCAGCGGTTGTTGATAAATTTGTATTCTTTACCGGAATAAGACTCTCGCTTAGTTTCTTAAAATACAAGGTTTGAATTGTGATAAAGTAAATTATGATAATTATGTGTATAAATTATATGTAATGTTTCACAAGTTTAACATAAGAAAATTATAATATGAAATTGATTTGTATTGATTTGTATTGTAAAAAAAAATTATACTTTTTATTTAAACTTTCATTAACGCAGGACTAATTTTAAGTGAAAGTATTTTATCTTTGAATATAGTTTAAGTACCTACCCAATTTTGTTAGTTCGCCTATATGTATAACACCATTTTAATAAAATTTTCATAATGTTTTTTTATTTAAGTGAAGCTACATGCAAATATTTAATATTACCTTGTCATAATGCTTAAGATATTACAAATAATCTATTAAATAAAATACAAATTAAATATTTTAATTAAATATAATATAACTATATATCTATATTATATAATATAGTATAATATAATTACATATATATAGTATTATATAATAATACTTAATATGCAAAAGTATCTACTAAAACTACTTAATTAAACTGAAATATGTAATTATCCCGTATAAAAAAACTGCTCATAGAACAGTTTCATAAATTTTCTAGTCCTTAGTAATAATATGATATGAAATAATCGCAATCATTAAATTTTTTTCAATAAAAAATTTAAACAACTAAAATATTTATATTATTCTTTAGATTGAACAGCTACATATTTATTAAGTTTCTAAACAGTTTAGGAAAATTTTGTTTTTAAATAGATTTAAAATAACTTAAATTTTGTAGAGTACTTGAATAAAAATTTAGAATGCTTAAATTGAAAATTTTATTTTTTAAAAATCTTGGCTCATTTGAAACTAAGAAGGTAAGTATTTTTGTTCTTGACTTGATACACTTAAGGCAAGTTCTTAAATCGTTCTAGCACAAATGTATCTAGATACAATAGTAACTTAAATTCATAGTTCATACAAGTACTCGTTCATACATATATGCACACAAACATATGCGTATTCTTACGTAATTGCATAGAGTATTTTTTACATTTAAAATATTTTTGTAGCATTTAAAAATTGTTTAAAAATGTTTTAGAACGTGTGCATCTTTTGTAATAAGCGTTTGTCGAACATGCTACATTTGAAGATTTTGGAGTTTTGATTTATCGAGCATGATTTATGTACATACATATATGTATTAAGATTTAAATTAGAATTGAATATTCGAAAATCTAATAAAAGAAAAAGTGAAATAATAGAAAGGAGTAAACTTAAATTGAAGATATTTAATCTTGAAAGATTATCTTCGTTTGCAATTTTAAACAAACGTCTGTACATCTGGCTAGCCTATAAATACCTTTTAAGACGCATGCCTTTGTTTTATTTTTAGGAAATTACCTGCATATGTATGTATGTGTCATATAATGTACCTATATACATACATACATATTTATATGAGTATTTTTTTTAATGTTTTGAGAATGTAAACAAGAACATGTAGAAACAATAAAAGTTGAAATGTTTTAATTATTCAGAATTGTTGACTTCATTTAGATGCATTTAAATAAAAATATTTCTTTTACTAACATATGTATATACATATATCAATTAAACTTTCCAAAGTTGAAAGCAATTGAAAGAAATCTATTTACATTAATTTTTGTAAAAGAAATTTTATATAAGAATAGAAATTATTTAGTAGCCACTTAAAGCTTCAAAAGATATGAAGCCTACAGGCTACAGGTGTTTACGTTTATGAAAAAAAAATTAAAGCGCATGCTTTCTCTTAAAACATTTTTTTAAAGATTGGTTTTTTTTGCAATTCCCTGAATGACCACCTTCTCTATTCTTTATTGAATAGAGAAAAACATGGTAACATATTGCGCATATCTATTGATATTTGGTATCTCTTTTTAAATATTTACGTCATATGCATGATTATAAAATGATAACAAAAATTATTTTCCAAAACAAACTGAACTGATATGTAACTTGTTAATAGTTTCGAACTTCACAATGATTATCTGCGTCGATTTTAATTGTAAAAGCAACAGAACTCCCTTAGATTATGCTTTTGCCTTACAATTCAAGTAGCAATTAATAAATTACCCATTTGTTGAAGAGAATGAATCTGAAGAGAATGAATCAGCCTTCAGTCTGAAAATGTAGAAAAAAGCATGATTCAAATTTCAAAACGAATATTGATTAACAAGTTTTAATTTTAAATAATAAGAACAAAGAAGCTAAAGTCGACGATAATAAAAATGTAAAATATTTACAGATATCACAGTTAAAAAATGAGATGATTTAGAATATGATGGATTCAAAAAAATTTTAACACATATTTTGAATGTTAAATAAAAAATATTATTTCTGGAAATTAATATAATAAGATCATAAGTATAAATTATGCACACAGATTTCTTAAATATATGTAGGTACATACAATGTATTGTACATTTTATTTTTCCAAACAAAAATAGGTAAAGATAAACTTTTTATAAATTGTAGTTTTAACATTGTACATACCTATTGCAATTTATGGTAACTTGAAAAGACCAAAAAAAATTTTTCCATACAGATGACGTACGTACATACATATGACATATATCAAAAATTAAAAAGTTGAGTACATACTACCATTGCTTTTCTGAGTTCTTTATACCACGCTTTCAACCTTCTAAAATGATATTAAAATTGCATTACAACAACACAGTCGAAATACGATTATTCAAAGAATATATATGTACACACCTGATCCATATATGTATGTATGTCTATGCATATAATATTATGTAAATTTTTGTAAGAGCTTTTTTTCTATTTTTTTGTTTTAAGTTATCACAAAATTTAAGAGTAATTTCTCAAATTTGGGTGCATAAAAAATAATTTAGCGTAGGCGGCAGGCGCTGATTGTTTTGAGAGCTATGAATGTATATAAGTATGTACATATATATGAGTGTAGGTACGTACATACGTGTATATTAAAGAATGTTATCTACAAAATTCGATCCAAAATTCTTTCACTGATATTTGTTAAATTCAGTCTTCGAAAACTTTCTTAGTCGTACCAACGCAATTTAATCAAATTGCCGGTTCTTTTTTTCGGAAAAAAAGAATTATATATGTATATATATACACGTCTTTAAAAATTACTTATTTAATAGTGATGTTTTCCCTCTTTTTTTATATTGTGTTTTTTCATCTTACCGTTATATATTTATATAAATCGGTTCTACATATTATGTATATAGCATTTTAATGAATTATAAACAAAAATATTGTGTATTAAAATAAAATAGGTGTAATCCGTGTAACAGGCAGTTGGAAAAAGTTGTAATAATATAAGAAAAGTTAAAAAAAAATTAAATTCTCTTGCCTTGTTTTTACATACATACATATTATATTTTATTTTTATGTATGTATGTACATATTATATATATATGTATATATGTATGTACATATAAACATGAATATAAAAAAACAAAAGAAAACAAAAGTAAATTAAAAAATTTATTTATATTAAAATTTTATAAAATATTAGACAGTTGTGTGTATGTATGTAGATTATTAATGTAAGCATAGTACCTGCCTACGTTAATATAAAAAGTTTTAACGAATAAAAATTTTTTCTTTTATGATATACATATTTATGTATGTATATGTATGTATGTACCCTTTATGTTGTATATAGATCAAATAAAAAACAACGTATAAACATATTCATGTATATATACGTATATATATATATATATATATATTATAATGTATATATATATATATATACATTTTAATATATGAATCGAAATTATATAGGTATGCACCATTTTTGTTAAAATGTATTAACAATTTCTATATATTATGTAGGTACAAAATTGTTGCCAACAAAAATAACCTGTGCAAATTTTTTTATATTTACATACGTACATACATAGTGTCAAAATTATGCCAGAAATATTTATTTAAAAATTATATGTATGTATATACAATATACATATAAATGCATGTACAAAAGTATATGTACAAGAATGTACATTATACTTTTGTACATGCATATACTCGTATGTATATTTTATTTAAAGAGCAAAATTTAAAGAATAGTATAATATTAAAACATAAGTACCTTTTTTTATTAAGGATTAAGTGCTAAATTTTGCATGCAATAAATAGTATAGCATGTTATAACTGTTTTAGAAAAAACTACATCAAGTTATGTACAAAAAATGTGAAAAAAGATAAATTTTTTTAATTAATTTCAACATACATATACATATATAATTTTATCATTTTATTTGATAGCAATTGCTTTTAGACTAAAAACGAGGCAAAAATGATGTTTTCAAATAAAAAGAAAAGTTTTTATGTGCATAGGTACATATGTAAGTATGAGCGAATTTCTTTAAAAAACGAACAATAAAATAATTGATAGATTAAATGAATTAACCTACTTTATAAAAGGATTGAAAAAAATGAAATTGAAAAGTTTTAATTTAATTTGATTAATATATACAAATAAAAAATTAATTGTAGTTAACAATGAAAATGAACCCTCACGTAACAGTTTCAAATATTTGGGAATTAACGCCGTTTAAAATATTTGTCAAGTACGACTAACTTTTTTTAAATATTGCGTTTATGAAGTTATAGAACTTACAAGTTTTATTAAGATACCTACCCATTCTTAATTTAGAAAATGGAAACTGTTTTATATAAAAAAAGGACTAGTTACTCGTAAGAGGTTTGTACAATTTCATTTAATTTTATAGGGATGTAATTTATTTATAAGTACGTACCAATGTATGTACGTATAAGTATTCAATCATATATCATATCGTTTAGTACATGTGCACGAAATTACTGATCCTTTGGTTATGTACAGGATTTACTACAGGATTTACTACGTACGAGTACATACTATATACTTAAGTTTTAACGTAATATCAAATGATTTTGAAATCAACTTGCAATTTTTAAAATTTTCTGTTTTATGCAATTTTAGACTGGATTAAGACTTATTGTCTTGAACGATATGAATTTTTATTTCAATACAAAGTAGAGGAGTTTTAGAAATTTCTATCTTCGGTGTGCGGATTTCTTTCGAATTTCAAAGAAGATACTAAATTCAACAATGTCATTTTTAGTATTATTATTTCTTTAAAATTCGATGAAGAGAGTAAATATATATACAATATATACAACAAAATACCACTGAACAAACGAACAAAGTATACAACTTTCTGCCCTAATAACTTAATATGAATGACTTATGGCTTTAAGTTTATGTAACTTTTATCTTATAGTAATAATAACATAAAGAAATGCATATGTCATGTGTACATATTAATGTACATATGTACAATTTAAGTTTGCAAAACTGAGATGACTCGGTTTTCACGTTTTTGATGTTTTGTTTACATTTAAGATTTCATTAGGACTGCTAATTTTTTACTGCCGTTTAAGAGTTATTTATTAATTAAGTAGAATCTGCGTTTCACTTCTGCTTTTTATGTAACTTTTATCTTATAGTAATAATAATATAAAAAAATGCATATGTCATGTGTACATCTTAATGTATGCACAATTTAAGTTTGCAAAGTGGGATGACTCGGTTTTCACCTTTTTGATATTTTGTTTACATTTAAGATTTCATTAGGACTGTTGATTTTTTACTGCCCTTTAAGAGTTATTTATTAATTAAGTAGAATCTGCGTTTCACTTCTGCATTTTTGGAAAAAAATAGGCGTAAAAGGATTGCTTTGCTTTTTATGTATTTAGATGCATTTGTTTTTATTTTTCTTCAGCCGCTCAGGCTTCTTTAATTCTTTGAAAGAAAATTTTCTATTCTTAAAAAATATTGCTTTCTTGTAAAAAGAAGTTTCACTACGGGTTCATTGATTTGGACTGATATGTTTCAAGCACGTGATTTTTTCTAGATGGTTCAATAGTTGGTTTAGTCTCAAAATTTTTTTATTACACTTTATTTGCCATTTTTTGACAAGAATAGTGTATAATTATACTGGTAAAGTATGTAAACAGTCTACATGCATACTGTAGTAATATAGATTGTGTATAATAGTACAGTTTGTAAAATAATAAAAATAATAAACAACTTTATGGTTGTTCTAACAATCACTAATGAATTAAAATTCATGAAAAAAAAACGTAGTCATTAAAATTCGCAAAATATAACCAAATATCCAACCAATTTGGTTGGTGGACCAAATATAAAAAAATATTTTTTTTTATTTCTTCATATGAGTTTAGCGGTGAAAAACATATTTTATACGAAAATATTTTAATTCAAGAAGCATGGCAAAAACAAAATATTCCAATTGTTATTAAATTTCATACAGATATCGCTTGTATAAAAACTCTTTAAATTAACTCTAAAACTGTTAGGTGGTTAACAGAAAAAATTAATGAAAAATTTTGCTAATAAAATGTTGAATTTGTTATATTATTGAAAATCATACAATGAAATAATTTATACACATCTATAAATTTTTTATATGTATGTATGTACGTGTAGTATACATAAACATTTTCATTCTAAAAAATCATTTAGCGATGTAAAATAATATAAATTATGTATTTAACATACATATAAAAATATAATTTGTGTATTCATGAAATAAATTACTATTTATGTTAAGTGCTTTTTCTTTGGTTAGGAAGCATTTTAATTCAGCACTTCATCTTTGTGTATGAAACTCATATTTCAATAGGATAGTTAATGAAGCGAATTTTGTTTTTTAGGTAATATTATAAATAATTTCCATAAAAATAATCGCTGTATTTAAATAACGAAAATGCTACGATAAATAACTATGTATGTCATAAAAGTTGGGGGTTTACAAATAATTTTTGTGTATTCCTTTTACTCCACTACGAAATATCTAACAAAAGAATATGTACATATAAGGATAACATTTTAATAAAATATGTTTCATGATCCTGTAACTTAAGAAAATCATAAAACATATAGGAAGGGTTATGATTATTATGAACATATAGGAAGGGTTATGATTATATTTATGTAAAAGCTAATTAAAATTGTGAACGGTGTAGACATATTCGTTATAAAACGCAAATGTCTTATACATATATAAGTACATACATAGGTTTAAAACAGAATTAACTTCATGGCATAATCTTACACATATACTAACTAAATGCATATACAATTTTTATGTACAGTACAAACATATATGAACATATAAACATGCATATGTGTTGTATGAGTTTGTTTACACTGCATTAAATTAGAGATTCCACGTGGATTTGACCACTAAAATTGAAAGTTCTGTTCCAATTGAAAATTCCAAGTTTTTGTTTCATAACAATTAGTAAGCAAATAAAAACAAATTATTTAGGCCGTGTTAGCTGTATCAGCTGTTTTAAAAATTACTTTTTAATCTTTAAGTTTTTTTTAATTTTTATTTTTCTTACAAGAGAATACTAATGTAAAAAATTGCATTTAAGTTTAATAAATAGAAAAGCTTTATCAAACTGTCTTGGAATACATCAGAACTTGTAGAAACATCGACACAACGTTGACTTACATATGTATTTTGTACCGAGCATATATAGAAGTCAGGTAAACATTAATCACTCATTTTTAGAGCTTATCAAAATCAGGAAATATTTTGAAATTCCAATTTTTTTTTGTTAGATCTGACAAAAATTTCTGATATTGATTAAAAATTTCTGATATACGATTAAATTCGTATCTGTAAGTCTTTCTTCTAGTTTATAAAATTTTTATTTATTTGTTAGTGTTAAAAACAAAAAAATTGTGCCAGTTTCACAATGCTCTACTAATAAAGTTCATACTCGTATAAAATATATTATAATAAAGTTGGGTCAAACCAATGGTTTGTAATGTAGCACTTTTCCCTTCAAAAAGTGAAAAAACTGCTTTTAAAAACAATGAATGCAGACATGTACTACATTGTTAAAATATTCATATACGAATATATTTCATAATGCTCGAATTTAAGGATTAAATGCCCGACTTAAGCAGATAATCATATTATTCAACGGCATGGAATTTATTTTTGTATTTATAGAAATTTGAAAAAGCTTGCGATAATTTGAGAAGCGGTGGAGTTGGGAAAAAATTTTTTTTGTAGCCAGATGAACTATTTATGTGTATCTAAGAGCCACTAAAATTTCATACTCCTACAACCTGAGGTCTAGAACAAAAGCTATTTCAAAAATTTGGAAAAATAGTTTTTAGATAATGGTAAATTTAGCGGACATTTTGTTTTGTAAAGTTCAAATATGGTAAACAACGGTAGAAGAAGCCAGTCACTACTTTTCTGCGTTTGCAGAAAAATTTTTCTAGTTTTGCTACAATAATTACTGAAAAAATAGCATATTGAGGAGTTATACGTATAGCTTTAAGAGGTGGAAGCAAAAATTTTCTTTGCTGGAAATAAGTTTCGAGTAAAGACCTAAGTATATATGAAATTTTAGTTTTTTACTTTCAAGCGTGTAGAAGTTTTGTAAACATGTCCACGGACTAATGGACGGGCAGTGTGAAACTAATAAGCACTTTTTTTCAAAACTTTTTGGAGAGTGCTAAAAAGATAATCACATAATGTAAAATCACAACCGATACGCATAAATATACTGCATATATGTAGTGCTTTTTCTACTTTTCTATGTAATTGAATAGGCAATAAGTTCAGTAAGCTAATTGACAGTTTAATCGTACATAGAGATTTCTTGTTTTTAAGCGGATTTAAATAAGAGTTCTTCCTTGAGCGTAGTGTAGAAAACGTTGCATAACATATATAAATTGAATTTTCATAACATTTTTAAAATTATGTATACATATACATATGTGTGTTAAATAAATACATATGTCTTATATTTTTCTGTTTTCTACTTCCAGAAATTTCTTATATGCTTATTACAGAATTGAGCCCGCATTAATTATTTTGCAACTATGAACTTCGGTCGTTCCAGATATTGTGTCCTTCAATATTCGGTCGCTTGGTTGCCTAAATATATGCCAAAATTATGGAATATACATACAATAATTTTTGGGTTATTAATTGTAAATAGTCAAGTTCACGGAAGACGGTCAACATATTCAAAATTATCGGATGGAAATGTAGCTTCTGAGGTGAGTCTTAATGATTTTCGTATAGCTTTTTAAAAAACCTCTTTTAAAACATATTAATAAACATGTAATAAACACGGGCAGGTAATATTTGAATTTTATTAACAATAAGAAAGTTGTAATGAATATCTCTATTGATGAACATTGTCATGAATATTAATTATATGCTTTTCAAGTTAGGTTCTCACATTCTAGTAAGATTTTCATAAAAATCATATTTAGCATTTATATGTATATAGTTTGATAATCCAATACTGTAAGTTGACAAATTAATAATAAAATAAAGTTGGGTCAAACCGATGGTTTGTATTGTAGCACTTTTCCCTTCAACAATTCGTGAAAATACTGCTTTTAAAACACAGTCTAGTATATCTGCCACACTATTAAAAATATTTTCTAGGATTGCATATATTTCGGATGAACGATTTATGCAGTCTTTGAAATAGAGGACGAACGATTTATGCAATTTGAATTGGGGTTTGGAAATATAAAGCGTCAAAAATTCAAATTTTACAAATTTCAAGAGGTGATAAGTTGAGAGGGAGTGGAAATGGAAAAAAAATTTCTTCTAACGAAATAAACTATTTATAATATCTAAAAGCTGCTAAAATTTCAGGCTCCTAAAACCTGAAGTTTAGAAGAAAAACGACATTAAAAATTTGAAAAAACGGATTTTAGATAACGGTAAATTTGAGCGGCCATTTTGTTTTTATAAAGTTTAACTATAGTATGCCACGTGGGAGAAGCAAGCCACTGCCTTTCTGCGTTTGCAAAATTTGAAAAATGTTTATGGTTGCATTGCAACAGATAGTTCAAAAAGGACATTTTTAGGGTTTTGGCGGGGTATAACTTTTAGAGGGGGTGAGATAAGTAAAAATTTTGTTCTACGGAATTAACTTTCTAGTAAAGATCTATGCACATATAAGGTTTTAGCTTTCTATCTTCAAGGGTGTAGAAGTTTTGTAAACATGTCCACGGACGGCCGGACGGACGCACAGAGTGAAACTAATAAGCACTTCTTATCAAAAAATTTTTGAAAAAGTGCTAATTAATCACAATTGATAATATTCTACGTTGAAAGCAAAAATAAATAATAAATATCTTGATAATTTCAAATAAGTATATAATATATAAAAAACTATGCCAGACAAGTGACCTGCTTATTTAACTTCCATGACTTATGAAATTGAAGGTACTAAGGTTTCTCCCCAATAAACCAAAAAGCAAAAAAGGCTTCTAAAACAATATGCGAAAAATTAATTTCTTACGCGAAATTGTTTTTCTACGTTCTTCTCTTGCGGTTATATATAATTTAAATTCTGCGTTAGACAATTAGTTTGGCACAATGATTTCGCGCACGAAATGAAAATGGCTTAGGTAGATATGTGTATTATAAAAATTATTAAAGGTTTTCTTTCTGAGAGGAAATTTCGTGTAATTTATTGTAATATAAAATCGCATTTTTACAGGATATGTTCTGGAACTTAGCATGGATGAATTTTTAGTCCCATCTTGCACAATTTATACATAGCAGACATTCCACAATAAGAAAATGAAAACCTTCAAATTTTTGGGGTCGATACTACTGTATATACTTCAGTTATATATTATCGTTATGACGTAATGTTAAAGATACAAAATGCTTTAAATGTTTTTAATAATTATTATAATAAAGTTGGGTCAAACCAATGTATTGTATTGTAGCACTTTCCATTGTATTGCAGCACTTTTCCTTCAACAAGTGAAAATACTACTTCTAAAAACAACCTAGCTACGTACTATATTATTAAAATTACTTTCATTCATATACGATACTATTCCAAGGATTGCATACATTTAGGATGAGCAATGTATGTAGTCTTTGAAATGAAGGGAAAATAAATTTAAAGAGCGGTATTATGTTAAACGCTCTAATAAGCACTTTTTTTCAAAATTTTTTTGGAAAATTGCTTAAAAAGGGGAAAATTGCTATAAATAAAGAAAAGAAAAAACCCATAAAACCCATAAAAAAAATATTGTGTTTTCCGTCGCCTAAACTAAATCTTTGAATGACATTGTGATTTCGTCAAATATCTTGCCATGTGATAAAAAATTAAGTTTTACATAATATTATTTACATTATCAGCTGCATTTGTTATATATCAATACACTTTAGAAATTCAACTGATAAAATAAATAACTTAGCGCTAGTAAAAATATCGACTTATTAATAGAAAATCGAAAGAAATAAGCTACATGAAAATTATGATATTAATTTAATTGTTTGAATTTGCAAAAATTAAATTTGCGAAGAAATGTGAACTTTCTGAAAATTGGTTAGTAAGGTGTTTATCGTAACAAATTTTTTTGGTTGCTAATACTAAGTATTTTAAAATTACAATGTCTTATCAAAATAAATTTTTTGAAAGTGTTTTTTTTTCAACATAAGAGATTATTCAATTAAAATATGTAATGTAACACAAAAAATTATTTAATATTTAATAAATAGTTAATTAAAAAAGTTGGAGATAATAAATAAATGGATAAATAAATATTATAATCCTTACATAGTATAAGTAATAAGCATTAGATCAATAAAGTAATAAAATTACCATTTGTTTTTTAATATTTCAAATATCACAGTTTACAAAAAAAAATTATTACAATTTTTAGGATGCTATTGAAAATTCGTTAACAACAATCCATGATATATCAACAGAAAACTTAGGAATATTGTGCTTAAAACGACCATTTCATCCATTAGAGATACCAGTGAACGCAGAACGTTATGATAACGCAAGACAAAAAGCAGATTTAGCCGCAACTGTTTTACAAGAAGTTGGAATTAGAAGTCACAGCGGTAAGTTTGTAGGTACATCATTCATATTACTTCATCGTTGTTGTTTATTACTGCCAAAAAAATCTTATTTTGAAAAAAAAACATTTGCTTACATTTGAGGAATTGCTATAGGGAGCTTCAAACTTCGACATTTTGTTTATTTTTGGGGTATAGTAATTTTCTAAATCAACAGTATAGTTGCATTTTTTTTCATTATCATTTTTTTTTCATTTTCATTTTATTTATCATTTTAATTTGGGTCTTTACTCATATGTGGTTTGTCGTTCGGCTTTACTTAGAGAGGGGTTTGTCTGTAGAAAACTGATGCAAAAACCGTTTCCTAGATTATGTTGACAAAATGCCTTCCGGTTCTTTTTACTTAGATTTGGAAACAACTTCTTTTTTCTCGATTAAATATACTCCGAAAATCAGGTTGGGGAAGTTAGGGAAATATGTTATTTATTTGATAGAGGTTTTAAATTTTAGCTGGCTGAATTTATACACTTATTTATAGAGGTTTTAAATTTTAGCTGGCTGAATTTATACACATTTGAATAAAACCGAGATTTGTTGACATTTTTAATTTCATGTTTGGTTCATCCATGTAGATTGCAATTTGCAAGCTTATCGATATTGTTGAACGTATTTGTAAGGTTTACTGTTCATAATCAGCAAAAAAAACTAAATATTACACGACTGCGTTTGAAAATTTATTTGAAAACAAAAAGGTTTTTTTACTGCTACAGACAAGCCTTTTTTAAAAGCTTTTTTTTTGGGGCTAGCATCAATTGTCAGACTAAAATGTGGTATCCTCTTGATAGATATTAATATTTTGAAAATAAAAGATGATGTATGTCGCTTTAAGTCTAGTCTATTACTAATTATACTATAACTATATATATTACTAATCTAATAGTTATATCTAACGTTGTATATATTTATATCTAACGAATTGGGAATCGGTTTTATTTGGTCGAGCTTCTAAATTTATGATATATTTCGCATTTTATAATCATGTTTTCAATATCGTCAATGATTCGTAGCCGTAATATGCATGTCGTATTTTTTTTTTAATTCCTAGATGAGATTGGAGAAGTTGTCTTAATATTTCATTTCGCAAACATTTTGGAAAAATAATTCTTTCATTGAGAAATATAATACCATCTTCTAATTCAATATTGTTTCTTAATCTAAAATATTGTATAATTTCATCTTAAACATTTTTCTTCTAATTCGGCCCACCTTCTATTACTACAACTTTTAAAATTTTTAATATGGGATCACTAGATGTTTCTAATTGAATTTGTAATTTCTTTTAATTTGTCGCTTACATTTTAGAGTACACTATCCTGTCCGCAGCGCCAAGTGGGATCCTCTATGGATTATTGATATATTTAAAATAAAAGGTGATGTTTATCGGTTTAAGTCTGGTTTATTATTAATCTAATATATACATATATACGTATATCTAATATGTGATACATAAGAATGATGTATAATTGTATACTAATGCTAATACAAGAGTCAGAGAGATAACACTACTAAACATAACTATTACACAAGTATATTACACTGTATTATACAAGTGATTTCCAGATTTTTTTCTGTAATAAGATTTATGTAAGAATGTATAAATAAATAGTCAAGAGCTTGTTGCGCCTTCCAGAAGTTTTTCCAGAAAAAATCCTAGGACAAAAGATATCAAGGAGGCTTGAGAGGACTCATCGGATGCCCTTCCATGCAATTTACTTTTTTGAGCATCAAGAAGTACCTGCGCTTAGACTTTTTCTTGTATTCTCGTTGTTTTTTCAATTATATAATTTACTGCTTTTACATTTAATGTCCATGTTTAAGTTCAATTGTATCCTGTATATATGTATTATTATTCATTTTTTGATTTTTAAGTTAATGGGATAATCTTATTTTTAGGGCTTACGGATGCACTCGCAAAGGGACTGTTATCTGATATTCATGTGTATGGTGCAAAAGTATTAGCTCTTAATGTATCAAATGGAGCGGTTATGGCATATGTTTGGTGGATTAAAAATGAACGAAGGAATTTAAACAGTATTGGTGAACCAATACAACATGATGATAGTGGAATACAAATCGGGGAGAAACCAGACATGAATTATCCATGGTAATTTATATTCAAATTTAAATTATATGAATGTAAAGAATAGGTTTTTTATTAATGTTGACATACATACAATATATATGTGTATATTATTGACATTTTCTTTGTGTGTGTATATTATTGATATTTTCTTTGGATCTATATTTCAAATCAGCCCTTAAACAAAATTTTATAAATTAAGAATGTACAACATGTAAATAAATTAAGAGTGATATAGCCATTCTTTTAATAGAGATGCATTTTCTTACTTTGTGTTGTAATTGATTATGTACATTTTAATGCTTAGTGTTACCAAGTTACACCAACATACTTCAATATAAGAAAAAAATTTGTCTTCCTAAAAATATATTTTTTATGGGATGTTGATAAACTGATCACCTTGTAAACTGAACGCCCGTGAAGTGATTAGTTAATATGTGAATCCTACAAATTTTCAATTTCTATAGAGATGTATATTTATTTTGCATTAAATATTATGTAAATAACTTTATTGAAATGAGAGACTGGCATAAACATCTATACTATGTTCTTCAAAAAAAAATATACAACGAATATACTAAAACAACAGAATGTGATCTGGAATGTGACGGCAAAGTGTATTTCCTGGTCAGGGAAGAGCGTTCTTCCAGTTTTTCAAATAATTTTAAATTATGTAATATTATTTCATTCTATGGGTTCACCATACTATATTTCCTTAAACTTTCTAAAATTTTATTAAAAACTCTTTATTTTTTGTTGTTTAGCTCGAAAGCGCATTAAAGACTTTCAAGAGTTTTAAAAAATTTTTAATTCTGTAATATTTTTTCATAGTAAATATAATATTTTTTTAATTAAAATTTAAAAACTTAATTAAAACTTTCTATTTCTTCTGGTTTGGACAGAAAACACATTTAGAGATTTTAAAATGTTTTCAAATCATCTATCATTTTTTGTCTGTTTTGACAACTCAAATCTCTGAAATTTCATTAAAAATCTTTTACCACTTACAGATTAAACGGGCACGCCGAACGACCGACAGAACGACATGTCTCAAAAAGTGGTTTATTCACGTTTTTCCATCATGAGAAACGCAATTTAGGCGAAAACTCGACGTTCGAAATTTTGTGCTTTTATTGTACGCTAGACGGTCAGGTCGGTAAAACATAACTTATTAAAAACGTTCACACACTAGTTAGAGGATAGCCGTGACCTACTTTTCACAAATGAACGTACATATTTCTTTTTTTGCACTGAAGTTATCAATATTATTGTTATTGAATTATATCAATTTAGATTTATGAACACTCTGTACGAGCAACTGGGCTCTTTGAGTTTATAAAATAAATAAATAAATAAATATACCTTTTTTTTAAATGATATTTTTTTTAAATACTCAAGGTTCGAAGATGAAATTTCATCACCAGGCCTGCGCTCACCTAAGTTTGCTCCAACACCTCCAAATCTATCATTCAAAGGCTGGTGGACATATCCTTACTTTATATGTGAAGAACGCAAATGGATGTTGTCTTATAGTGTTGCTATACCACCATATGGCCGTCATGGATTAAGAGGTTTTATATCAGTTGATATTGATATTTCAAATTTAAGAATTAATCAATGTGAACCACCGGCACCACGGATATTATATCGTGATTTTCGTATATCAAGTCGTTTTCATTTAGGTTTTGATATAATCGATTCCAACACAGAATTTAGTCAAGATGTTGAAGCATTTCATGGTTCACACAAGTGTCATAGAAAAACAATGATGGTAAGTAGATTTTCGTTTTGATATTTCCATCACACTTTTTCGAAAAAATTTTAAAATATTGTAACTTAAATACAAATAAATTCAGTTTTCTTTATAACGTCCAATCAACTGAAAATAAGCCTTGCAGCTTATATTTAAAATCTGCTTTACTAATTCACGACCACGAGACAAAAAATTTTCTTCAGGAGACAAAGTTTTATATTTTTTGGTAAGATAATAATTAAGTTGCCACTTATTTTGTCTCGTGAAACCTTTTTGGCTTATGTACTGAAACTTCTCATAAGCACATATAGCAAAAAATCTTTTTTCATAACTATAACACGGTCATTTATATTCTATTATTTTAGGTTAATTATTTGAAAAGTATAACCCAATATTATATAGATTTGCCTTTCAGTTTTATATTACTAAAATTTTATTTTATTTTCAGTGTGACTACCGTTCATCTACAAACTTAGAAAATTCGAATAATATACAATATATGAAGTATAATGGTCGCAACCATATAAGCAGTATAAGTAGCACCAGTAGTAGCAGTGTCAGTAGTAGCATTAACAATAATAATAGAATATTCCATCAATTTGTAAGCCCATATGGTTGGGTAAGAGGTTCATATCAATGTTTATGTAAACAGGGCTATTATTCAGAACGTCATCCTGATGGATTTAATGGTACAATTATGGAAGTTGCTTACCAAGAATATCAGGACAATATTAGTATATATTATGTGGATGTGTTCAAATGTTTACAATGTGCCCCTGGTTGTGAACACTGTTTAGGTCCAGAACCATGTCTGGCGGGATATAATTGGCCGTTTAGGTAAGTACATCCGGGCTGCAAATTTTATATGTTACAAATATAGGAAGTTGATGAAAAAAGAGTCAATTTCAAAACTTAACAAACTTCAAAGCTTCATAAGGAACTTTTCGAAACTTATTTTTTAATTTATCTTCACAGTATTTAAAATGCATTAAAATAAAAATAAATTAAAAAGGTTTTTCTTTATCATTTTTTGAGACTTTATTTAAATTTCAATTACAAAAGTTGATAATGTTCTTAAAGGTATTATCATCCTAAGGAAAAAACAATTTTTTATTTTAAGTTTTGAATTCAACATAATACATTATAATGCATTATAATGACACCTGTTATAGATATAAATATGACAGCCCAAAATTGAGAGAAATATGTTAGTTATAAATAATTTTTTACAGAAAAAAAATATACCATGCAAGAAATATATAGGAGAATCTAACCTTGGGCGGACTTAATATCAGTGCTGTTAAATCTGTCACTATCTTGTTTTTCACTAACTTTTTTCAATACTCCCAGTTATTACTAGTATTTATTTATAGTAGCGAGTTTTTACAAAATCTTCTTCGTCACTCAAAAACTTAATCTTATTTTTGTGCACTTTTTTCTATGTGTTAGTAAAAGAGTCACAATCGAACATTTTACAAAATATTGCACGCATTAAATTATTTTTTTTTTTATTTTTACAATTAAAACTTACAATAAGATCTATAATTATATATATCACAAATTATTAAATTTTTCTATTTGTTTATTATGCAGGTACAATTGTACATATATTTAAATATACATATATACAAATATATATTCTTTCTTTTTCTTCTCTTCTTTTTATTTTTTTCCTCCATTTTTTTTTATCTAGTAATAATTAACTATTACAAGTAAATTATAATTTAGTTCTAATAATAAAAAGCAAAAAGAAATCAATGAAAGATCTATGGTACTGATACTTTAATGTAAAAGAAAAGCAAGTAAATAAAAAAAAGTGTAGGTTAAGTTCATAAGTTTGTGAAGTCTATAAAGTCACTTTTTTAAAGTGTCCTTCGTTATTGTAAAATCTAAATTATCTTTATTCTTATTCCCAAGACGTAACATTCTGTTTAATGGTTCGTGTATACTATAATTAGTCCTATTAAAGGGTATTACAAAAAGATTCGACGAGCGAGATTTCACATTAGTGTTAATTTTGAAACTGCGACGCGTATTCAAGATGAGGGTGAACAAGACAAAAGTAAAGAAATTTAAATGTGTAGGGTGCAATGAAACCCAACAAGGAATTTGCCTGGCCCACAACATAATTGTAATGGCCTAAAAACGAAAATTTAGAGGGGAAGTATACTCCCGGGTCTCTAATAGCAAAACCTTTCTTATACCAACACTATGTAATGAAAGGGCGCCTCCGGCGTGTGTAAATTATTACAGTACTTTTACTTACGTTTAACATTAAATTTTTGAAGGAACACACTTTATAGAAGTATTTAAATCATTCAGAAGTACTTGGGAATAAGATAATAAAGAAATCTTTTTAAAAATTTTCATATCATGGGCATAAATTAGGACCCCATCGTCTCTCAAGTTCGAAACTACGTAATTCACAGAAAAAAGTAATAATGGCCCAAATGGCTGTCCTGTGACACCCTCGAGATTGCAATAAATAAAGACGTGACAGGTGAAAAGAAAATTACCCTAAAAAACCTCCTCGATAAATATGATTTCATCCAATTTAGAAAATTGTCGGGGAATCCTAGTATAATCTTAACTTTAAAATAATTATTACATAAGGGAGAATATCGAATGTCTTACTGAAATCGGTATCAATAACGTAATTCCTGCTTCCATATTATTAAGTAGCAAAAATTAAAGTTGCCTCAACAAGTTTGGTAACCGTGGACTTCTTTTTCAGAAAACCATGTTTATTTTTTTATAGTAAATTGCGTGTTATGGTCATAAACGGAATCATATAACATTAATTCAAAAACCGTGGAAATTGCAGACAATTTAGCTATTGCATATAGTTTTTTACCTTAGCCCTAGACACACTTTTGCGTATTGGCCTTATAAACGCTTTCTTTCAATGTGATGGAAAAACTTCCGACGAATATGATTTATTAAAAATTGAAGGCGGGGGACAGCCAGCGATACGAAGCAATTCTTTCCAATTATTCATCTATTGTTCATTCAATTACAACTCATCTCGGGGACGCCATACGACTCTGGAAGTAACCATACCAGTATTTTCTAACAATACTGTAGTCAGTTGTAAAACTCGAAAACGTAGTCTCAGGATAAGTACTGAAATTCGTCGAGATTTACCTCAAAAAACGAGAAAGAATTTGAATCAGCGAAATATGTTCGCAAAAATTCCCATACTTTACCTGAAAAATTGCTATAGATATACAGTTTAAACTAAGAAAAGTGGTGTAACTATCACACTTTTCTTTATCAATGTATGAAATTCCAAAAAACCTTGGGATTGCTAGCGATATCTTCCAATACTCGAGAATTATACAAATTGTATTGTAATTTCATACTTCTTTTAAATTGAGCAAAAACCTGCTGAAAAGCGGAATAGTCCACGGAATCCCGAAGAGCAACGTATAGTTTGTTCTTTTTATTGCTTAGTATTCTTACTTCCCGGGTAAACCACGGAGGACTGGAATTAATTTTCTTTGAGGTCCATCTGCCACATTAGTTAAGAAGATAGAGGTAGAATTTACGAAATTAATCACCTTTTAAAAAAAAACATGTTGGCATTTCCTACAATAGGACGACAGTTTACCACATAACATTTTCGTCCTTCTTATGAGTCGGTAAGTATCCTTACTGATTTTTAAGGATTTAAAGATTTATTGAAGATGAAAGATACAGGAGCCACCAAGGAAGAACAGTACTTACCCAAAATTGTCTCAGGAATTTTATCAAGCTCTTCAAATAGGTGAAATTTAAATTGAAAAGGTATTCTTAAATTCTGGTAGAATGTGTTATAAAATTAGAAAATAAGGCATTTTTGGATAGCTTTTGATATGATGAAAATTACTCAAATTCACTTCAAATAAGGTGCCAAAGAAGGGTTCAGCAAAAATTGACGAAAAAATTAAAAAAAAAGTTAGAATTGTTACGAGTACTCGCGAAACTGTTAAACTTCAAAAAAGTTTGATAACTTTGACTTCTCCTCTTACGGTTAGTAAATTTCCAAAAACTTTTAGGTTTATATATAATACGTCCAAAAATTTTAAAAAATAAATTTCATGCGATATTAATTCTCATTTTTTGATATCATTTATAGAATCCGCCCCCTAGAGTGAACCACAAATTTTCATGTTTGTCTTTTCTGTATCGCTGTACATTCTTACATGCATATCTTTATATATTTTATAATACGATTTTGTTGAAGTATCTTATAATTTTTCTTATAGGATATCTCTTTTAATAATATCAGTTTGCTGTGCAATTTCAACTATACTTTTAGCTGGTTATATGTTTCGTCACAGAAGAAAAAAAATTTTTAAGGTGGCAAGTCCAATATTTCTGTCAATAACATTGATTGGATGTGCCATTATGTATCTAGAGGTAAGATTGTTTTGTTTTCTATTTTAAGTGACTTAATCTATTTTAAGTAAAATTAATCTAAAGAGTTTAGGTTAAATGATTATTGCTGTTTCCATCAATGCTAACAAGAAAATTTTATTACAAGTACTTTACATTAATCAAAAAGGTTTTGATATGAAATCACCGTACTTTTGGAAAATAATAAGTCTTTAGATACATATTTTTTTGGTCTGTTGAATTCATGCAAGACGGTGTATCATATTTTTTCCTGTCACAAAGTTCTGTAATTTGAGGCGTTATGTACATTTATTTATTATAAAAAAGGAGATACTTGTAAGAAAATTTTGTCTATCCTTCGTTAGGTTCTGGTAGCAAGCTGTGCTAGATTTTCCAAGAAATACTTTACTCACTTTTAATTTCGGTTTTTGCTATATTTATTACTTTTTTTTGCGACTTAAGTATTATTTATGGAGACATCCCTTTAATTCTATTGCGGTGAAAAAGGTTGCTCTAATAGTTCTGTTAATTTAGTATATTCTTGGCTCTATTAATACTCCTGAAAAGGGATGGAGGAGACCAAAAGATCTCTTATGTAATTAATTGGAACCAGGAGCGGACGGTTCATATATGCAAAGTATGCATTTGCAGTGGGCGATAAAAATCAGGGGCACCATTAAAAACTTTAAAAAACCATAAGTTTAAAAAAAAAATTTTTTAATATAAAATTAATTCAATTTACAGCGAAATTAACATGATAAAATGTACCTACATACAAACATAATATTTTATTTCTAATAATATAAAAAATCGGATGTTGTCAGCACATAACCGACCGCATTATGTATTGTCTAGTTAAGTGAAAGTGTTACAGAATATTATAAAAATGTCTGTTAAATACTTCTTTCCAATTTTTAGGGCATTAGTACGCTTATAATTAACATACCTAGAAAAATGTAAATTTGGCTCTTATTAGAGTTTTGCTTTGTGTTACCCGAATTCCCTGAAATACCAACCAGTTAGTTCCGGTAATAACCAGAACTCAAATATCAAATTTCAAGAAATTCCATCAATTCGTTCCGTAGTTATGGTGAAAAATGTAAAATCGGCCCGCAAATCAGTTTTCGAGCCCTGATCTTTCCAAAAAATTTATATGTTCATTGTTTTAATACGAGGAATTCAAATATTAAATTTTAAAGAAATCAGTTGATTATTTCTCTTTATACATATACGCAGAAATGTATATTTGACCCGCAGTAAACGCCCAGTTGCTGATGCTTGATTTCTTCCAAAAGTGAGGAATTTTCGCGTACGGTCGAGCAAAGCTTATATTAGAAATTTCAAGTAAATCGGTTGAATATTTTCTTCAAAACGGTCAAAAATGTAAAACAGGCCCGCTAAAAAGTGCAGTTCCCGAGGCGTGATATATCCCAAAAGTTGCATATAAAATTTCATTAAAGCCGAAATTGAGATACACGCGTGCACACACAGACCGACAGACCGATAGACCGACAGGTTGCTAAAAATAGTTTATTTACACTTCCCTACTATGGAGAAGTGCATTCCCACCAAAAACTCGATATGCAATTTGTTGCCATCACATCACTTACATACCTATTGTATACACAATACGGTCGGTAAAAATGTGCATGAAAAAAAACGGTCAGTTACGCAAAACACTAAGTATTGATCTTCATATATTTTCCTTTCGCACCATACAATGAAATGTTCTTAGAATGAAAATTATTGATACATTTTCTTACTCTACACTACTCTTTTATTTTTATTTATTGTACGAATACACAAAATATTTTTTTCAATGTACTCGTATGAATCATCAGAATTGCAATTATTAATTTTTCCTTTTACATACATACTAGAATAAATTTGTATATTATGCTAATGTCTTTATATCTAACTAGGCCCAATACTCAATTTTTTTACGAAATATAACGAATGTTTGGCTTCGTTCCTGTTTTTTTCTTTAAATGCTACTGATCGTGTCATATTTCTTATTATTTTTTTCTTTTTTTTACGTAAAAAAGCGTTTAATATTTTAAAAAATCTCAGGATATTATACACATTTTTTAAAAAGATCCCATTAAAATTCTGTTGCACGAAAAAGAAAGAAAGGTAAGAGGAAATAATGTCTTTATATCTAAGAAGTCCCAATGGCCCTGCCTGTGTATGAATCTTAATAGTAAACGCAAACGGACAAAAATTTATATCAGTACCTACTACCTGTTATAATCGGAGTTTTTGAGTAATTTGCTAAGATACTATTTATTTCAAAAATAAGAAAGATATTCGAACCCGGTCATAAAAATATATTATTGTTTTTTCCAAAATCTTTTAAATATTTTTTTACTTAGGTAATATATTAAGTTTTAAAAATTTTTTTGAAATGAAAATAGAGGTAAAATTTAGAAGTATATATAAAATTTGTATTGGAAAAAATAATATTTGACTGTATTTTAGATATTATTTTCTTATTCCCTCTTCAAATTTTTTCTTTACTATGTATTCATAGCAATATTTAATAATTATCTTTCATTAATTATATTTTAACTTGACACCAAAGTTACTTCCCATATCTTGAGTTAACTTACCCTATGAGAAAAAAAAGCTGTTCACTTAAAAATAATGAAATGCTTTCAGTAACATATAAAACGTTGAAGGCGAAGGTTGTGCTTGTTGTTTTTCCGCTGTTTTAAGAATTTTAAAATAATTATGAATGAAAATATTAATATATTTTCTTGATTTTTCAAATATATTTTCTAAATTTTGCCTGCTTTATAATAAGTGTAAATTTATTTTAATATTTCTTCTCAAAAAATAGCCACTTCGATTTAAAAAAACCCATATAAAATAAGGTCGTGCTTTCCAGTTTCTCTCTGAGCATTGGAACTTGTTAGATATAAAGACATTAATTATGCCTATAAACAGAAAATATACAGCTGTACTCATTCAATCCAACATATACATAAGTGAAATCGTCTCATATAATATACATAGCAGCAAGATACGCAAAAAATAAGAATATTAAAAAATATACATGCACACATAATTTATATTGTTTAGTATGAATAAGATCAACACTCATGCGTACACGATCATTTTCTTGATTTTTCAAATATATTTTCTAAATTTTACCTGCTTTATAATAAGTGTAAATTTATTTTAATATTTCTTTTCAAAAAATAGCCACTTCGATTTAAAAAAAAACCCATATAAAATAAGGTTGTGCTTTCAAGTTTCTCTCTGAGCATTGGTACTTGTTAGATATAAAGACATTAATTATGCCTATAAACAAAATATACAGCTGTACTCATTCAATCCAACATATACATAAGTGAAATCGTCTCATATAATATACATAGCAGCAAGATACGCAAAAAATAAGAATATTTAAAAATATATATGCACACATAATTTATATTGTTTAGTATGAATAAGATCAACACTCATGCGTACACGATCATATAATTATGTCATAAAGCAAGATTTTTCTTTTGCTGAGATTGCTCCCTATCAACACTCGCCCGTACACATATAATTATATCACAAAGCAAAATTTTTATTATGCTTAGTGATCGTTCTGGCTACACTCGTTCGTACACATTATATTTAAATTGTTTTTTGTTGCAAAATTTTATTTATGCTTAGTTGTCGCCCACTCACCAAACAAACAAACATATTAATAATGTATTACTTTTTCTGTATACTATTGCATTAGTAAACAACAACAACAAAAAAAAAAGACAAAAATTAAGAATGAGAATAGAAAGAAATTAGAAAAAGAGAATGAGAGCAATGTTCTTAAATAATTGAATGCATAGCTTGATATTGAGATTGTGTATACCAATATTTTCTTTTTGTTTAACAACAAAAAATTTTGACTGAATTTCAAAATTACATGACCGTTATGAATTTCTACTACTATGTTTTGCTTTCGTTTTTATATGATATGCAATTATGATAAGCAATTTGAAAATTTTCGTTAGACTTGCACAATTTGTTTTTGAGCTATCGCTGGGACAGACTGGTAGGTCGCTACACTATTAAACTCTCAATCCCAATCATAACTTTCAATTCCAACCACATATATGTGTACTCGTATAGGCATATATTTATACATACCTATATTATATATATTATATGCATGCATATTTAGTTTCACTCTGTTCGTCCGTCCTTCCGTGGACATGTTTACAAAACTACACTCTTGAAAATAGATAGCTGAAACTTTAAATGTGCATAAATCTTTACTAAAAACTTATTTTTACCTATCAATTTAAATTTTTACCTATCTCTCCCCTTCTAAAAGTTATACCCAAAACCTTAGAAATGGCCTTTTTTAACTATTTGTTGCAATGAAACCATAAACATTTTTTAAATTTTGCAAACGCAGAAAGGCAGTGGCTTGCTTTTCCTATCGTTCAAATCTACCGTTATCTAAAATCCGTTTATCCCCTAGACCCCGGGTTGTAGAAGCCTGAAATTTTAGAAATTTTAGCAGCTTTTAGATACTATTAAATAGTTTATTTCTTTAAAAGAATTTTTTTTCCATCTCCACCCCCCTTTCAACTTATCACCTCTTGAAATTTGTAAAATTTGAATTTTTGACGCTTTATATTTTCGAAACCGCATGCTTTTTCAAATTTCTGTAAGCGCAAAAAGCTAACGGTAAATTCCGTAACATTAAAAAATATAAATATTTTTTTTAACTCATAAAATTAAGCCCTCTTTAAATTAATTTTTGCTTTATTTCAAAAACTGCATAAATTGTTCATCCTAAATATATGCAATCCTAGAAATAGTTTCGTATATGAATGAAAATATTTTTAATAGAGTGGTAGATATGCTAGACTGTGCTTAAAAGCAGTATTTTCACGAATTGTTGAAGGGAAAAGTGCTACAATACAAACCATTGGTTTGACCCAACTTTGTCATTTCTATATGTTACCGTTGCAAGCGTAATGATAATTTTTAAAAAACTCTTCGAACATTTATTTGTGCGGGTATAATGCCTTGCAGCAAATGTAATAGAAACAATAATATGTAAATTTACATATTAAATTTTTTAATATTCCAATATGATGTGTATATTAAGTAACAAAAATGGAATTTTATTTTTTGACCTTACAACAGGTTTCAATTTTAAACGTTATCAAATTCTTATTAATTCGTTTTATTTGTTGCTTGAAAAAACTTTTCGTTGATATTTTCTTTCAAAATAAATGAGTGCGGAAAGGGGAAACATTTTTAGATACATGTGTACATACATACATATATACGTTACATACATATGCACTCCTTTCTAGTTTTGAAAAGAATATTGCATTTTCATTGTTCATAAAAGAATTTGTTTTACGTAAGAGTCGTGTTTAATAGTTTTTAATAGTTCTTAATAGTATAGTATAATAAATTTTTAATAGTTCAAAATAAAATCTAAGCTATCTGTTGCTCCAAAGTTTTTAAATTCTAATGTAAGATTAAGTAACTAAGAAATACATATTTTGATTATTATTATTACTCAAAAAATTTCAAAAAAATTTTCAGATGGCAGCAATATTCCCAATATTAGATACATATTTTTGTATTGCAACAAAATGGACACGTCATATGGGATTTTGCATCACATATACATCACTACTAATGAAAACATGGAGGTAAATTTATAAATGCAATATTGTACGAAGTATTTGGTATCAAAATACACTGCAATGGTATATCATTGTGTGGATCCTCATGAGTTTTTAAAATTTTTGTATGGAGGTAATGTTCACAACTCGTGATCTTAAGTTACATATGGACTTAAACGTTTTTTAAAAATGGAAATTCCGAAATCAGAACAGGTAATAACTAATGTATAGTAAAGATCTTGCTCTGAGGTTTTCAAATCATTCTTAATCATGCTGACACAGCAGTAGAGTTATACATAAAATTTTAAAAGTCAAGAAAAACAGTCGAGATTGATGTCATACAAAAGTTTTACCTAATCATGAGACTCTTTATAATGGTATATAGCAGTGTACATAGATAAGAATGTCATTGTCAAATTGGCATACAATCAATCAGTTGAATTTATTAATAGAATGCAAAATTTATAATAAAATAAAATGTACATATGTATATGACATTAAAAACTTGTGTATTAACACAACAAAACTTGTTTTTGGAAGAGGTCGCGAGTGGTGATATATTTTTGTATGAAAGTTGTTCAATTTCTGAAAGAGTTCGCCAGATTTGGAAGGTGGTTTATTTCCCGTATGAATATTTTTAAAAGAGGTCGTGGCCTACACGTTTTTCTCTATCCTGTTATATGAAAATTAAAAGGTCTTTAAGTGATCCTAAGTGGCGCCGCGAGAGGTGATTTTCCAATGGTAAATGAGCACTTTTTTTCAAAGAATGCTGGGACTAAGTGCACGTTTTGACATAATATATGTGTGTATGTACAAAATTTTTGCTCGGTTTTCGAAGAAAAACTGTAGTACGTATTTAGTTATAGTAACTTTTTGTAGAAATTTGCTATATCTAAAGCAAAATTTTGTTTTAGTTTAAAAAAAAAGTTATGCATAAAGGGTGAATTACTCGACGTTGAAAAAATTTACAACAAGATCAAAATAATACTCGTAGTTAAAACAATGCATTAAATTACCGATATTAATTTGAAGAAAAAAATTGTTCAAGTACTTGAGCTTGCATGAAGAGTAAGGAATATGTTAAAACTTGTTTTTATTCCCCAGGTTTTATATTTCTTTTATATATGGAAGTCTATCGGATATTTAACACTTTCTTATTTTTTTAATTTTCTATAGAGTTTCATTAACTTATCGCGTTAAATCGGCTCACAAAGTAAAATTGACAGATAAACAACTGTTACAATGGATGATACCAATATTATTAGTTATGCTTATATATCTGGGCACATGGACATTATCAGCAGCACCGACAGCCGAAAATGTAAGTTTATGCTTAATATAATGTTGAAGATTCACTATTTTATTTTATTTCATTTTTTATTCAATTTTCGAAAAATATTAAATGCTAAAATGTTTTTAATGTTTATTCCAATTTAACATTTTTTAAAATTCTTAATTTTTTAGTATTCTTACTAATATTGCGAGCATAAATAAATTAACGCATAAGTTTCATCAATTAAAAGTAGAAAAGTAAAAAACAAAAAAAGTATTAAAATTATCAGTCGTGTACATATACTACGTTTTTTTGAATTTTTCGCCTTATACAATTGAGATCCATATATTTTCTAATAACACTAATCAAAAGTTATGTACATATATAAATTCATATGCAGAATTTTGTCAAAATAAAGAATTAAAAACTATTTTATAAAATTTTTCATAAACTGTAACATAATTGTTTGTTTTATTATTATTAAAATAATTACAAGCACTTATACTTTGTTTCATTTAGAAAGTGTTTACTTCTATCACTAACTTATAACTTTGAGTTTATGGTTCTAGAACTTATACGCTAGATATTACTGTGCTTATAATTCTTACGCTTGATTCGATATTTTAGGCAAATAACGTTTATGTTAGTTAAAATCCATAATTTACAATTAAAGATTAAATAAGCAACTTTGTTGTAAATCGTATATTGCAGATCGAAGACCAAGATGGCCTGAAATTCAAACAATGCTCGTACAATTGGTGGGACCACAGTCTTGCCATTGGTGAAGTTTTATTTTTAGCTTGGGGTGTACGAGTGTGTTATAATGTTAGAAATGCTGAGTCATTATATAACGAAGCTAGGCAAATATCATATGCGATATATAATATAGCTATTGTTAACATTACAATGGTCGCATTCCAGTAAGTATATAAATATATATGTATATACATATGTAGTTATGTTTACATATTATATCGTTTAATGAGGTTTACTTATATTTTATGATCTTTTAGCTCTTATATTTTTCGTCATTTTATAACATTATCCATTAAATCTTCTTACAGTTAATTGAACTTCTTAGTTTAGAAAGATATGTCATCGTTTGTACGAGTTACTTTTGACTTGAATGAAATCGAAATTCAGCAACTTTTCAAAGATTTTTAATTTCACGACTTTGAAGACCTATAACTTGAAATGAAGGGGGGAAGATTGAACAATTTGTATCCTAGTCGATTATATGAATATTCTAAAAATTATATTACGAAATGAATTATTTCACTTACAAAATGAATAAATGAATAGATATCCAAAAGTTCCCTTTAATTCAAAAAAGAGTTCTTCTATCAAATTTCATAAGATGCGTAAAAAATAACAAAGTTCGGAGTCGTTGCGCACGAAACAAACAATCGGCACAGTTGAATTGTCTCTTTCGAAGTAAAGGAAACTTTCTCTTCATTTTGAAAATTTTTGGGAAAGGTATGAAAACTGCTTGCACCATTGTCCCATTGCAATCTGAAGTGGTTTGCCAGTGAATGTGTAAATGGGGCTTAGTGTATATTGAGATAGGTTTTTAAACTGATTTATTTATATATTTGGGTTGAAGTTTAAAAATAAAGTTATAGTTATTTGAAAAATGATGTCTGGATATTGAGTATTAATTATTTAATTATGTTTATATTGATTTGTGTTTTTCTTTCTTATTATTTTAAAAACTACAAAATCGAATAACTCGAAAGCTTTTTTTAATAAACACAAAAATAAGTTTTAAGACAAGAATTGAATATTAGTGATTTATGAATTATATGTAAAAAAGATATTTATATGTAAGTGTATTTGTTTTATTATATAATAAAACAAATATACTTACGAACGTTGCGCTACTAAGGAATACTTAAGAACATCTTTTTTCGTTTTTAGTTTACTAATATTTCCACAAGCAGGACCCGATATCAAATATTTACTGGGTTTCATTAGAACTCAATTATCAACATCTGTTACAATAGTGCTCGTCTTTGGGCCAAAGGTCTTAAGAGTTTTACGTGGACAAGGTGATCAATGGGACAATAAAGCTAGAGTGCGTAGCATCACAGCCTCATTTTCACTAAATGGGGTTGGTTTAGTGCCGGAAGATTCACCTGACTTGTATCAAGAAAATGAAGAATTAAAGGTGAGATGTTAATTATTTACATATTTTTTTACATCAATTTCAATTGTATCTGTGAATTTTTTTGTTAATTTAGAAAAGTTAGCTTTCGATTAGGTTTACGACAATCAGAATGCATAAATAAAAAAACAAACGCAAAAATGTAATCAAGGCCTAATAAGAATTGAGTTTCAAGAAGGATGAAAAATCAGTATTTCAAATTACACATACAGATATAAATCCGTTTTTTATTTTTTATTTATTTATTATACTTTATTCTCTGAATTATTACAAAAATTTTACTTAAACTAAGAGAATAAGAAAACGGCATTATTATTTAAAGAAAAATAGTGTAAATGCCTAATTGTGTTGTTAAAAATTATTATTTAAATCAACATTTGCATAATAATACAAATACTCTATAGAAAAAATATTAAATTATTAAAATTATTAATTTCAATCTGCAAAAATACTAGTTAACAGTACAATATAATTATACACTTATACATACTTAATTTATAATTTACCAAAAATATAGATTTTAATTTTAGATATAAAATTTAATACCCAATAAAAAAAAATAAAAATATTAAATTAGACTACTTAACAAATTATCTACTTCACTATGCTTTAAACATAAAAGCCATTCTTTTATACTTTTGACAAACTTATTTAAACTTCTAATAGCACGTATTGGTTGTGGAAGTCTGTTAAACAAGCGGACGGAAGTTATATCAAAAAAGTTTCGGTAATTTGTTGTTCTAAAAACTGGAACATTAACTAAGAATCTCTGATTAATGCGCAAACCAAAGCGATTTGAAGCCCTACTGTTTAAGTAACCTCCTCTTATGTAAAAAGCCTTTAAGACCCTATAATAATAAAGTTATCTAATAGGAAGAATTTTCAAACTGCTAAATAAATCCATACTATGAAATAAACGATGTCTATTACAAATTTTTCTAATTACACATTTTTGTAAGATTAGAAGGGGATAAATTTTATTCTTAAAAGTACCACCCCAACAACTTATGCCATATTGTAACTTAGAATGAAAAATGCCATAATAAAACATCAAGAGGGTTTTCTGCGAACAAATTTTGTTTAAGCGATAAAAATAACGCAAAGTAGAACGCAAATAAGACTTAATGGCATTTGTGTGCGCTGACCAATTCAATATACTATCAATAAACACACCTAAGTATTTGAATTGATTGACTTCTTCTACTATAAAGCAAGAGGAGTTACAGCAGCCAGAATGTACAATGTTAACATTATGGTTATTATCACTATCCATAAGAACACTTTTGCAACCAGAAGAATGAAAAACAAGATTAATATCAGAAAGTTCCTTTTGCATAAGATTAAAAAACATTAGTTTTGTTTTATCACTAACAATTAGCTTATGTCGGAAGAACCAATATCTTAATAAGCTAAGATCCTTATTGATTGCACACGTTAGATTGAGCGGACTGTTGCACGAATAGGAAATTGCAAGATCATCAGCAAAAGCTGTTAAATTACCTTGAAATTCCAAATCAAAAAGTGAATTTATATATATAAGAAATAATATTGGTCCCAAAACAGATCCTTGGGGAACTCCTAAACTAACATACTGAACACTACTGAATTTGTTACCAATTTTGGCTCTTTGAGTCCTGCATTCTAAGTAGATTTAAACTAATCCAATATAAAACCACAAAAACCTAGCGCAAATAATTTATTCAAAAGAATTTTATGATTCACCATGTCAAAAGCTTTAGTAACATCAACAAATAGACCTGCACAATTTAGTTTTTTGTCCAGACCTGAATTTATTTGCGAACAAAAATTTAATAAAGCATCTTCAGTTCATACGCCTTTTTTGAAGCCCAATTGCTTCGAATTAAAAAATTCCAATTCATTTAAATACTTCAATGTTCTAGCTTTCATTGCCTTTTCGAAAATTTTTGAAATCGTAGGAAGCAAGGAAATAGGTCTATAGTTGTTTACGTCTGACTCCACCCCTTTTTTGAACAGTGGAATAACAACCGCAAATTTTAGCTGGTTGGGAAATAATCCTGAAAGCGCACAAAAGTTGAAAATATACACCAGAACATCGACAATATTAAATGCAATTTCCTTCAATAATTTATTGGAGATATTATAAAACCCAGCAGAATTTGAGTTTTTTAAAGACCGAATAATTTGGGGAAGTTCAGGTACCGAGAAACTATCAAAAAAGAAACTGTTACGAACACTGTTTACCTTCGTGATATCATATTCAAAGTCAGAACCTAAATCAGAAGACAACTTTAAAGCAACCGAGGAAAAATGATTATTGAATTCATTTGCAATAAGAAACTCATCTGTTATAGACTGTCCATTTTGTATAAGTTCTATTTTCTTACTATTTTTCGAGTTCCTATTGAGCAAGTTATTAACTAGTCTCCACTCGCTCCTTATATCACCATTATATTTAGCGAATTCATTACGATAAAATCTTTCACGGCATTCAGAAATTTCATTTTTATTAATTTGCACAGCTTTTTGTAACGACTTTTTAACCTAGAATTAGATGGATGTTTATATAATTTGATACATAATTTATTCTTTAATATTACTTTTCTCAACAAAATATCATTCATCCACGGTTTTAACTTTTTATTTTTCGCACGAGGACTATAACTAAAAGTACATTAAGAAATATAGCATTTCATTTTGCACTAGCATTTTGTTCATTATAAACATCATCCCAAAACTCAAAAATTAGCATATTGTTCAGTCTATTATAATCTATTTTTGAAATTGTAGCAGTATCAGGAGTATTTTCTTTTATCAACTATTAACGATTTAACAAGAAGTCCAGTCATATAATGATCTGTAATTTCAAAATTAAAAACTCCCTTTTCACACGACTGCAAAGGAATAGTATCGAAACGACCATGAATATGATCTAGGCAAGACCCAGAACTAATCCTAGTCGGTTCACTAATAAAAGGAAATAGACCATTTTCAGCTAGAATTGAAAAATAATAGTCAACATTTTCAGAATTAGATAGAGAATTTAGATTAAAGTCACCAACAATTATTAAATTAGAAGAATTTATGTTATATAACAAATTTTGGAACTCATTAAGAAATATATTAGCTGAACAACTATGTAATCTATACACACAAATAAAAGAAAACGAAATATCCTTAATTTTACAATCAATTTTCAAAATATTAGCAGATGCAAAAGTATAATATGTAACATCTGCATTCAAATAACAATTTTTTACAAATACACCCACACCACCAGCAGCATACGACTCGTTAGTATTAGCAAAAAATGTATAATTAGGAATATTTTACTCCACCAACTCGTTCTCAAAAACCCAAATTTCAGAGACAAAAATAAAGTCCGGCTTGTTAATAAATGTTTCTAAATGAACTAGCAACAAATCAAAGTTTTGTCTTAGGCTTCTTATGTTTTGATGTATTATAAAAAACAAATTAGTGTTAGAGGAAAATTCAAAAACACTACTACAATTTAAGCCACAATTACCACTATAACTAATATCAAAATTTAAATCTAAGTTATTTCGTTGAATTATCATTTACCTAGGGGTTTGAAATAATTTCCAGCTGTTTTGTTTTTTAAGTTTGTTGTCATTAACCGATTATCTAATAAGCAGTCTTTTTTGGAAATTGTGACACTTGATACTGATGTTTTTATTTTTTCCACTGAGTCAAGTAGGTGGGTATGTTGACAAGTTTTAAGTACAGCATAGCTAGTTGGATCAACTTCAATTAGCAGTAATTGCTAATATCCAATTTTCCTTTTTAGCATGTTTAATTTATTTAAATAAACTGGACATTTTTTGCTTAGTGTTTCATGAGTAGCATCAAGGTTTAGTTTTAACCTCTCATTCGCAGCTAAGCAGTTAATACATTTATTAACTTTCTCCTTTTTGCACTCACTGTTTTTGTGTTTACCTAAACAATTAGCACACTTCTCTTCATTTTTGCATTCTGCCGCCTTGTGATTGAATCCATGACACTTAAAACACCGAAGCACTCTCAACGCGTCGAATACCTTGCAGCGTTCCCATCCTATAGAAACTTTTTCATTTTGCAAAGCTTTAGGAAAAGATTCTTTATCAATTTCGACAATCGCATTATATTTTTCTTCACCCTGCCTTTGTACTTTATATATCTTAATTATTTTCATTTCACTCGCTTCAAGATGATGGTTTTGCGCTTTCAATTTGGTTATTAACTCAACTTCTAAGTACTGTGTACCAATGTGCACTATTTCAATTTTAGGTTTTATTTCAGAAGGAATTTTGACTACATAATTCTTATCCAGGTTACCTTCAAGTGCAGATTTAATTTTCTTCATCTCTAGATTATCATCAGTTTCAACAACAATCACACCATTCTCTCTATTCTCAATATTTTTTATTTTAAAGTCTTTTGGATCGACCTTCTTATTTAAATCTGCTCTTGTAACATTACACCTTTGTTTTGCTATAGGTTTGATAATCAAAGGTAGTTGTTTTTTAATTTGCGGAAATTTTTTATTTGCATCAGCATTTTTTACAATATCCGAGAATGAAATATTTTCATCTATATTTAATTTGACCTCATTTGCTTTTACTTTTTTAAGTTCACTGCAAAGTTCATCATACTTCAATAAACTTTTGTTTACAGATGTATTCAATTTTTCAGTGTCCGTTTTGAATAATTCGGCTATTCTCGACACTTTATCAAATTCTTTCTGTTGAGCACCTTTTATACTTCAACTTCATTTTTTTTTATCGCATTCTCGAATTCTTGTTTGTATTCATTCAAATAATCGTGGTTTTTTTTATCGCACAAAATATATTTTGTAAAATCATATCAACATTTTGAATATATAATACACAATCGTCGCAAATGAATTTAACAGATTTATTTGCGTCCAAAGCGTTGCTTCCAGCTTGATCTAAACAACTGCATTTTATAGCGCTATGATATATTTTACCACATACCCCGGCACACCTTATACCGGTCTCGCCTCTGATACTGGTCCGACATTTGTTACATTCAGCCATTACAGCTGATGGAATCCCAATATGAACAGGAACAACTATTTAAACTCAATACAATAAACGTTATTTATTAATAAAATTTTTTCCGAGAGTAATTAACACGTCTGATTACTATGAATATCGATTTCTGATTGATATGATAGTACTATAAATTAACCAGAAATAAATTTCTGTAATGCAGTTTTTGTTTAATAATAACTACGTCGAGAAATTCATAAATAATACCTCATTTTTATATTCTTATAGCATTTCTTAGAGGTTTAATGTTAGTTTACAGCACTAACGTATGTATATAACACTCTAAAAACGTAACACTTCTAATTATGTAAACCTGAAATAAGACCTATTTGAAAAAAATAGGTGACATGAATTCGAGTGGTAATGTCACTCAGCTGTTGCAATTTGAAATTTTTAAAGAAACAGTGCACATTTGCTTATTTATGTAAATTTCAGATTTTTTAACCCGGTTGTCTCTCAAGAAAAAGCAAAATACAATTTTTTGCTATAAAACATAGCTGAAACTGCCATTTTTTATAGATCGAATTTGCTACTTTATATTTGTGAATATTACTATATGAATAAGTGATGTTCTACTACACAACCACGACAATGCCTGATATTTTACTATAGCCAAATTTGCAATGCCGCAAGGGACATTCTGCTACCAAACCTTGTGAAAGTACTACATGTAGCATTGCAGGCATAAATAACATAAATTGCGTTATAAAATTGCTATTTTAGCTATAATGTTGTAGAAAAGATATTATATTTAATTTCTGAAAACTTGATTATTAATTTCAAATTTCCTTTTGGAGTTGCTACAAATTTACACTTTTTTTTTTATAAAAAATATGATTTTTCTTGCCATACAGTGTTATTATCGTTTTGTCATACATTATATTGCTAGCTAATGAAATGTAAAACATTTCAAGCGAATAGTCTGGCAATTATGGTTTTAAAAATTATGAAAGAACGCTATAAACGCAGTTGGATGTTTTATTGCAAATTCTGCAAAAGATTTTTTTTTCAGTGACATCACTGATTACTGAATCAAATTGTATATGGTTTAGTTTTCAAATATGATTATTTTTTATTTTCTCATAAAAATATGTTAATAATTGTACCATTAAGCCATGTCAATAGTTGTACCAGAGTGTCAATAATTAAACCATTAAGCCATGTCAATAGTTGTACCAGGGTGTCAATAATTGTACCATTAAGCCATATCAATAGTTGTACCGATAATTGTACTTTTTGGTATTCACGCGAACAAATTTGATTTTTAATACTTTTATTTAACATTTGGTAAATTTTAGTATATGATTATGAAAGAGGAATATTCAATTTATATTTTACCAATGCTCAAATTTTCATGATTCTGTATAAAAAACTTTTATGAGAAATACCGCTTAAGAGTGTCAATAACGCGCTAAAAAGAATCATACCCAACTTTTTTTTTATATTTGTAAACATTCATTTTGCACAGCTAAGGTTGGGTTAGGTTGTCGTGGCTCCCCGAAGGGTACACATAGGTTAATAAGGCCCGTTGTGGTACAGTTGGATCTCTCGCTTTCCGCTCCGCATCTGAACTAGCCCTAGCTCCTCAAAAATCGGTTCAAATTCCTAACGCTTACATTCGCTAAGTCCGTAGCGTTCTTGAAGAAGTAAGACCCAAGGAATCTCTGCCCGGAGCTCGCCAGTGCCGGACACAAGCATAGAAGGTGGGTCACCGTTTCCTCCTCCCCTTCGTCACATAGCAGCTCCTATAAAGATCGTTTGCGGGACGGCCCATTCTCCTTACATGTTCGCCAATCAGACAATGGCCCGTCATAACCCCACCCTTGTGCGACGTAAATCCAGCTTTGGCCACAAATTCCTTGTCGCGTTACACGTTGCTCCATTAACCCATCCAAGGTTGGTGCGCTCCATTGCCAAGTTGCGCAGCAGCAGCCCGTGGGTTCTTGGAGGCATGCCCAAGCTCTCCTTTTCAGGTGAAATCCCTCGAGTTTATTTCGAACTGCCCCGCCATCTCGTTAAGAAACGACCTGCAATCCCGGAGCGTTCTTGACGTGGAGACTTCAGAGCCCAGTGCCCTTATCGCGGCCTGGCTGTCAGTGAAAATACTGACGCCAACCAATTGCGACCATCTTGGTCTGAAATACACTACAGTGATCCGGCGGACGGAAGGAGAGCTCAACATCTAATTGCTCAGAATAAATTCCCTAACCCACTTCGCCATCGAGTTTGGATCCGTTTGGCCACAAAATTTACTGATCCGCCACCAGCAACTCCTTCGTTCAGCCAGTATTCCATATTGAATTTGGGTTTTTAATGTAACACCAAAAACATGTAAACAATATAAATGACTAGCTATACATACAGAACTTATTTTATATCTAAGCATTTTAAAATTTTTTTAACAGGAAGAAATACAAAAACTTGCCCATCAAATTGAGTTTATGAAAACTGTTCATATGCAAATGAATAATCGTCATATAAAACCAAAGCCTGGTGGCTATTTTACCATTACATCAACATCGTTCCAAACACCCACGATCAATGCTAAAGGTGTCACTTCAGCAACAACCCAAACATCTTGCAAAACTTCCCATCCAAACAGCTGTGTAAGTGATGATGGACATAGCGGTTCAAATAGCGTTGGTACCAATTCAATGGGGTAAATATAGCTGTTTTTTCATAACCACTTTAACGAAAAGTACCATTTTAGTTTCAAATTTTCTATGGCACTTAAAATCGAAAATTAAAGATAAAAATAAAATGAGGCTTTTTGGTCTTAAATATCACTTTGTTTATTGAAAAAAAAATTTTTTGATATACATATTTAGTTCTTAATCATTGACTTGAATTTTATTTTTAAGAGTAATAAACTTTAAGCATCCCACTAACCAGGTTCTCATTGCTGAAAGTAAATAAAAAAAAAATTCCAAATTTGCATGAAAATCGCAAGGAGTATTGAAAATTATTTCTGTGAACGAAATTGACTAATATTACTTTTTACTGATTCTGCATATTATTTAAAAATTTAATGTTCAAATTAATTTGAAAGAAAAACTTAATCGTATATTTGAACGCGTTTAATCTTTCCTGTCTTCCAAAAAGAAAGGTACTAAATAATAGAGCATTTTTATACCCGTACGAACGTATGTTGGAAGGGTATACTAAATTTGCCTTACCGTTTGTAACGCTAAGAAATAATCGTCTGAGATATAGACTTAAGTGTATGTTTTTAATCAGCGTCGAATTCTGAGTCGATTGGGCTCCGTCTGTTCGTCCGTCCCAGCGATAACTCAAAAAGTAATTGAGGTAAGTTTACCAAATTTTCACAAATGATTTATTGTAGTAAGTGCCAGAAGCCTATTTAAATTAGACATGGTCGGGATACTGGTTCGCGTAGCTGCCATACAACTTCAAAATTTATTTGGCTATATCTTAGAAGCTGTGGTATTGAAATTTCGTACATATATTAATAGGGCCAATGTGTTTAATGAAAGTCGCTGAAATTGCTCGGCTCCTTTTGGTAGCTGCCGTACAACTTCAAAAGTTATTTGGCTATATCTCAGAAACTATAAAAGCTGTTATATTTTAATTTCATACTAGCGAATATATGAGTAGGGCCAATGGTTTGATAAAATTCGTTGAAATTGCTGGCTCTTTCTGATAGCTCTTATACAACTTCAAAAGTAATTTGGCCATATAGCTTAGAAAATACTGAAAACACACTACTGAAATTTTACGTAAATTAATATGGTAATACGGCAACTTAAAGTCATAATCTGTCCCATAATCAGCTTTGTTATATTTATTCGCACATTATTTATACTAAATTATAGCGTATATTATAGATTAGCAAAAGAAAAAAATTGAAGGAAGTGTTAATATAAATGTCGAATTCGGCGGTAAAGTAAATGAGTTAAGATAAAATATTATATTTTTTTGACGGTATAACATTTTCCGTTAACTTTTGCTTTAATAAAAATTTAGAATGGCATATCGTTTCGAAAATATAAGCTGTTGAAAATTCAAACTTATTTGAACTACGAATTACGAGAGGTGATGCGATAACTTGAGAGGAGGTGGAAGATAAAAATGGTTCCCTTCTACCGAAATAAACTATTAATAATAATATAAAATAGCTTTTTTAGACTCTTACAATTTACTATCTAGAAGAAAAACAATATTAACAATATAAAAAAACATTAGCTTCAGATAACGGGTAATTTTCACGACCGTTCTGTAATTTTATGATGGTACATAATTTCGATACAGTAAGTTTCAAGTAAACAAGCTTCTAATAAATAAAATTTAGAAATAACTTAATAAATCCATATCAAATAAAATTAATATCTAAAATTTCAACTTTTTGTATAAAAGAGTGTAGAAGTTTTGTTAATGGACAGACGTACTAGTAGAATGAAACTAATAAACACTTTTTTCAATTGTTTTCTGCCAAAGTGCTAAAACCCAATTTAAGTGTTGTTTTATGTGTTAATAAATTCTTTCTTATTATTTTTATTAATAGATATCCGGCAGTACACAATGTATCAACATCAGTCACTAATAATGGTAGTGAAAAAGTCTGACATGGGCAACGAAGTGGATTTGATTGTTCAATTGAGTCACGTATTGGTGCAAAATATGCAATGTCATCAATAAATGATATTACCGAAGAATTATTATTTCCCCCGCCGTCACCCTCATTTTATGCAAAACATAAAATTCTGCCAGTATTATCAAAAATAAAATCTAAAAGAATTGACCGAAAAGTAGCAGCGGCAGTCGCTGAAATATATAAAGAAGGTAGAGAATTGAATGATATATTTATAACAACTGGAAGATTAGCAAAAGCAGTTAATTCTAGTCAACCCAGTAAATCATTTCCAAGTCCATCAATCGAAGCAATAGCAATTGCAGAAGCAACATTTAATGCAGTTGCAACGATAAATCAACAAAAGCAACTTAAGATTATTAAACCGACATCTATATCCAAATCGATTTCATCATCGGCTACTGTTGCGCAAGTAGCTGCTTCAGAAGCATTCGATTTATCGTCATCAGCGCCAAGCTCAAATATCTTTACACCACCCTTATCATCAATTACAATAACCGATCATTTAAACTACATGCAAAATAATACATTATCCTCTTTATCCTTGTCAATGCAATCATCGCTAGAAACAACAACGCCAAGCAAAACAATAGACGTAAGAAGGCCAATTGTTGTTTAGGTAAGTTAATTTAATTTTAATTCAGTATTGAATTGCGTATTACACAGTTAAATAAAAACTAAATCGTAGTTTATAAACAACCTAATCTCAAAGCCTCTGTCTGTTTTCTATAATTTATAAAAATTTCCGATGTCTGCCATAAATGACCGTGGAACAGTTAACAAAAATTTAAAAAAAAATTAATTATCAAACCCGTTTATTGTAAAGTGAAACAATTCTTTTTAACTTGGAAGCTTGGTATTAGAACTTGGTATTAATAAAAATCTAAGTAAGGAAATGATTTATTGATTTATAGTCTCCTTATTACCATATATTTTGAATAAATTTAAATATGATCAATATAACGTAATTACAAAATTGACCCTGTTCAAACTTTGAGGAATAATAATAAGTCGAAAGGAAAATAAAATATTTATCGATATCTAAAAGCTATTAAATCTTAAGGATTTATCCCAGTTCCCAATAGTTGAAATATGACGCCTACAATTAGCGAAAAACTCATATCAGATGACGGTTAATCTTAATGATTGTTAGCCTAACATTTCTAATAGTTTTATATGATAAAAGAAGTAATTCTTGGTGTTTTCGCGTTTAAAGAATTTTCAAATTGCTTTTGTTTGAAAACAGAAGTTCGTCAAAAATGTTTTGTTTCAAAACTTCGAAGAGTTAGAATTTAGTGAGAAGAAGAAGATACGGAAAAAATTTATTTAGAGAAATAACACATTAACCTATATCTATTTATGATAAAATTTCGTTTTTATATCTTGAGCTGTAGAAGGTTCGTAAAACATTAATAATATCTAAAACGTAAACTCAATCAACTGTGAAAGTAATTTGCATATAAGTATGTAATTAGCTAAAAATGTCTGTCAATACCTTTTCATTCAAATTTTGAAAAGCACTTTTTTTTTTTATTCAAACAACTTAAAATATAAGTTCCGATCAAACAAACGATTTCTGATGCACAGGATTTGCCTTGAATAAGCAAAAGAAGTCTGTTTCTTTACTTCTTTTTCTTATTCAAGGCAAATCCTGTGCATACTTTCAAGATGGTAAGAATATATATTTTGGACATTGTATATTCTTGCTCAGCATTCTTCGTCGTCCGTCTGTCCGTTCATCCGTCCGCCCGATCACATGATAACTCAAAAACGAATAATGTAATCAGCATCAAATTTTCACAAGTTGTTTCCTTTGTCCTAAAGACGGACCCTATTGTAATTGGACTAATTCGGACAATTTTGGCAGCTGCCATACAACTCAACGAGATATTTTTAAATATTTCAAAAACTAATGGAGATATTAACATCAAACTTTAAATACGTGTTTGCAATTATATTCTACATATACTCTGAAAGAATTTTAATGAAATAGCTGCACCGATTAGCTACCACGGGTAGCTTCCATACAACTCTAAAAGCTTTTTTTTAAATATTTGAAAAAATAATAAAGTTAGATTCATGAAACTTGGCGGTCGTGTGTCCGATTATGAGTCGCATATGTCCTTGAAGTTTTGGTGGAATTACTTGACCGGTTCGGGTACCTGCAATACAACTCCAAAAGCATATTGGAAATATTTGGAAAATTTATAAAGTTAGATTCAAGAAACATGGAAAGAAATAGATATTTCAAGGTTCAGGGTATAATTCGGTATAAACCGACTTTAACGTTTTTCTTGTTTTTAATTGGTTTTATTTTAATTTGTTTAAATTTCAAAAATGGTTTTTTCCAAGAAATAATTCCTTTCTATTTGAAAAAACTATTGAGTTTTTATGTTTTTTTTTTTAATTGGAATGAATTTTTAGTTTAAATTTGAGAAAGTAGGATTTTATTATGTTGAGTTTTTATTTTAATTTTTTATGTTTTAATTTTTTGTATTAATAAATAAATTTAAAAAAAACATAAAAATGCCTTAATTTAGAACTGGAACGTAACTTTAATATTTCAATGCAATTCCATACAAAAAGTTTTCTCGAATTGTGGAAGTTTTGATTGCGACGAATTTTTTAGGAACAAATTATAGTCGAAAAGCGTGGTATTGGTGCATGCCTTACAATAGCCTAATACGTTTATCGAGTGCAAATTTTAAAGCTTTGAGTTAAGATAAAGTTGTTTTTAAATAGGGGAGTATACAATTTTGGCAAAGATAAATCAAATTTTTTACTCTTTTTACTCATTTTCTATTTGCTATTTTATTCTCTGACTGAAAAATTTGAAAAAGAAATCTTTTCAAATATATAAAATGAAAAACATAAAACCTATTTTTTTGGTATGTATTGCTGAAAATATGGATGTTGGAAAAGGCTACTGATTGCAGTCAAAATAAAGTTGGGTCAAACTAAAGGCTTGTAATGTAGTACTCTTCTTAAATTATGAATTTTACTAATACAACATCATAGTTGCGGAATTAATAAGAATGTGCTTATTACACTACTAATTTATCTTAATGGAAATTTCTTCATGCAACTGCAGAACAGATGGATGACGTAATCAAAGGAACGAGTTAAAGGCAGAAAAATTCATTAAAAAAATTTTTCTCCTCGAACTGGACTCTTCTCCTTAGCAAGCCAAAATACTGCTTTTAAAAAAAATCCATACATTATTAAAATTACTTTCAGACTTATGCGTCGTTCATTTATATTTCAAAGATTGCATACATTTGGGATGAGTTGCATACACCTTTCAAACAATATAAAAAGAATTTAAAGTGGAAGAGATAATGTTTGAATTTAAGGTTTAATTGCGTGAGTTAAGAAAAATTATTATATTTTTCAATAGCAGGGCATTAATTACCACTAGCACTAGTTTACAAAATTTCGAGAGGCGTTAACTTGAAAGGATATTTATTAGTGCCTAAAAGTTGCTAAAATTCTTAAGTGCTATAACGTGCGGTCTAGAAGAAAATGACATCAAAAATTTAGAAAAAGCTAATTTCAGATAACGGTAAATTATAACGACCATTTTTCTTATGCTGAAATATGGTATGCCGCGGTAAAAGAATCCACCCACTACTTTTCTGTTTTTGCAAAATTTAAAAAGTGCTAATGATTTTGCTACAATAAATAGTTAAAAAATGCAATTAGGAGTTTGAGGAGTTATATTTTTTAGAGGGGGATATAGGTAAAAGTTGTCTTTTAAGGAAATAAATTGCTTGTAAGGGTGTTTGCACTTATAAAATTTCAGCTTTCTATCTCCAAGGGTGTAAAAGTTTTGTTAACATGCTATGGAAGGAGGCCCGTACTTCAGAGTGAAACTATTAAGTACTTTTTTTCAAAAACTTTGAAAAAAAGTATAATGAATTAAAGTGCAATGAATTCAGAAACTCTGAATGCTAATGAAAAAGATTTCAATTGTTCGCACAACGAAACGGCCAAGCCGCATATTTAAACAAAGATTTAAGGTTTGTATAGTTTGAACAGGTGGTGTATGTAAAGTTAGCAGCTAGATCTAGCAGGTATCTTAGTTAACATATGATCCGATGACTTTTTGAAAATATGAAAACTTTTTGAGATATGCTCCCGCTTTGCCAAAATATTATATTGAATGTTTTTGATGGGGTAAATTTAAAAATGTTGGATAAATCTCGCTAAATTGAAACATTAGAATGCTAGTCTATTGTGTTATATATTGTTTGTACGTTACATATTAAGTTTTACTTAAGTTTTTGTTTTAATTTCATGATAATGTATTATGTGCTCCTCATTCTTTCCTCATAACTCTCAGTGAACAATTTCACAAAACAAAAATTTTCTATGGATGAAAAATTCGTTGCCGCAGTTTTTTATACTATACGTATACACATACATAATGTACCTATATGTGCAGATCTACATTATGTACGTACAAATTTGATGTAGACAAAGGATATGTACAAAGGATTGCATAAATGTTGCAAAATATAACAAAATTTAAAGATGTTAAGTATGTATATAAATCCATGCCTATGGGAAAATTTATATAAAGAAGTTGCTACACTATAGAAAGCAAATAAATCAAAACAGCAAAATGACTATTTTAAGATAAGAATTTGAATTATTGTTTATATAACCAAATAATAAGATAAAATGAGAATATAAAACATAAAGAGTAAAAAGATAACGAAACATGACAATATTTATCCGATATAAAAATAAAAAAGTGCTCCACTTTGTAAAAAAAAAAATAGCAATAATATTATGTTATTGAAAATCATGGCAAAAAGAATAGCTTTACTTATGCGTGAGCAAATGTCCATTTAAAAAACAATAGAAGTAACGATGAAAATGTTAAATAAATAAGGATATGGTATAACTTTCCTTTATAAATAAATGCATAAATAAGGTGCACATATACAGGGTGGCAAATAATTTCAGGAATCAATTTTCAGCAAAAATCGAAATGGTGTGGGGGGTTAAGATATACTCGTTTTCGAGCTAGGCCATGTAGAAAAAAAGTATTAGATTTTGCCTGCACATAAATAAATGCTTATAAATTCAGAACTAGGCGCTATAGAGTAACCATCGGGAGCTTATTTTACAGGTAATTGATTGCTCTTTATTTTCGGTCTAATAATCAATTAGATTTGAGCCATAGCTTTGGGGTCTTTGAGAAAAAGCTTGTCAAAGACAGAATTTCTGTTTATTCTTTAATTTTTTTTAAAACTCGAAATTTCTTTAAAATTCAGTTACATTTTTTTCCATACGATTTTTTACTGTAAATTGATGAAAGAATCATTTCTAAAATTTTTTGCCATCGAATTCGAAACACCCTGTATAAAGTAACACAAAGTTATTTTTAAGTCAGTCATATTTATATTAGTATATTTATTTATTCATTATTATGTTGCATTTGTATGTTGCATATGTCTAGCAAATACATACATAAAATATCTAGTAAACATATACATGCAAAAATTATACAGAGCGTTTCGCATAAGGTGGCAAATAATTTCTGGGAAGATTCTTTGATAAATTTCCAGCATAAAATTGTATGGGTGGTTTTTCGACCTACAGCTTGTTAAAAAAAAGGTACCGGACTTTTCCTGCATGTAAATATATGCTTATAACTTCGGAACCATACAATATAGCGTTGGCATTCCGAGCTTTGAACAGACGATTGATTCTTATTTATTTTTGATCTTACAAATAATTTTATTTGAGCCATAGTTTTCAAAATACAGCTTGTCAAAGTCAGATTTTTTTTTAAATTTTTTTCCCTTGCACCCATACAATTTTTTGCTGGAATTTGTTCAAAGAGACATCTTTGAAATTATTTGCCCCCTTATATGACACACCCTGTTTATTACAACATAACATTTATAAACCAAAATAATTATATAACTAACGATGTGTAAATTTTATGTATTGTAACTTATTGTATGTATATATGTATGAATATATTAGTTAATAGATCCCTATAATTTGTCTTGTATTACGTACACACATACATATGATATAAGAAATAGTAGGAGTAAAAATAATTTTTATGTAACAATTTTTTCCAGCTCATTTAAATGTTGTCAAGCGTTACAAACATACGTAAAATAAATATTATATTTTACATATAGATACTTTTACAAACTTATGCTCAAATCCAAAATACATGTACATACACACATAGGTATACATAACACGTATTATACTTTGTTCTTTGATAGACGTTCGTTAAAAATAAAGCTCAGTGTAATGTTATAAAAATACATGTCAGTAATCGGTATGCAAGATAAGCCTGTACTTACATTATCTGTATATATTATGAAGGTACTTAAATTACAATGTACATATGTATGTTCTTTGAAGATAAACTTAACTATAGAAAAATTGGAAAATTGAAATAGAATAAAATGTATGTATAAAAATATAATAAACTTAGGATAGGGACGAATTTGCTATAAGCATATGTAACCAGATGATACACACATTTTTATATATCGTAAACAATGTATATTTACGAACAAGTAATATCACTTCCTGTTTACATTCAGAACCTATACCTAATCCAATTTTTTACACACATTATGGAAAAGAATTTGTAGTTAAAAAGTCAAAAACGACATTTATTTTTTCATAATTTTTATGTGTAGCTATTAATATGGGACGGAAAATGTGCGCTATAGATGCCTACGAAATTTTTCATAACATTCTTCATAATTGCGTATATGTGTTAGGATTAGTAAAATTTAGAAAATACTAAGTTTCAGCCAAAAAAAAGGGCCAAATAGTTTTGCATGTATTTTCAACTACACAATTTTTAAAATATCTCTTAAATATATTTTTACACAATTAGCACGACTTTTATTAAGACTACTCGTATATTAGCTCTGTAAAATTTATAAAAAGCTAAATTTCAGTTAAAAGAAGGACAAGAAGAGCCAAGTAGTTTTGCATGTATTATCAACTATACAATTTTTAAATTACCTTTTAAATATTATTTACACAACTAGCACAGCTGTTAAATTGATTGAAATTGAACAAAATTTAAATTGATATTTAACCAAGTTGTACAATCAAAACTGAAGCTTTGTTTTGATTGTACAATTTTTTTTTGATCTTAATGTATATTTATGATAGGTGATGCCTTTGGGTTTTTATAAGTCTGAATTTTAGGTTTTGTTTGTTATTTTGGATTAAATTTTGTTAAATTATATTTTTAGTTAATTCATTTAGTTTTTTTCAGCACGATTTAGCTGAATTTTAGGCACCTTCCAGTTTAAAGCGACCTGTTTAGATGCCTTAAAGTAGTTTTTTAGTACCTAAGAAGCCGTTCCCTAATAATAACTTACATTCACCGCTATTGAAGAAGGAGCTAGAAACTTTGTGAAAGTGCCCCAAGTTAAAAAAAAGAGCACTATAGGCCTAAAAATTTCAACTATGTTGCGTATTGTGAGCGGACTTTTTTATTTTTATTGTTTTGTTCCCATATTATAATGTATTTTAAAAAGAGAGTTGTAATAATTTATTCCAAATACAAGGTAGGAAAAAGTGATGTCAAATTTAACAAAAATTAGAAAATGAAATTATAACAAAATAAACGTTTTAGGAGAAAATACTATTATTAAAAAAATTTTAAATTTTAATCAATGTCTTTAAAAAGAGTTTTATATAAGAAAATTTTTTAATAGTAAATAATGTATGGAAAACAGCTTCTTTCATCTTTGGCTTGTGATTTTGTTAGCAGCAATAAAAATAAAGTTGTTAATACAAATATAGTTGAAAAATGGCATTTTTGGGGTTTCGGGGGGCTATTTAAAACACAGCAATAGCTGTGTATAAAGACAAAAATAAATCTAAGGTATACGCTAATGAAATAATAATAAACTTGTGTACATACATATGTATGTACATACATACATAAAATCATTCATTTTTCAAGATAAAAATTCTGTTAACGAATAAAATCTAATGTATGCTCGTATAATATGTAGATAAAAATTAAGCGTTTTAGAGAACTAAGCATTTTTGTAATTCAAATAATTTTAAATATGTATGTACTTATTTATAAAATTTATTATAATTTTTGTTTTAATAATATTTAATATAAATAAAATTATAACTGTTATTATAATTTTCATAATAATATTTGATAAAAATTTGTATATAAAATTCTGAATCCGAATTATCAAAACTCAAAAATAATTAAATTTATTTGAAAAAGGTTTCAGGTAATAATTAATATTTAAATTTTAGCACTCTTTTAGTATTAGTTTAAGCAACTTAGTGAAATAATATATTTACACATTTTAAGACACCAAGTCTATTTTACTATTCAAATTTTGAATTATTAAGTCATTATAAATATCGAATTATAGCACAACATAATAAATTTTTCCAATACTTTTTTCTTTGAAATAGCTTTATAACTTTTATACATACTATATGTATACTTTTATACATGCATAATATACATACATATATTGTGCAAGTAGTGAGAAATTTTTAATTTATTAAAAAATAATTTTTTATAGTTTACTTTACTTAATCTGTTACTCATTTAATGTAGGCCAAAATGTAGGCAAACGATTTTAATTCAATAGAATTTATCAATAAAATAAAACAATTGTCAATAAAATTAATGAGATAAAAAACAAATATTATGTATGTACAAATTTACTATGTTTATTAAAGTTAAAATATTTGAAGATTTTAAAATTTGATAAACAAATAAAATATCTAAAAATACACAATATCAAAATTTTTGTCAATTTTGGCAAAAAAGCCAAAAATTAATTAATAAGAATTTGTAATTAAATTAAATCAAATTAAAGCAAATATATACATATGTATGTATGTAGACATTTAAGCAAAAAATATTATAAAAACCCACCTAGCAGAAAAACGAAAATCGGTTCCAATATTTTTTTATATGTATATGTACATGTCATCAATAATTTTTTTTATAACTATGTCCATATGTGTGTGAAATAGATATGAATATTATATATTTATAAATAACAATTGTTGCATTTTAACAACAATTAAAAAACAGAAACATTAAGTGGTCCCTTTTTTTTAATGGTAAAATTTAATTGTTTTTATAGTTCATTCAATTACCTTCTAAATAACTACTAGGCTCAGTGTCAAATCTCATACAGCTTATAGATATCATTAAATATTTTTTACCCCCAAAGTTTTAATTTTTTAATTTATATATTTTGTATATCTATATTATGTATATCATCACAAGATTCGTTGAATTTCTGTAACTACAAGAACGTTACAATAATTACTTTACACTCAAAAAAACAAGTACATATAATAGAGATGTATAAAAATAATAATTTGGTTAAACAGCACTTACTATATAACAGTGTTGCTTAAACAAAATAAAGTAGAAAAACAATTTAATATTTATACTAATACAGCATTTTTTTTTAAATTATCACTTTAACGTTTCTCTTAAGATTATGTAAAATTTTATTGCTTCACAATTATAGAGTTATTTCAATAGATCTTTTTCTTTATAGATCTGAATATAACAGAAACTATACATACGTAGAAAAACCGAGAACCTTTTAGAAAGCAGAATCTTATATGTATTGTAATTAAAATAATAACTATTCTTATTAAAATGCCCTCACTAACTGAGATAATATAAATTGCTTAAAAAAGGAACATACACATGTTATAGTACATACATAATCAAAAAAAGGGCTAAAATTTACTTTTTTTACTTGCTTTACATTGCGTATTGATTGCGTTGTATTTTTTTAAAATATTCATTTTACTCGTATGTTATAACATCCTAGGAAAATCTTTATTGAAACAAATTATTTGAGCTACATAAATATTATGCATAAACCTTATTATAATTTCGAAAATAAATTAAGTATGTAAATGAATATTATGTTTGTCACGTACATCTTAGTTCAATCTTTAACTTTATTATAATTATGCAATGGTAACGAATGTAACAACAGTTATAGAAATATTAATCCTTAATAATGATACTGTTAAACTTAAAAGTTTTTTTGTCGCTTAATGAAAAATAATCAAATCACCTAGTTAAATTGTTTTTGTGATACCTCCGATATTTACAATATAAGCGATAAGTAGAAAATATGATACATAAAATAAGTGTTATTAAGTAAATTAATATGTTATAACTAGTTTGCATTTTGTAGGTAATAAAAAAATGTAGTTAACACAATAAATTTTACAAAAAAAAAGAATAAAATGAAGTTAATTATAATACTGCAAGAACGTTGTTGTCAAAATTCAATAGAAAATCTCATAAATAATTACAAAAATTATAAAAAAAAAATATGTTGTATTTAAGTACTGTATGAAGTTTTATATATGAAAGTGTTAAATAATAAATTATTTATTAAAGGAAAATATTTGTTTAACAAATTGAATAATAATAAGAAACTAATAAAGCTTCTTTGAGTGCTTTTTACAAAATATGTTTTCCTCGTTCATTGGTTAAAAACTAACAATTTCATAATTCATAATTCATTTCATATCGAAATTTTATAATTTTCGTAAACTGTGAGTACATACATGTAAATGAATAATATCAAAAATATAAGTTGTTCATAAGTTAAAATAATCGTTTTAGGTGTTGAAAAATTAATTATTCATTTAAAAAGTAATAAGTATTTAATAATACGTTAAAAATTACGTTAAAAACAATTATTATTTAATAACTGATTATCACTAGTAAAATAAGAAAAAAAATATTTGTATTTGAATGTTATATCAAAAAATTTATAAAATTAATGAAATAAAATTAAAAAAATTGAAAAAGTTATGTTTCGTAAAAAATTTAAGTTTTTCAATATTAATATATTTATACGTATATACGTATTTATCTGAATAACACATATCTAATTACACATGTAAATTAAAATTTTCTGTTTCAATTTTGTAGCTTCATATTTTGTAACTTTAAAGCTTAAGAATTATCATCAAATTATGTTACCCAAAAAGATTCAGAATTTTTGTATTAAACTTTGACCATAAAATATGCCACAACATTTTTTCATTGACACCAAATAGTAACTTGTTATATCAATATTCCTTATCGTAGCCGAGATATGGTCAGAAACAAACATATATAGTTATTAGATCATAATACACGCGTATAATATGTATGTATTTATTGACAGAAACTTAATAGCACTTTACATTCAAATCATAATTATGCAATTAAATACATATTCTCTTCAATAACAGTATATAATATAAACTAATTATTCGAATAGTTTACATAAATTGACAGTGTATTCTTTAAAAGCTCTTTCTTTTTTAAGGAATTCTTTACTTAAATATTATTGAAACAATCAGTGGAAATAATTTGAAATTTAATTACACATACCTACATATATTTATGAACATGAAAATTTTTAGGAAAATTATCAAATATGTAGGTAGGTACCCTATTGCATGTTCTATACTTTTAAAATAAAATTTTTGACTTATTTCGTTCAAAATTATGCATGTACATGGATTGTTTTTTTTATAAAAAACAGTTTTTCTAAAAATGTTACGATTTTTATTCTAAACACATTTAATTCATGTTTTAATATACATAATTTTTTTAATTGGACGGATGATTTTATAAAAATATCTAATATCATTTATAAAAATTTGTGCTTTTACAGCAGCGTTTTTAAGAAGCATGAAGAAATATTTTCCCAGTTATCATGGTCAATATTAATACGAAAGTTGCTCTTATTTTATTTGAATTATTACAGCTGTCTTCAGCACAATAACATTCTTCCCAAAATACACCATTCTCATATACACCCCAGTTACAAACTCCTGTAACACCAGTTTCTGCGACTGAAGCGCATCTTCTAATTACTTGACGCCATCGGCCATCCCCTAGAAGATTAATTTAATATGTTTAAGTAAAAATGTTAAATTTTCTTTTAGTAAACGATTAAATTTAGTTTTAGTAAACGATTCTATACAAATAAATCCTTTGGGACTCTGCTGAACAACTTTCATGCAAAATGATCCGGGCATATGTGATTCATCACTGTTACATTCAATAGCAATGTGTTCCGACCTATTAAATTTTTTGTAAGCACCACAACTGTCTACTCCTTTTTGGTCTGTTGCCGATGAGCACTGATAGCATCTTACTGAGCAAACTAAAAAATTCGTTAGTACAATATGAGATTAATTGTGTTGTATTAAAATGTTCAATAGATTTTAAATAAATTCTTTTAACCAGCCCACGCCCTTTGATTTTTTTGATAATATTTACCCTGTTCTATAACTGCCAGTAATGTTATGGCTGCAACTGTAATCAATTTGTATGTTTTCATTTTTAAATCTTCAATAATAAAAAATATGTGAAGTTAACACATTAGTATATGTATCTTAAAAAGTAAAATGTAAACAATCTTGTTTTCCGAATAATGAATTTAATTGACGTTAAGAGCCAAGAAGTCACTTATTTCTAGTTTATTGTTTGACAATGTTTAAAAGACATATCAAAAATAAAAAGTGTAAATGTCATGATGAATTGAATGGTAGTTTTGCCATTTTTAATGGAATTTCTTTGAATTAGCGGATATTATAGCCAGAATTCTAGTTCAAAATTTTCTTTGAAAAATGAAAAAGTGCTGCATTTTATTGCAACTACTTTAAGTTGAGTTGCATGGTTTGACAGTATTGGGCAATTATGACATAAATTACCGCCAAAAATTTAATATAAGTTAGCTGATATTTTTGTTGAAATTTCAAAATTCGTACAGAGTACACATGTTTAAATGAAACTGCTCAGAATCAACTGAAATTTCAGGTTTTCATAAAGAACCAAAATAATAAGAAATTATTTTGAAGATTTAATTTTTTAGTAATTTTAGTCTAAAAAAAAATTTTATATAAGTTAGCTGATATTTTTGTTGAAATTTCAAAATTCGTAAGGAGTACACATGTTTAAATGAAACTGCTCAGAATCAACTGAAATTTTAGGTTTTCATAAAGAACCAAAATAATAAGAAATTATTTTGAAGATTTAATTTTTTAGTAATTTTAGTCCAAAAAAAAATTTTAACATAGTATTATTATTACTCGAATGTTCACAGATTATTTCAGTACGTCAGTTCAAAATAATTTATCAACGCTTTCACACGTCCACCAACTTTTTTTTGGTAATCGGACACAAAATCAAAATCAATTTTTACACACATTGGAACAATTCCACTTGAATTAACTCTTTTTTGATGACTAAAATATAATTGATATCAACATAAAAATTTCTGCAGAAAATTTTTTGGATTTTAATTTCGTATCGATATCATTAAATAGAAATAGTTGGCAGATAACAATTTTGTCGAAAGTGATTCTTTTATTAACTCATAAAAAATGTAAGTATTCAAGCATTATATGAGACTTGATTTTTTTATTCTTTTAACATTCATTCACAATTTAAAAATTAAAGAAAAATTAAGTAGTAAACCAAAGTGCTGAAAAAGTGAAGAATGAATAAAGTGCTTACGGAAAAATTTTAATGACATCATATATAAGATATGTCATTTAAATTATGATAAATATTTTACTTAAAATATTAAAATATTAATTTTTTTAAATTTAAAAGAATATAGACAATTGGAATATAGGAGAAACTCTTGACATGTCTCTTTTTAAATTTTAATAGTGGATTTAAAATTTCTTTGCTTTGAAGGATTTGTGTAAACTCAAAAGTGTTTTTTAGTATTTGATTAAAAAATACTAAAGGCCACAAAGGCGCAGTACGTTTTACGCAACGTATTTTGATTTTGTTATTCCAGTGATTCCCAAAAAACACTTAATAGTTTTGCTTTGCCTTTCACTTATATTTTTTTGTACTTTTGCAAACATTTTTAAAATAGAAACATTTTACTCATACCCACATTAATCTGCTCAAAAAATCGCCGTCTAAACTTAAGTGTGCTACGGCATCTGTTGTCATAAGCCGTCACGTAAATGCAGAGTCAAACTAGTGCTACATACAGCTCTAACCACTAATTGGTACAGGAACATATTAAAACAATATTATAATTCTATATAACGGTAAATTCATGAACAATTTATAATGAAGTACACTATTTTTCATTTACTAAAACAAGCTTTCAAAGCTTATTTTATTAGCTTTAAAATATTTAAGTCAAAAACTTGGAAAAAGGTAAAACAAAAAATAAAAATAGTATAACAATTTCCTTAACCTTAATTATTTAAAAATATTGACCATATTGGTACATCAAATGTTTTTTTAATTTTTGCCGAATTGATTTAATCTTAAGTTCATTTCATATTCAAATTCACTCATTTCATATTTAAAAAATGAATGGGCTAGAATTGAAACGCAAAAATTAAAATTTCGATAACGTCTTATATGCTAGTAAGGTTACATAATTATTTCTACTTACTTGTGTGGTAATCTATTTTAAATTAATACTTATTTTTTTGATTAAAAATAAGAATAATTTTATATTCACCATTTTTGATTGTTTCTGCTGTCAAAAAGTTGGATAGAAATTAGGACAAGATTTTGTTTTTCTCCTACGATTTGGTTGGATTGGCTTGTGTGCTTACAAATCGAATATGTTTCAAACTTAATTGCTCAATTTCTTCTTGATTTGTAAACGTTACCGTTGTGTTTTATGTTTTCAAATAAAAATTCCATATTTTTTAATGCATTTTTCCAAGGAATTTACGACCCAATTTTTTTTAAAACTCAAATTTAAAAAATAAATAATTCATACAAATAATAAACTTCTTATGAATTTGGAATTTATTTTTGTTTTACTCGCTAGGCTTGGTGGCCTGACAGATATATATGGCATTAGGAGTAACACATCGTAGATGACACTTAAAAAAATAATGGTAATACCGGTCGCAAGTATGTTATATGCACATCATTTATTTACCACGGCCACGACTGACAGAAATACATTTATTATGACAGTTATTTTTGTTATGTCAAGTTTTTTATCTATTTTTTGATTTTGTTGTCATAATAAATTAGATAGACAGAGGGGCGGATCCAATATTTTGGTTTTTATATTTAAATATTTAATTCGTTGTTTTTTTTATGATATTACAATGGAAATAAAATGCAACAAAATAATTATTTTATTTTTTGTTGTACTTTTTGTGTGCCAAACAGGTAAATAATAAAGCTTTTTGTAAGAAGCTAATAAAAGAAAATTAAAATATGATGGCAGACAAATTAGACGAAAATTATTCCGCATCCGCAAATATTTTTTTTTGTACGGATATTTAAATTCATTTTTTAGTGTATTCAATTAAATGTTGGGACTGTCGTTCTGATAATGATCCAAAATGTGCTGATCCTTTTGATAATAGCTCATTGGCCATCACAGATTGTACTCAAGAACCTGAGTTATCCCACCTACCTGGAGCCAAAGCAACAATGTGTAGAAAAATAAGGCAAAAAAGTGAGATTTTATAATTTACAACTTAATATTAAACAAACATAAACGCATTATTTTTGTAGTCCATGGAGAATGGAGATATTTCAGAAGCTGTGCATACATGGGTGAGCCTGGTATAGAATTAGATGAGAGATTCTGCTTGATGAGGACGGGCACATATAATTTGTTTATGGAGTATTGCACATGTGCAAGCAAAGATGGTTGTAATTCTGCTATGCACCAAACTGTAAACAAATTTGTCATTATGTCTAGTACATTATTAATAATTACAGTAGCATATCTTATATCAAAAGAAAATTAATCATTGATGTCAAAGCAATTCATCAAAGAAGTAATTTTTGCTAAAAAATGCCTTAGTTTAATATAAGATCTATGGAATTTATCACACAAGGCATTAAAATTGGAGCTGCTAGAAAATTTTAAGTGCCTTTTCAATATTCTTTTAATTTAGAATGTTATATGTAATAAATCAATGACGCGAATTAACTTAAATCATTCCATCCATTTTTACAAATTAAGTTTATGTAGAAAATTCTTTTATTTTTTATAAATATTCTATAACCTTGGCGTTATTTTTGCATTACTTGATCAGTTAATATCTTTTTTACAGATTTTGTAATATAATAAATTTTAATTAAATTTAACAATCAATGTTATTAATTTTTTGGGTTAATTCTCTAGGAAATGCAGTTATATAAAAAGTTATACATGTTTTATTGAAGATAATGGTATTAAAAGAAATTAAAAAAGCGAAGCTAACGAAAGTCCTTTCAGAAAAACACTTTTTTAATAACAGAACATAAGTTTTTGGTGTTTGCTGATACTCCGCATTTAATTAAATTAGTTCGTTATCTACTGATTCCGATTTTTTATACAACAGTGTAATTGATTGTTCACCGAGATGAAATTTTCAAGTCAAGTAGATCCGATGAAATGATTAGCTTGAATGGCACTTTGTAGTTTTAGTTTGTCAGCTAAAGTCAAACTCAAATCTATTTTAAATTGAAATTTGAAGTTACTTTACTCAATCCGCCATAATATATAAATTAAGTAATTAACATTAAAAATGCGATTCAAGTGTTTTTTTTTCCCTATGTAGCATTACTTTCATATAATTTTGCCGTTTCGTGCCCTATGACGTCACGTACAATTGTCAATAATTTTGCACACTGCCTTGTTTTTGTGATTATACTACATTTAGATCCAATTTTAAAGAATATACTACACTTAGGCCTAACAGAGGTGACAAAATAACACTAACAGAGTACATTCATTGAGTACTCATTTCATTTAGAAATATAACATTCAACATTACAAAGCTCACGACCTTTTTCTGATTCTTTTTCTAACATAAAGCCATTTAAAATTGGACCTAAATGTAGTATAATCTATTCATTTTGTTATGTCAAGCTACGTTCTATAGGAATTCTCTTTTTGAAATAATCTAAGTAAATTTTTTACATGTTTTGAAATATGTAAAAAATTTGCTAACATTTGTAGCGACTTTACACGCAAATAGCTTGAATTCTCAACAGATTCAGTTTTAGTTCCTACAGTTTTCATTTTTCGTACTTACTCTTTGTAGTTTCGTCAAATCAATAAGAAAATGGAGTTAATTTGACTCATATATTAATCAAAATGGTTTAACTGACATTTCCTACCAATTGTCATTATAGATGTGAAGTAATTTTCCTTGTTTTGAGGTAAATTTTGTTCTATGGTAACTTAAAATTACAATATTTTGCTGTAGTTATTTTACTTTATTCGACAAATATTATTATTTTAGTGATTCAACTTTAAATTTGTAATTATTCGAAAAATAATGAAGGAATGAATAGATTGAAAAATATTTTTATTTTCGATTTTTAAAAGTGTAACATTGATTTTAGCTAAGTTTTACATTTTAATGTAAAAATATTTTTTATGGGTAGTATGAGACACGAAATGTTTTAAAAATTTACCAAAAAAAAAAAAAAACAATAAATTACGCCGTTCAAATTTTCATTATACATTTAATAAATTATGGAAGTATCATTGGATCCTTATGAACAAAAATTATTTCAAATGTTTAAAAGTCATGACACAACAAACACAGGACTTGATGAGACTTCATTAATTAAATTGTGCAATTCTTTGGAATTGAGTGATCGAAGTAATATTATCGTAAAATCATTAATAAATAGAAATGACAAACACTTCAGAGTCGATTTCAAGTCGTTTAAGGAAGCTTTATTAATTTTTCTTGGCACAGAAATGGAAGGTTTTACAGAAACTGGTAAGTTTTACCTATGTATGTATGTTGATACTTTAATTATAGAATTATCTCCACATAAATTGTAGAAATGTACAATTTATAAATTGTATAAATATACAATTTACAATCGAATATTGTTTTTATAAATATATATTGTATAGGTTGTATACGTTATGCTCTTACGATCCCAAAATCAAACTCGTTTACTCTAGAATTATAATTATCGTAGACAGAAAGTGTTGTTATTGTGATTTAAATTGTTTCCTAAAGCATTTTTTTTTGAGATAACTTCACACTTTAAAGGATTTGTGTACTGGTGTTTCTGATTTTTCAGATGATTCAAACATATTAAAATAATTTATTCATTCATTTTAAACAATATTGTAAAAATCTATCTATTTGAATTACTTCAAACTTATCTTTAAATTTTGGATAAAACAATTTTCTTTAAGTCAAACAAAAAGAATAACTTCAAACGATTATAACATTACATAGTTTGTCTCAAAAGTTAAATTAACACATTCCAGTTAGGTATTTTAGCATATCCAGATAGGTATGTGTTGTATGTTTTTTTTTGAAACACTTTCAAAAATGCAAATCTCTTTTCACCTTCCCATTGAAGTCTGAAGTGGTAATGGTACTTTTTTAATGTGTTTTAGTAGTTCTTCAAATGTTTTACAGAACTCTTCGTTGGGTTAGTCATTAAACTTGATGAAGTCTCCTTTGATTATAAATTGGACTATATTATTAAATTGAATTTCAATATAAAGGCTTATGGTAGTTAAGTAAATTCCCATGTACTTAAATCCATCTATTGTTTTCCTAGTGCTACTCACTACGCACTAGGAAAACAATAGATGGATCACACTCTCACTTACACTCTACTAAAAAAATTTAAATAACTAACGTGTTAAATCAAAATCAGCAAAAAACATTCTTTTTAATAAATTTAATATTTTGTGTTCAAATGTGCTTAAAGAAAGTAGAAAACTGTGATTACCTGGGTGCAGTTAACGGAATTAGCTTTACCTAATGCTTAATTTAAAGAACTATAATGAAAAATTAAATACAAACATATGTATGTATTTTCCTTTTGATTATGTCTTCCATGAAATATTTTTCAGACACATTTACTAAAGCAGCAAGGTATTATTATGTGCGTAGCCTTGTTTTTAAAACATAAGGTTTCAGTGTTTCTTATTCATTTAAGATTATAATAAGAGGCATTAATGATAACATCGCAAGATTTTTGTAACATTTTGAAAAAGTGTATTGTAGATCATTTACTTCCATTCTTCGTAAATTAAAGAAAATTTTGATATTTTTATTACTTTTGCAGTAATAACTTAGCATTCAATAATAATATTCATTTACATACGTACATGCTATTATTGTTGGGTTTTCCAGTATCAAAAATAACATTAACTTATAGTTGTATTTTATTGTATTCTTATATGTATATAGTACGCATATATTTACTTAATTAAGGTAGTGATAAGGTAGTAATAACTTACTGCGAAGTTTTGCTCTATAAAAATTTGATCATTAATTAGTTCCAAATTTGCAAGAGTTCCTTTAACTACATCAGGGATTTGCTCCATGCCTACCAGATTTGAATCACTTTCAAAATTTATGTCCTCGTCAAAGAATTCTTCTTCTAATTCTTTTTCTTCTAATTTCCTCGTCTCGTACTGAAACATCTCTCTAATGATTTTTCTGATGGTCTGAGATCTTTCATGTTCATGTAAAGGAGATGCATGAATTGGACTAACATCATCCTCACCATCAACCCGGTAGGGTGGTATTTCAGGAGTAGAGATACCATGTGGGGATTTGTCAAAGTTTATTCGAGTTGCCATATTAAGGCGTCGACAAATATTGATGGAGATAAATTAAATTTGGAAGGAGAATATCTTAAAGTTCCCTACAAAAATAGTAGATTGTGAATTGCACAGATTGTGAACAATTGAACGTTTGCTATTTAATTTTTGTTAAGAAAAATATGAGTTACAGTAAAAGAAAAGATGTTTCAATTTTATTTAAAGAAGATCTTAATTATAATTGCTTAAAGTGTGGTTGTTTAAATAAAAAGGAAATAAATTTGACGAAATCAAGGCAACAAAAAAAAGGTTAAAATGTGTTCAAAGTGCAACACTATGATCGAGTCGGAAGACTGGCAAAGCAATTTTTCAATTGAGGACTTAATTTGGTTTTTTAGTAAGTGCACAAATGCATAATTTTATGCGCAAATTTTTGACAAAACTTAGGATATATTTGATTGTATTTTAAATGCGTATTTAGTCAATAACTTGTAAAAAAATAGAAATTTAGAGGAAAACAAATTTTCAAAATACACGTTCATACATAATATGTATATATTTTCTTTTAAAAATGAAATGATTCTTTCGCTTAGAGTTTTACATGTGTATATATGTATATGTACATGTATAATATACGTACATGCATATAATTTTTAATTAACAATTTTTAATTATCATTGTTTGAATTTAAATTTTAGACAAAGCACTGACATTAGTTGATGAGGACAGTAAATTTAAGGAAAAAATTGTTTGTTCTGGGCCGGATTCACCTGGACGTGAAATATCCCCGAAATTAATAATGGGTGCAAAAAAATACGGTCGTCGATCACGACCACAATCTATAGCAACAGATTCTTCTTTGTCGGAAACCGACGATGAAAATACAGCAGATGCTAAATCAAACAGAGTAAGTAAAATATTACAACAAAACCAAAATGTCTTAAGCCCATGTCACTAATAAGTGATTGTATGTAACCGCAGTGTAATATAAAAATACTAATATAAAAAAATTAGGAACAACTTTGCTAGTTTTTTTTCTGGTAGGAGAATGTGTTTGCAATAAAACAACTTTTGTGAAATATTATTTTTTTGTTTTGTTGGCAAGGCCAATAGAATTTTAATTCATCCTGAATTATTCATGAAAAAGTTAATTTCTGGTTTTAATTTCTGTATATTTGTACAGAATTACAGGGCACGAGTATTTGTTGTGAATACAAACATGGTTAACAGAAATTTGTTTGATTTTTGTTATGTTATGATCACTTGGCAAACAACGTTCAGATTTTAATTCTTGAAAGAAAGCTTGCTTGTAATATCCTTAATGAACAATAATACGATTAGTGTTGCGTAAAATATCTGGAACTACTTAAAAGTACTTGCTTAATGTCGCTGTTTAATAAGCCAAAAATTAAAAATAATTAAAAAAAATAATTAAAAAAAATAATTTTTTTTTTTTTTTTTTTTTTCGTATTAATTGGTTACAAAGAAAAATAAAGTCTTGTTTTAGTTAATGTGGCTTGTAAAGAAGTTCTTCATGTTATAGTTTAAATGATTTTTAAAGTGTTTTATTATTTTAAGGTACAGAGATCTTCATCACATAGTGATATGCATAACAGTAACGGTACTGGTCGCAGTAGAAGAAGGCCTACAACCACAACGAATACGAAACTAAAACGCTGTGCATCTTTGCCAGCTCAAAAAAGAAATTTTCATGCAAAAACTTATGCCAAAGACCAGCAGCAAAAACAAACTCAGCATCAAACAAAATCTGAGCATGAAATAAAATCTGATCCAGATATAAAAGAGCAAAAGCAACTGACGAGTAGTGTAGAATCCTTGGGTGAGTTTATTTTAATTAGAATTTTTTAGACAACGATGTATATTATTTTCTTCTAATTCTGTTGAAGAAATTAATTGAAAGATATTCTTTTGACATTAAACATTGCATTAATAATTACGTCTTGAGTCATGTGCAGTTTTAAAAATTTGGTTGATTTTTGGTCCAGGAGTGAAAAAACAAATGTTAAAACATTAATAGTCAATTGTTATATTAAATAACTTTGAAATGTGCATGTGTAATTCAGCTTTTCAGAAGTTTTCTGTTACGAAATATTAGAGTTAGGAGCAAAATTTGCAAAGTAATTTTAGATTTATAGAAATCTTGGAAACTCTTCTAAACTTCTTTTTTTTTCTGATAATATGCAGATCGATAATAAAGCGATTTAAAAATTCTTACTAAAAATTGGATTTTTGTAGATTTGATTTTCTAAAAGCTTTATTGTTGGTTTTTGTGTTTACTTTTCTTTATATATAATTTTCTTGTTTTTATTATAATATAGTATAATGAAATTAATTTTTAAATATTAACTACATATGTATGTATGTTTGTACATTCTATCATAAATCAAGGAAACACGTTTCATAAATTATATTTGGAAAAATATAATTTTTCATTGATATAATGTTTTTATAATTAAAAACAAAGTTTTAGAATATTTTGGTGGCTCAATACTCATTGATATGTGTTTAAGTTACTTTTGGACTTCTATCTACTATTTTATTAGTTTATATGCTACTAATATGCAATATTGTTTTTTTAGCATTGACCATGCGCCTTTTTATTATTTTTAATAATAGAAATATGCTTGCATTGTCCGTATATTTGTTCATGTATACATAATGGTATATAATTTTTGAGCTTCAATTTGACCCTTTTTCGTTATTTCAATTTGAAGTTTTTTCGATTTCCATATTTGTAATTGTGTAATTGAGAAATGTGAGTTATTGCATATAAATTTATTTTACATTAACAGCAATTGGCCTCGTCTAAGTATTATACATATTCAGAAATGTTTATAGTGGAATTCGAAAAAAAAAAGAAGTTTACTAAAACACGAAGAAAATCCGATTAAAATAAAAAAAAGTTATTTTAAAATTACATGAATTTAAAATGAAAAATCTACACGAAATGCTTTTTCTGTTTCTTATAATATGTTGTTGTTTTCTCTGAGATTAAGTACATTTACACAAGCATATTTTTAAAAATAGTATTTCTTAATTACAATACATATTCATTAGGAATTTAGATGCATAAGTTTTTAAATCACTCAGTTACTTTTTACCTATATTTTAAATGTTAAATTTTACCTTTAATTTACACGTTGTATATTATGTTTTTTTGCATTTTTATCGACCGCATTGTGTATACAATAAGGTAGGTGATGTGATGAAACCAAATTTTGGATGTGGAGTTTCCAGTGTGAACGCACTTCTCCATAGTAGGGAAGTGTAACTACACTATTTTTTAGCAACCTGTCGGTCTGCTGGTCTGTGTATGCACGCGTGTATTTCAAATTCGGCTGAACCGATTGAAATTTTATATGTAAGTGTATTTGAACTATGTCAGGAATTTATCAATTTTTGGGATATATCAGGCCTCGGGAACTGGACCTTTTAACGGGCTGTTTTACGTTTTTGATCATTTTGAAGATTTATACAACAGATTTACTCGAAATTTTATATATTAGCTTCATTCGACCGTACGCGAAACCTCCTAACTCTTGGAAGGATTCAGTTGTCAACAACTGAACGTTTACTACGGGCCAAATATAGATTTTCGCGTATATAAAGTGAATTAATTAACCCATTTCATTGAAATTTAATATTTAAATTCGAGGTGTTAAAACAATGAACCTTTAAATTTTTTGGAAAGATCAGGGCTCGGAAACTGATCTGGGGGTCGATTTTACATTTTTTACCATATTTACGAAACGAGTTGATGGAACTTCTTGATATTTAATTTGAGTTCTGGCTGTTACCAGAATTTCTGGCCGTATTATTCGGCCAGAACAAAATGAAATCCTCCTAAGAGCCAAATTCATATTTTTCTAGGTATGTTAAATAGCTTATTAGTTCTTAAAATTGTAAAGAAGTGTTTAAAATGCATTTTCATAATCTTCTGCAATACTCTTACTAATCTACACAATATACATGTGCGGTCGATTATGTGCAGATTTTTATCTTTAAAAATTATATCGGCGTCATATTATGTATTACAAACTTTATTTATATATAAAAACAATATTCAAATACATGAAGCAAAAAATGACTGAACCTAAACGGATAACTAAACTAAAATTTACTTAAAATAGGTAATATTGATTTTGAAAATTTATCACATACCATTAATGAAATTTGGTTGAGTTATACGAATGAATCTAATAATGATAATAATTTTATAAAACGCGATCAACTTGAATCGTTATGTGAAAGAATTGGCTTGTTTCATAAGGTAGCAGGTAAAATGGCCGATGAAGTATTTGATAAATTAAATTTAAATCCAAAAGTTGATAGGATAAGTTTCGATGATTTCATTGGTTTACTACATGGTGCAGATACTGATGAATTTACTACATCAAATAATGAAACATTCATTGGAACATCTTCATTTTTCAATAGACGGGAAACTTGCGGAAACAATTCATTAAATAAAAGTAGTAATATTAACAATCAAAATAACTGTGGTAATAGTATTAGTATTACTGCTACACCAAATTTTAATTTTAAATATGATCCTCTTGAAGTTCATAATAATACTCAAGATAGTTTATGTACATTAGTGGATTCAACCGCGAATAATAGAGATTTGCAAATTCAAGGTTGGTTGAAATGATATTCTATGAATTTGGTAAAAAAAAACTGATTTCAACAATAATTGTTGCAGTTTTTTTCCAAAATTTATTCTACAACAATATAATTTTTATGGGTATCACGTTAAAATATTTTGGAGTGGAGCACTTAATATTCATGTCAACAAATAAACATTTTTTTATTAGTTATCATAATTTAGTTAATATTACTTGATCATATAATTTTGGTTGTGGTTAATTTTGAGTTCAAGTAGCTTTAAGATTTTTATTTATTACATTATAATTTTCACTAGAAAGACAACTTGTTGTTTATATCTCACTTTAAAAATTTATTTTATTCTCATGTGGTTATGATATGATTATATGTATATATTATTTTTACTATATTTTATAATATAATTAAGTACATATTACAAAACCCTTATGATATTTTACACTTTAAAATTTGCAAATATGTACATATCTGATAACAACAGTTTAAAGATTGTGTGGCCTTTCCTAATTCATTACAGATAGTCAATTAATTTGTCAAAACTACTGAAATTAGCAAAAGCATGTATAGATATCTTGTTTCCTGTATACAAATTTATGTAGCAGTTTTGAGTTTTGCGAAAATTCAAACCTTAGAATTAAAACCGCAAAACTTTAAAATATCATGTAAAGAGTAATATACGTTAGAGCTTCATGGCTTTGTAGTGATAATTATAAAAATTGAATTTTCGAAAAACCCTTAAAGCTTAAAAATACATTTCCGCATGTTTTGGCTAACATTGTAATTTTTTTGGTAAAGTTTACTTTAACCTTAAAAATCTATAATTTATTAATTGTTATATTATTCATTATATTTCATTATATTAAAATATGATGTTGAATAAATTTAACAAAAAAATTAAACATTAATCAGAATTGACTATTTTCAAAACATAACTAAAATTAGCTATTCCGTTTTGGGACTTGGGTGTATAAAATATTTAATTAGGTTTAAAATGCTATCAAATTTATTTTTGTCCTTTGTTGTGTATCTTTAGCTTGAATTTATGTAAATAAACTTGCTTAAAAAGCTAATGAAAAAATGTACTTTTCACATTCCCAACTTTATTAATCCATTTTATAACAATGGTAACTCATTTTATGATCTTGAATAATTCTATAACCTATTTTTTTCGATATTTCTTGTGATGTGGTGAATAGTTATGCCGGTGCAATTGGAAACAATTCCGTTCAATAGCATTATTGAAATGTGGGAGAATTCTGCAATACATGAACCAAAAACGTTGCTTGTTAATTTGGGTTTTGAAGATGATGAAGTTAATGTTGGACATTTAATAAAAATTTTAGAAGAAGAAATAAATAGCTTACAGAATAGTGAAACGCAGAAAACTCTACTAAAAGCATTGTTAGTATTAGAAAAAGCGGAAGTGGCATCATTACAGCTATCATTCAAACAATTATGCGAGGAAAATAAAAAACTGCACGCAGATAATAAGGATGCTAATAAAAGGGCAGCTCTTTTAGCTCAAGAAATTGATGAAAGACATGCAAATTTAGAGGATTCGACTAAAACAGAGGCAAGTTTTATCATAACTCACTATTGATAATTTTTTTTGTTATAATAATGTTTGTCCTTGAATTAAAAAAAATTTCTTGGTAGATTCGGCTTCTTGAACAAAAACATTCTGAAATACTCCGCGATTTAACATCGCAAATGGCTGCAGACCGTGAAAATTGGTCCAATTTGAATATACGCCTTGAGTGTCGCATAAAGTTATTAGAACAAGACGAACAACGTTTGAAATCAGAAATACAGACCCTACAAGAAGAAAATAGTGCCTTAGAAAAAGATCAAACCTCCTTGCAAAAACAAATAACCGATTTATTAGAAGATAATATTAAGTTAAATAATGAAATCACGTCATTAACCGATAAAAATTCGAATGATGTGGAAGGTCTCAAAGAGTCCGATGAACTATTGGAACTAATGGAAAAAATATCATCATTACAAATTGAAAATACAAATTTGCGAGATAAAAATGATGAATTAACTGCTGATTTAGAAAATATAAATATGGAGTTAATAAAATTAAAAATGACATCAAAAAAATCATCGAAATCTTCGGGTATTAGTGATTCTACAAGTGAAATCCTTTCAGATGACGCAGAACATGCTTCTTCCTTAGCTATTAAGCGTAGAGGAGATTCGCCAAGTAAAGCCAAACTAACAGAAGAAAGCCCAAGAACTGGAAAACTGAGGAAATGTAATAATGACAGTGTTAACAGTGAAAGTGAAACAAGCGGAGATTGGGTTGCATTGAATTCAGAATTAGGTGCAAATAATTTAAATTCTTCGACAATCATTGCCTCAAGTTCATCAGGATTTTCGCAAGATTTTTCTTCCAACCCAGTTAATGGTATTGTAGATGAAGAATTGAAAAATTTAAGAGAGAAAATTTTCAAGTTAGAGCTTGAGTTAAAAGAGTTGAAGACTAAGACAAAGAATAGTCAAAATATGCCTGAGGAAGAAATAATATTAAAAAATTTTAAAGAAACTTTTCAAAAATTGAAACTGGAAAAAGAAAATCTAGAAACAAGATGCAAAGATTTGGAATCAAGTCTTGATCAAATGCGGAAAGCCTACGAGGATTGTGAAGATTATTGGCAAAATAAATTAAATGATGAAAGGCAAATTTTTGAAAAGGAACGGCAAATCTATGAGGATGAACAAAATGAAAGCGACAAAAAATTTTCCGAGTTAATGGAGAAAGTTAGAGAATATGAAGAACAATTCAGTAAAGATGGTAGATTATCTCCAATAGAAGAAAAAGATGAACTTGAACAACAGTACATGAATTTAGAAGCGGAAATTGAAGAAATACGCTTTAATGCTAAAAAAATTTTTGAAGAAAAAGCAAGGGAAATTGAAAGCTTAAAAATGAATGTACAGGAATTAAAGCTGCGTCTTGGAGATAGTGTTGATATAACACAAGTCTATGCGGAAAAGTTACAGACGGTAACTGACAAATCCGACTTAACTGACAGTCCAGCAAGTTCACCTATAAGTTATTTATGGAATCAAAGTACAATACAAGCGCCTGTTAGAGATTACCAAAATCCAAATTGGAACAAAAAAAATCTTGGAGAACTAAATCGGTAAGTCAAATATATTAAAGTTTACATGACATTTTTCAGTCTTACGGTATTGATCATTTTATATAGCGAAATAAGTTGTATCATAATCTAAATATTTATATATTAAATTTTCAGAACGGAAAATCTTACAACATCTGAGACTAGTATATTCAGTACGCCAATACCAAAATTGGAAAATGAGTTTGAAACATTGAAAAATCAATCACAAGACTCTTCTTTCTCATCGACAAATAATAATACAATTAATCCCATTCAAAAACCCATATCAGCTACAACATCTGTTAAATCAAGTTGTTCTGATAAAGATGGGGATGATTCAAATTCTTTGGCTTCTGGAAAAAGCTATGAAAGTCAAAGCGCAAATTCGACACATAGCTTACACAAATCTTCAATTTTAGAAGTGAGTGGTTGCTCAAGTTCAAATGATATAAAAGAAGAGTTGAAACGTTTGAAGTTCTTTGAAGTTCAGTTACGGGAGCAAATAAAAGATTTGGCTCTTAAAAGAGATAGTCTCGTTATGGAATTACAGCAATTGCAAGAAGCAAAACCAGTTTTAGAAAAAGCATATGCTGTAAGTGGTCTTTATTTTATAAAAGTGTTCATTAAGATAAAATTTGTATTTTACCGCCAAAATAAATTCTCATTTGGTTTTTGGTTTTTATAGAGAGCAGCCCATCCGACTCTCATACAAAGAGTCAATTTATTAGAGCAAAAGAACCGCCATTTACAAACACAATTAAGACAGCAACAACAATATACAGATTCTATTTTACAACGTCAGTACATATCACTAAATTTTTATGTTTTGCCAATACATAAATTTTATGTTTAATATTTGTAGAAACGTGGCATCAGCAGCGTAATGAGGTTACTGATTTAAGGAACCGTTTAGAGTCTCAAGGAATACTAATGGCTGAACAAGCTCAGCGTCTTGCAAACTCCGATATGCTTGTGAAAGATTTATATGTTGAAAATTCACATTTGTCAGCGACGATACAACGGCTCGAACAGCAACGTAGTCGTGCTAATATCATACAGCAACATCAGCAAAAACAATCTTCCGCATTTAGTGGGGTTTCAGGAATGCCTTAATAAAAGTACTAAGCGAACTGCTATTTTTTAGAATATTCTTTAAAAAAGATTTTATTTCATTGACTATTAAATTAAGGCAATAAAGAATTATTTGTTAAATGAAATGATATTTAGGTCTGGAAGTAAATCAAATTTGGAAACAAATTTTCTCAGAAACTTTTGAGTAATGGCTAATAAAAATGGCACATTGCAAATCGAGCTACAACTTAATTCAAAAATATTTACACAATCATGATCAAAATTCGCAAAAAATTGTATAGTTAGCGAAGGATCAGATTTTCTGATAAAAGTAATGGTTTTGTGAATTAATTATACTATAATTTTATATTTTATGATTAACATTTTATGATTATTCAATGTAATTTAACCATTCTCAAATATATTATAATAAAATAATTGCAAATAATTGATTTAATTACTGAAAATAATTTAATTTCACGGTGTCGTTTCTTCTTTTAGCTTATTTAATTGCATTTTTCTAATAAAAAATATATTGAAAACACTAATAACTATCTATTTAATAAGTAATTTTAATAAAATGATTGTGTAGATAACGATATTTATTAAAAAATAATTGTTGTTTTCTTTTTAAGAAGTTAGAAATAATCATAGAATAAATATAAGCAAAATATATAAATACATTGAATAAAAACTTAATAAATTAACTAATTGCTGTACCATTAAATTCATTATATACAATTAGGATTAAACTAGATGTGAGTGTGGAATTGTAAAACTACATTAGTTAAATTATTAAAGTATATACATAATTAAGTTTTTTTTTCTACCAAATTCTTTGATTTATATTATATTGATTTTTCGATAATTTATCACAAGAAGAGCATAATTGCTTTGTAGTGAAGCGCTACAGCACTCCACCGTAAGAATTGAAGATTTTTATCGAAATATTTTCTAGAAATTATAAGCCATGTAAAAGTTACCAAACAAGTTTGAATTCTTCATACAATATTATTTATTCCATGGCGAATATACATTGATAAACTGTATGTGATAAATCAAAAAAAAAAAAAATAACGCGTTATTCAGCGGCACTGCTTTATATGTTTCTATTTATTGGCACGGGTCTAAACTGTTACTAAGTGTGTAGATAACAAATCGCATGAAATCGATTTAATTATTAAAATTTAATAAAAGTATGGTGTTTTATTTAAAATTATTATTTAAAGGAGTTACTTGTTAAAATTGCTATTTCAAACAGATCCGAACAGATCCAATCTATTTGAACAGATTTAAAACAAACCCAAAACATTAAAAAGTGTCATGATTTTTCTTTTATTAATTGAGTTTAATTTTAATAAATAATTTTTAATTACCAAAATTGTTAAATAAAAAATTGTTTATGATAAAAGTGAAATAAAGAGTTTTAAAAGTTTGATTAATTTTCAGTTGTCTCTTTTTTTTAAATTTATTTAATTTGTTTTAAAATAATGATCATAAATTAGATTATTTACCAATGGTTTTTTGGAAGAATCGTTAAGCTGAAAATAAACATTAATAAATACGTCCCTTGCTTTCATTTCTTTGTTTTTATTTTTTTTTGTTTTAAACCACGCTCATATTAACTTAATGTGTTAATCTTTTCTTGTTTCGAGAATTATTGTTTGCTGGTGGCTATAAAAATCCATATTTACGATATTAATTTTAGTCTCATTTGCAAATATCATATTATGTTTTTAATTTAGTGAAATTTATATATGTAATTTATATATTTAATGTTTTCAAGATGTTTACTATCATTACTAACAAATGATAACTAACTGTTCTGTAAATTGTTCTGCAAATATTTAGGTATCTTGAATATAAATTTAAAATTTCCTTAAAAAAAAAATTTGAAATACATGGTTATGTCACAATAAAAGGGATAAGGAAATTGTTTTGTTTAAAAATGGGCTAGTTTTTTTCTAACACACTGCATTATTTTAGATGAATAGACTTTATTAATTTAGAATAAAAAAAACTAAAACTAAAAGTGGTATTTTTCTGAAAGAATAACAAAATTCTAATAGAAAAGTAGTTTCGATACAAAAAAGCATTTTTTGGCGCCCCATTTGAAAAGTGAGTAGTTGTTTTGTTTTCATTACGTACATACATAATATTATTATGCTGTTTATATTTTATCTTCCAGTTTTAATAAATATATACAAAAAATGGATAAAATATCTGCGCATACGAAAAAAAAAAACTTCAAAACTATTTATTTATTTTTTTTATTTTTTGGTAAAGAATACAAAAGAATTACTAATATTGTTCAAATTAAAATTATAACATTTTTTTCCTACGTAATTATGAAGTTATAGCTTACATTTTGAATGTCCGCAATTTAAAAAATATTCAAAGTTTGTTATTTCGAATATTGTTTTTTATGAAAATCATACTCTTAAATACATAATTGAAATATAAATGTTAAAAATGATTTTTGTTTTAATAATAATGTGTTGTGCACAAAGATAAGTTTTAGAAATGACAAGTTTTTTTGATTATATTCTATTTAATTACATTTCAATTATGAGTTTTTGGCTTTACACAGTTTATTTTTCTTCGTTCCAGGTAGCATGTGATTTATGTTTGCATATCTGCCAAAAAATTTTCAAACTTAAATTAGGTCCAACATGCTATAAAACCAATTCATTATAGGAATCATTTCAATAAAAACTACCATTTCAAATAGAAAATGATTATTAAATGTGAATGCATGAATATAAATGACTGAAAATTAAAAATTTAAGGATGTTATTGAAAGTTAGTTCCGATGGGTTTTTACTCAATGCAAGAGTAATTGTTAATTAAATTCGTGTACCTATGCACCATGCCAATTTACTTAACTGTTGTAGAAATGTACAAGAGTTAAGTAAATGTGACCTTATAATGTAAAATGCACTTTCAGAAATTTCTTTTCTCGGTATATGCAATTTTTCAAAATGGAAAATAGAGCAAAGACGAAATTTTTTAAAATTTTTGATGGGAGAATGGAGAAATTGCACCTTGTCCCAAATAGCTGATACTAAGTATTAGACAGCATGACATTACAAAAAATATTACTGTAACCGACGAACTATCTGGACACAATGTTAAAATTTCATTTTAAATAATTTCTGATTAGGTACTGATAAATTTTAAGTACAACCAATATTTTATTAAAAAGAAAAAATAAATAACAAAAAAAGAAAACAAATGCATATATACTTATTAAAAATTTCCAAAACTTCTAATTAATATAACACTGTATCAAAAATTACATCATATTATTATTTTCAGTTTGCTATTAGTTATTACAAATCTTTTGCAATATTATTTATTTTGGCACTTTTCCATATTTTAATTTTTTCTATACATGTATAGAGTTTAAAATGTAGTAGTATTTTATTTTCAAATCAAATATTAATTAAATTTTTAATATTTTTCTGAACGAACAATACTGAAAAGTAATAATATTGTAAAAATTAGAAAATTATTTATGTACATATGGAAGATTTTAAAAACATAAAAAATATACATACATATGTAAGTTAGTTCATAAAATAAAATAAATTTATGAAACAGACAATTTTTTCACTATACATACATACCTACATACATATTTAAATTATTATTCTTTTACAAAAGTTAATATGCATATGTACATACATATTTATATTAATTCAATTTTTTTTAATTTCAATTTTTTTTTAATATTTGTAATGATTTTCCAATTACATTATTATAGTAGGTTTTTTTATTTATGTAGGACTTTTCATATATTACATAATAAGAGTGTACAATGTGTTAACCCCAGTTCCTTGCCACATGCGATAAATATATTTGAATACTGACATTATGAATTTTATAATAGCATTGTTGAATCGCCTATCTATTGAACCGTTATGTAATATGTAAACAGTCCCACGGGATACTTAGACTTTTTAAGATTAAATACAAATAATTTTTTGTAAGTATTAATTAATGCAAAAGTATTTTAGCTGCAGCTAATAGTAAAGTTGTTGGTAAGCCAATCATAATAAATGGTTGAGACGCTGAATTACATAAGTCACCTGTACATGTTTCGCATTTTTCAATTCTCATGTTTTCATGACCTAAACATGTTGTGGACGAGTCACCAATACGTTCCCAATGACAATCGCGTTTTACGATAGTGCCAATATTGTCTGAAATAATGAATTAAAAGGAAAAAACTTTTAAATCTTTATATTTTTTTAACAAGAAATAATTTAATTAATATTGTATATATTAATTTAATATATATATACGTAGTGGTATGGACTTTAAACAAACATAATGTTAGCCATATTTTCAAAAATTTTAGGGAAAACCAATGTTGAATCTATGTGCATAAATATTTGCACGCACATTCATTCATATATGTAGATATATATATTTGTATACAGTAATGAGTGCAATATTATATTATATATAGATATACCATAATTATCGCCTTTGGGTAAAACTTTTGTTAAGAAATAGGTATCAAAGATCGACGGTTTTCCAGTTTTGTTTCTCTAAACGATAGTGTATTCATTTTTGAATTTCTCTGTATAAAATATAACAAAAATATATGTAAATGATTAAAAGAAAAACCTTTGATAGATTTTAATAAATTTAAGAAGATATTTATCAAAAACCTACTCGTATTCACGAGGTTGACCTTAAGGTCATGTGGGGTATTAAGATCCTAGTGTATTGGAGAAGTTCGCTAAAGCACTAGAATAAATAAAAATATAAACAAACGCTTTTTTCTTTCTTCTAAGATTGCAGCAACACGCGACGAATTACGTAGTATAATGTATTATGTATATATGGTTCCTTTAAATTATTTCAATAAAGTGTCGCATAACTATATTCTTATTCGAATTGTAGAACTCTTCTCGGGATCATTTTCGGAACCTAAAATAACGTACACAGTCCAAAGTACAGTACCTAAAGTAGCGCAAATCTGCAAAGTTTAATCCTTAAACTTTTAATTCAAAAGTGAAAAACCTAGGTTTAATTTTTAAACTTTTGGTTTAAAATAGTTTTTTAAAACTGTTTTAATTTGAGTAAACTTACATGCTTTAAACTGCAATTTTTTGTTTAAAAAAAGTTAAAATTTCAAATTAAAAAATGTTTGTTGCAGAAAATAAGTGAGTGTGTAAAAGGTTTTCATACCAAGAAACTTTAAAAATCTAAACTTTTTTGGATTTATTAAACTAAAGTTTAAAGTCAAAAGTCCTTTTTTAGCAAAAGCTTATTTACTGCATTTTAATTTTGCTAGCTTCTTTTTTCGCGGCACACCATATTTGAACTTTAGAAAAATAAAATGGCTGTTAAAATTTATCGTTATCTAAATTTAGTTTTTCCCAATTTTTGATATAATTTGCATCTAAACCGTACGTTGTAGCAGTTTGAAATTTCAGAAACTTTTAGGCACTAATAAATATTTCATTTCTTCACAAATTTTTTTTCTTCCACCGCTTCTCAAGTTATTCCCCCTCGATATTTTGTAAAATTTGAAAGCTAACGGTAAATGCCATGCCAAAATATTATATTAGCGCTTCTTTAAATTTTTTTTCGTATTATTTCGAGGATTGCATACAATGCTCATCCCAAAGCTATGCAATCTTTGAATTATATTCGTATATGAATAAAAGTAATTTTAATATTGTAGTATCTACATAGATTTTTTTTAAAACCAGTATTTTACCTTGTTGTAAGCAAAAGTACTACATTACAAACCGTCGGTTTGACCCAGCTTTTTTTCTATTACATGAGTTTAAATCTTTGATAATATGACAAACCATATAAATTATTAAAAATAAATATTACATAACATTACATTAATACTATAATTATTGACATGTTAGTGACGTAAACTTACTTACCTTTGAAAACGATTTTGCTACACTTTGTTGGGGCTTTAGCATTTGAACCCAATGATGATGGTGGAGCTTGCTTTAAGCAATCAATCATTTTTGGATTTTTACCCTTTGAAAAATTATCTTCACCGCACAATGGATTTTGATCTGATTGACATTTGTAGCACTGTATTGCTTTACCTGAAAGTAAACGTATACATATTGAATATAAAAATTATGGTTAAAATTGTTGAAAGAATTGTGCTTAAAGAATTATGTATAATTTAGAAAATATGTCGAGAACAGAATTTTAGTACACTATAACATTAAAATAATATTTTTCATTCAATTCATAACTTCAGGCGCATTTTAGGATTTAAATATGCACGTTTAGGATTTTGATTTATTTTGTAGAAGTTTTATCATAACTAAGAAGCTATAATAATGGGTTATAACGAAATTTTGAAACTTATTTCACATTTATTTGCTGCTCAACACCAAAGGGACTTCAAGCTTTTTCATACCGCTGCCACTGACTTTAAAAAAAAGTACTCAATATATTTCATTATTAATGTTGTTTCATATTACAATGTATGGACATCGAAAATAAATAGATCAATGGGATGATATTTACACGGTTACGTTTCAGAATAATAATAATATATAATATATGTATATAGCGTTCATAGTTCAAAATTGATTTTCCTGACAAGCATTCCTTTTTTTATATCAGCCTCAAAATTTGTTATTAGCCTAGTGTTTAAGGGTTATCAGCCTAGTGTTTAAGGGAAACATCGCAGTTTTAAATGTAAAAACTTGGCAAATTTGACTTGAAAATTTCTTTGCAAAGTATATGATTAAGTTTTGTGTCATGAATAAATACGAGTATATTTATGAAACTTATGTACATTACGATGTTCAAAATACATATTAATTCCGATTTTATTATTTTAAACAAAAATTTAAAAAATATCAATAACATACATAAGATAATCACAATTTTAAAAGAAAAAAAAAATTTTGAATTTTAGTAAAATGATACTGGTACATACATATAAGTCGTAAATTTTTTTTATTACCTTTGTATGTACATAGGTACATATGTACATAATGTATCTTACAAAAAAAATTTATTATTTTTGGGGAAAAATGTATGCACAAAAATAGGTATAGTTATTATATGTAAATATTATAATTAAACAATATGTATTCTAACAATGAATTTTAATTTCTTAATTTCTAAAATATTTCCTTTTCTTTTTACATTACCAATACCAAATTTAGTAACATATCATATTGTATGTTATGTCTACAATCTACATGCTATATTATACTAATTTAATATGTACCTACATATTTTATGTTATACAAATTTAAACTTGACATATACATATGAATGTGTATACATACATACAACTATGTAAATAAATAAACGGGTATTTAAAAAACAAAATAAAAAAATATGTAGCAAATTAAGTCACTCTCCTATTAAGAATAGAAATAGAACTGTCATAACTTGATTTTATAAATACATTTATGACGTAATGCAACAATTTAATTTTCTTTTAAGAAAAAATCCTAGGTTTTTGAATTTGTTGCAATTGATTTTAAATTTCGATTAAAAAACATTTATTAATCTTTAAATAAATAGGATGTTATAAATAATTTAAAAAAAAAATCAATTTTCTAGAATATAACGTATATAACATGTATACATATATGTATGTATATAAGTAAGTGCAATAATATTAATTTTAATATAAACTTAATATATAAGTATGTACATTAATATTTTATTTGTTGGAGATAATAACAGAAATTTTTTATTTAAACTTTCTGCTGGTTATTTTAATGTTTTTTAAGTGAATCAAATAAAAATTAGACTTATTAGGTGTGGTGAGTAATAAGAACTTCCCTTGAAATTTATTTGCATATAATTACAATGCATATTTATAATTTTAAGTTTTCTTGACATTATTTTCTAGTTTCACAAAATCATAACTAAATAAAATTAAAAAGAGGATGTAAAATTCTTTTCACATCAGTAAATCTTTTCCAAAATGACTTTTCTGTTTTTATTAAAGAAAATGTAGCAGAATTAAATAAGATTGTAGTAAAGCATTAACCCTGTTTGGTGGCCGGATTGGTAGATATGCATATTACATATTTATAACCGGCATTAACAGCACATATCGATAATGACCATCGGTAGTTATACTTTTTCTTTATATCATGTAATAGCTGTAGTTCTCATATTTTTATATAAATGTGATTTAATAACTTGTTCAAAAATAAAAATATAACCTATTTTATGTCATACATATATTTACGCTGATAATACTAAGCACAACAAAAAAGATTTATTCTAAAAATTAATTATACTCCAAAACATTTAAATTGAAAATTTTATCCAAAAGTTAACTATCCATATATGACAAAAATCCGAAATACAAATCCTAATAAAAGAAGGTGATTACAACCTGTTAGCTTGTCTCCCTTTCTATATACATATGCGTGTATGTATTTAAAAAAATCCATTATGATACAGAAGTGTAACAAAGTGTTACTAAATATTGTCTTTAATATATTGCTGTCCTGATATTTAATTTTATGCATGTTAATATTTGTATATATGTACATATTTACAGAGTTTATTCTATAAATGAAATTAACGTAACTACAACTAAGTTAGTTGAATAATGTTTATTTGTTGGTACTATATAAAGACGGACCATTAGTATTTCAATATCTTCAATATAATAGAGTGCAAAAATTCTGATATATCAAAATAACTTACAACATTCGATAAGGCATACAGCTAATATTATTCCAATCATGAAGTTCTTCAAAAGCATCTTGTACTTTAAATTTTATATATGTATACTAAAATAATTTTATTTGTTTCTAAATATATAAAAAAAATTATCGAAAAGTGTAATATTTATTTCGAACGTGTGCTGTTGTACACGGTTAGAGTAAAATTTATTATTTTATTACTGAAAAATTCTATTTTTTCGGAATTAAATTTTCGAAAGTTATGTACACTTACATATATATATGCATGTATATTCGCAAATATATTGTGTATATAAATATATTTAATTCATAAATTTATTGAACGCTTCTACTTTAGAAATAAACAATGATAATCTAAAATTTTATATAGTCAGTAGTAAATACAAATGCATAATACAATATCCTTATAAGAATTATAATTATTTTAAAAAAATTACTTAAAATGGAAAATATATATGTTTGTATGTATAATATTTTTTTAAGTAATCAAAAAATATGCATATGTATAAAACTTTATTGTAAAAACTTGGATCGTAAAAACTTTTTCATTAAATTCAAAACCAAAAATTTCTGTAAGCTAGTACATTGGATATCTTTTCTAAAATAAGTTTTGCTTTTAAAACATTTTAGTATAACATTTTTTATATATAATTTTTTTTTTACTTTTCTGTATATATCTTCCTACTATTTCATTCAAAACTCAACGTCAAACTGAGATGTAAAATTTTAAAAACTTTTCCAAAAAGATTAAAAGCTCGCGTTATACTGATTCAAAACAAAAAAATAACATTTTTTATTTTTATATGGACATGAAATCTACGCACTAAGTCTATTAACAATTGATTTGGTGTATATCTCAATTTTGTATTTCGAGAAATCGAGCTCAAAGTGCTGAGTAATAGATTGAATAAATTTCACTATAGTATACCGAATTCAAGCAGCTAACAAAACATACTCTTTACTCCATAAATTATTAAAGTCGAAACTTTTGTCTAAAAATACTAAACTGAGGATTTACAAAACCAGTTAAACAGTCAGACCAGTTTTAACATATGGCTGCGAAGTCTGGTCTTTAAAAACTGAAGACATAAGCATGCTTTTATCACTTGAAAGAAGAATCCTACGTAAGATCTTTGGTCCAACCCAGAACGATAATGGTAGCTACAGAATAAAATATCATACAGAACGACTCAGAAAAAAATGGCTAGACACAGTAAAAGCAGATCTTAAAATAATGAACATATCAAATTACAAGAGTCTGGCTCTGCAGAGATCTGAATGGAGGAAAGTGGTTTCAGAGGCAAGGGTCCACCCAAGACTATAACGCCGAGAAGAAGAAGATGAATTTATTTAAATACGTATCTTTATTTCAAGGTTGTTTTATTCGATTAAATGTTTAAAATAGTGAATTCATAATTCATTTTCTTGGAAAGAAATATCTTGTGCATTTGCGATGCTTCGAAGGAACTTATAAAGATTTCTATTTTATTTCGTTATTCTAAACTTTTATTATTATTTTAAATGTAATATGTTTAATTATTATTTTTAACATAAAATTGTTTAATAAATTACAAATTTAACTAAAATCAAAGTTAGAAATTTTGAATTGTCTCGTAGGCACATATTTGCTATAGATTTTCTTTTGCGGTAAGATCATAGAAAAAATCTATTTATGAAGAATGTGGCAAAAGTTGATACTCATTACCTCAAAAAATAAGCAATAATTGATTATAGTTCTAAATAATTAGCTTTTATAATTTCAAGCTTTGAACTGTCTGCATAAAAGAAAAATTGGCGTGTACGACAGATTCATTCTCTATAGACGAAAATAATTAGCATGATTCTGTTAACATTACAGAACATTAAATATACACACCTCGGTTTCATTGCTGAGCAACTCATTTCCTTATATGGGTTACTGGTTTTATATTTTCACATAGTCGAATTGTTGTGTGTAAAAACTAAAAAGGAAAATACGAGAAAGTATTTTATTAATAGAAAAATAGGAATTCAAAAATAGCGAAATAGAAAAATTATTGTTCTAATTTAAGGAAATTTATAAATAATACGTGCATTTATGTATTTATGTACGTATTAAACATTTCCTGAAGAGAAAAATTTAAGTAAAAACCAAGTAAAAGAGTGAATTTATTTTTAATATCAAACTTTGTATAAAAAGAAAATTCTTAAACTAAAATATTGCAATACTTTTTTAAACAAATATTCTAAACTGAGTTATGTCAAGTTACGGTTGTGACGATAATTTCGAAAATACCGATATACATCCATGAACTTTTAATGATATTTCTTTAATATTCAAAAGTCTAAAATGCAATAAAAACTCCTTTTTTCTAAAAAGGAGTTTTCTTTTAATACATAAAAAATTTTACGTATGTATTGTTTTTTGCTAAAAGTCCTAGGCTTATTAATTATTATACGAACACGTGAACCTTAAAATATTGAGAGTTTTATATGTGCTAATAGCATATATAAAAATCTCAATATTTATTGAGTAATTTTTATATGTGCTAAAGTAAAAACTCTCACAAAACAGACAGTATTTCATTTAATTATTAATTTGAGCTTTTTTTTAAAAAAAGTTATAGGGGGAGAAAGATACAACGTTTGAACAATGTCATCAAGCTTTCGGAGGTCGAGATATGTATGTATGTAAAATAAAGCGTAACACATGAGATCCAAATCAGTATAGAAAAATTACGTTATATTGTTTACCAAGGCTATAAGAAAAATTTTAGTATGTATTTATATTCACGTTATGTAAAATGACATGAAATGAAGTGTAAAACCTTCGACATCTTTCGCAGTATAAAGTGATTGAATATTATGTACATAATATTCAATCACTTTATATGAAACGGTGCGCTGTAGATTAACTCCGTTCCCATTATTTAATAGGTACATGCATATGTACAAATATATACATATGTATGTGTATTATGTAAGTCTATTTTTATATCAAATTTAAAGTAGCATATGGCTTTAAGAAATATACATATGTATGTATGTACATATTTATGTAGATTCGAAATAAATTTCTGTATTCACATTATCCTTTCCTTAAAAAACGAAAAAATTGAAAATCGTAACATATTTTATCCCAAATAAAAGATATGGGAATGTTTATGATGAAACGTTTTTATACCCGTACGAACGTACATATGTTCGAAGGGTATACTAAATTTGCCTTACCGTTTGTAACGCTAAGAAATAACGGCCTTAGATATAGACTCAAGTGTATGTTTTTGATCAGCGTGGAATTCTGAGTTGATTTAACTTTGTCTGTCCGTCTGTCCGTCCGTCCGTGCGTACGTCCGTCTGTCCGTCCGCCCGTCCGTCCGTCCATACGTCCGTCTGCCCGTTCGTCCGTCCTCCGTCCGTCCGTCCCAGCCAAAACTCAAAAACTAATAATAAAGAAAAAGAGCTAAGCACGCCAAATTTTCGCAAATGATTTATTGTAGTAAGTGCCAGAACCCTATTTAAATTGGACATGATCGGGGTATCGGTTCGAGCAGCTGCCATACAACTTCAAAATTTATTTGGCTATATCTCAGAAACTATAAAAGCTGTGGTATTGAAATTTCACACAAACAAATATATTAGTAGGGCCAATGTGTCACATAAAAGTCTTTGAAATTACTTAGCTCCTTCTGGTACCTGCCATACAACTTCCAAAGTTATTTGACTATGTTTCAGAAATAATAAAAGCTGTGGTATTGAAATTCCACACAAACGAATATATTAGTAGTGCCAATGTGTCCCACAAAAATCTTTGAAATTACTTAGCTCCTTCGGGTAGCTGTCATACAACTTCAAAAGTTATTTGACTATATCTCAGAAACTATAAAAGCTATGGTATTGCAATTTCACACAAGCGAATATATTAGTAGGGCTGATGTGCTTGATAAAATTCGTTAAAATTTCTTGGCTCTTTCTGGTAGCTGCCATACAACTTCAATAGTAGTTTGACACACACAGTATTTTGAAAAACACAGTACTGTAATTTTGCATAAATTAATATGGCAATACGGCAACTCAAAGTCATAGTCTGTCCCATAGTCTGTTATGGCATCTTTATTCGCACATAGGATAACAAATTCGTACGGGTATCACAGAGTTGACAGGGTCAACTCTATTTTTTCTCGTTTTTTTAAATAAATTTACGTGAGTCATGCATGCAAATTTTAACATGTAACAAGATATAAGACATACTTATACATAAGGCAAAAAGAGTTTAAGTCGCTAAGGCCAAAAAATTATATTTTAGTAATTTCAATAAGTTGTTATCGAGTTCAATTTCAAAATTGTTCAGTTCAATTAAAATTTCTTACATTTTTAAAGAGCACTTCTTTCTTTAATAAGTATTTCCTGTAACTAGAAACACATTTGATTTTGGTGTAGATTAAAATAAAAGGTTTGATAATAATTTGATCTAACTTTGAAAAACATACATATGTAGCTACTATTTAAGTGTCGACAATATTTTGCTCTATAAATTACATTTATGGATATTAAAAAATTTGGTTAAAACTGATTTTTCCATCAAAGCTTCTAGAAAAATATAGATTTAACCAGACATATTTACTGCGAAAAAAATTCATAAAGAAGAAGGGCGAAGCTGTTATACCTGGTCAACCTTAATGATTCTACCAGCTGACTCTTGTCATCCTTATCAAACATGGATGCAATGGGTCGTTCCCTCACATATTAAGGTGGATCCCCATCAAGATCATTGCCTTTTCTAATGTCAAAAGGGTCTTATTGAAAATAGCATCTAGTCGTTGCTTTATGCCTTGTAAGATTCTTTTGTTTGGCGACCTTCCTCTGACCTTATCGGAATGATTGAACTTGTCAGGTACTGCATATTTCATACTTCCACACATACATACATACATATGTAATTTTCTTAACAATAAAAAATATTTTACTGTTTTCAGAAAAATTGAATTGTTTAAATTTTTTTTTCATTTTCTCAAAAAAATGACTTCATTTTTTGTGGCAATGAAATGTCATTAACATGACATAATCGTCTATTAAAATTCAACACATTATTCTTTTTAAAAAATTTTTACTACTTCATAAATGTATATATATTTGTAGGAATGTACCTACATACATATGTCTATTATGTTTTTGCTTTTAAAATTTTATTGAAAGGCAAATCTGGTTTTTGTTTTTTACTTTACGATACAAACGCC